ATATTATCCCGGTTATTTTTAACTAAGGCTTTATATTCTAAGAATTTATCTAGGGCTTCTACCTTAGATTTTATTAAAGATATTTCTAAATATCTTATCCCTATATATAAAAAGGATATAAAGAAGGTATATTTATCATAAGTAGGGGTCCTTATAAGGCCCTAAATACTAATAGTAACTCTATTAAGGTAATTATATACCTTATTAGATAGGGATTTATTCCTTTTATTAGTTGCTTTTACTTTAATATAAGCCTCGTATTCTTTTATTTTTATAATATCCTTCTTAAGGATAGTTATATCTTTATTATATCTTTTAAAGGTTTCTAGTAAAGCTTTAGGACTTATATATCTTAGCCTTAAATACTATAAATAAAAGTTAAGGTCCTTTATATTATTCCTTATATTATTAATATTATATAGGAATGTCTTCTTTTTTAAGAAAGGAATTTCTAAAGAGAAGATATAAAGGTTATCTTACTATTTTCCTTTAGATATAATATTAGCCTAGTTATCTAATAGGAAAATTTCTTTGCTATTAATAAAGGCATAAGTATTTTTAAAATACGATTAGCTTATAATATTTACCCCTAATTTAGGTATAAAGAAGCAGTTTCTTAAGATAAATAGCCTTCTATTATTCGGAAATCTAAAAAGAAGATCTCCGTAGCTTTTAATAACTATATAAGATAACTTTCCCTAATTAACCTTAGTAGAGATAGTTCGAAAATTAATAAGGAATTTCTTTTCCGATACTATATACCTAGTAGCACTAGTATCGTATATAAAATTATAGAAATTTTTATTCTCTAAGGTTTTATAAGGGATTTCCTTCTCTTTTACCTTATATATAAGGCCTTTAATTTAAGAGGAATTTAAAGGTCCTATTTACCTATTATTAAATACGGCTTTTTTAAGGATATTTAAAGAGATATATACCTCTACTTCTTCTTCGGAGCTTTTATAACCTCTAGGGGTAAGAGGAGGAATAGAAAAATCGATTTCCGGTTCTTTGTCCGTTTAATTATCGATTTCTATTTTTTCTGCTTCCGATATATATAGAGAAGAGGGTTTTTTCGTCTTCTTATCGACGTAAGAGTCTAATTTAATAGGATTTCCTTCTATAGAAGGTTTCCTAGGCCTCTTAGAAGGTATTCTATTATTTTAATTTTTTTAAATTTTTAGAAAAGCTTTTAAGGGCCTTTTCTAAGTAAAGATAGTAGAAATCTTTAACTAAATACCCTTTCTTCTTATAGTAAGTGCATTATAATATAATTTTTATCTTTTTCTAGGGCTTCTTAGTAAAGAAAGCCTACTTAGGGGGATTTTCTAGAGACTTAGTCCTCTTAAATTCGTCTATAAGTCTATTAAAGAGAGACTCTAGATTAAAAGCCTCTAAGTTATTTTAAAGAGCTTACGTTATATTAGTTATATAGCTAGAAAACGAGGCCGAAAGGCTATTTAAAATCCAAGCTATAATAACTACTTCCGGAATTATAATATTCCGTGCTTTTAGCTCCTCGAATACCTCTTTTACCTTATTTAGGTAGCCTTCTAAGGATTCGAAATCCCCTACCGAAGTATTAAAAAGCTCCTTTATAAGTAGGTAATTCGAAGTAAAGGAAATAAGGTTATATAGGTTTTTTAACCTATCCTACGCCTCTTTAGTATTTTTATATGCTTTATTTAGGTTAAAGAACTATCTTTAATACAAAGAAAAATTAAAGCAAGTGCTTCTTTTATCTTCGAGTAATTTTCTTGCTATATAGTAGTAGAAAGCTTCTCCCTAACTAGAAAAGCCTATATTCGAATAGCCTAGAAGGTATAGTTAGAACTACCCTTAAGTTTAGCAAATTCGAACTTATCCCTAGAGCCTATTTTAGAGAATTCGAGGTCGTATAGTTAGTATTAGAATTTTAAAGTTATTACCCGACTTATAGAGAAGCCGGGCTTATAACCTATTAAAAGATATAAGCAATAAGCGTAGGATCGGGTAATCGATAACGTAAGCGGAAATATCGGTCGAAGGGGTATAGGGTAGGATTTCGTCCGGAATTTATAACGAGCATATAAGGGGCTAAATAATATATTAAAAGAATAGCATTATAAAAGATACTTATAAACTTACTTATTATATCTACTACTCCTAGGGAAATCCTTCGTCTTTTATAGACCATTGCTCGCCTACTAGTAGACTAATTAGTTAGCTTTCTAATACATTCTATAGTGCTTAAAAAGCTCTATCTATAGCATGTCTTCCTAACTTAGTAGGTGGTCTGATTGTAACGTGATGGTTAACGTAAGACTATAGGTTCTAGTATAAGTAGTAGATTTAACTAGAATGTTCTATGCCCTACCTATTCTCGTATCGCGGATATCTTCGGAACCGCTAGGCTAAAATAGGCAATAGGGTATCCGTTCTGCTCGTAATTAACTTATGTATTTTATATATCTTTTATTTTATTAGGATAGGCTTATCTTAACCCGCTTTTTCTAAAGGAAGGTATAGATATCTTATAGAGGTCTTTATCTTTAAGGGTTATTCCCTTAGACTATATTATAGGGCCTCTTTTTACTAGCTTATTCTATAGAGCTTCCCTATACTTATTATTTCTTTATAATAGTAAAATAGGAATATAAGGGTATATTCTTATAGTACCCTAGCTACCTAAGGATCTTTAGTAATAAGCTAGCTAACTAGCTAGCTAAAAGAGGCTTAAGGGCCCCTATCTAAGGGGCCCCCTTAGTCTCTATTAGCTACTTATAAAGAAAGGTCTAGTAAGCTACTAAGGACTATTAAAAGGGACTCTAGGCTACTAAGGCGGCTAAAGGCCTTAGGGCTAAGGGCCTAAGTAAGTACTATATATCTATTCGAAAGACCCCCCGCGAGGCCCTTAGCCTAGAAAGGGACCTTATAGGGAGGCCTAGGCCGACCCTCTTAGCCTTTTACTAGCTCCTCTTTAAGGCTAGCTTCCTATTTTCCTTCTTAAAAAGGACTAATAAGGTAGACCGAGACGACTACCGCTATAGCTAAGGAAGGTATATAGCTAGGCACCTTATCCTAAGGTGCTTAAACTATAAGAGGGAAAGAGAGGTCCTTTACTAGACCTCTAAGAGACGGAAGGGGGCCCTTAGCCTACCTATTCTCTATAGCTCTAAGGAAGGAAGGGAAGCCCTTCTAACCTTCTTAGCTAAAATAGAGATAGGGATAGCTAAGTAGCTCGAAAAGGAGTAACCTAGGGGCCCTAGGGCCCTTAGGGGGGAAAATCACCGCGCGGGAGGAACCAAACTAACCTTTCCTTTATTATTGCCTTTATAGCTACCCTTTCCCTAATTAGTTATAAGCCCCTAGGCTCTATAGCTAGCTAGGACTGCTAATAGGGGCCTAGGCCCCTACTAGCCTCGCTATGGCCTTAGAGGCTGCATGCGAGTAATAGTATAAAAAAAGATCCTAGCCGTCGAAAGAAGTCTATCGTGTGCTAGGGCATGTCTTGCATCTCGAAGTTTCTTGCATGTTTGGATGATGTGAAGGTGCTTGTCGACCTGCTTTTCTGCCAAGGGAGTCGAGAGGGAGGTAGGGGTAGGGCCCATGGCACAGCCGAGCTCCGCCTAACTTCCCCTGAATCCCCTCCGGCCCGATCGAGAAGGCAGCTGCCCTTGGCTGGTTTGGTGCAAACGCCACCTCTAGCTACGGAGTACACTAAGCAACAGGTCTTATGGATTCGTCACCCGAGTTAATTGGGAAAATAGTGAGAAAATAAGAGTTTCTCGCCGTGAAATTCAACGAATCAAATGATGCCTTCCTACGGCTTCAAGGAGCAAGCAATGGCAATGTGCCACCCTCAGAATCGACTCTCAATTAATACACAACGCATGCTAAAGAAGAATGCATGCTCTCACGCGCTGCTGCAAGTGGGCCGGACCGAGGAGGCGCGGGCGTCAGCGCCACACTACGGTCTTTGCAGCTACCGTTGGGGGCTCCAGAGCTGAACAAATTGTCCTTGGCAATTGCCCAAGCCACTGCAGTAGGCTAGATGCTTCGAACTGGGTGACGTCAAATCGAGTGTGTATGTATGTAGTTAGGCCAGATCTTCCCGTCCCCCTTCTGGGGGGGACTTAAGCAACCTTTAACGAAACTGCCTATCGACTGATACTTTCAGTCAAGTCTTCTAGATTTTACTCGTCGTCGCGTCTCGCATAACTCCTATCTCGACCTTGGTGGCAAATATTCAATAGAATTAAAAGACAAGCAATCGTATAGGTATAGATATCCTCTATAATCAGTGCCGCTGGTACATCTACGGTACGTCCCACCTTTTGCCGGGTCGAGCGGTGTTTTATCACATGAACAATACGAGTGAGGACATGCATAGGGGGCGGTGGTAGTGGGCTAGGCTGGCTACTGTGCAGATGGTGGCGCGGCAGCTGAGGTCAAGGGCGACAGGGGCAAGGTATATGGCGTAGGCTACATACATGGCCTTGAACGTGGACAGGATGGAGTTTATCCTCACTGGCTTAAACGCTCGGTAACTTACATATTCCCAGACTGAGAATAGGGAGGGCCAAGTTTCCCGGGCATTTCTCTGCTTCGACACCGACAGCATTGCCTCGGCCAATGCCTTACACGACATAATCACGAAAAGGAATCCCTCTTACAGACCCCAAGGTGTCGTCATGTTGTGACGCGGCACGGCCCTTGTCCAGTTCCCGGTGTGGCTTGAAAGGCACTGCCCTTTTGCCGCCGACAGCGAGGCATATTTCGAGATTCAGCCCGTTGCGCCAATCAACAGCCAGTCAAGGCATCTGCCCTCGAGGCAACAGAGGATGGCTCACACACCACTTCATTTATGCGTAGACACCTCTTCCTGAGCCGTGTTTCTCGCACCCCGCGTTCCGCAGTCCAGGGCCTGAGGCTGCTGAGCTTGATATACATATCCTGGATGCATATTACTCTACTCCTGGTTCAAGACTCCCTCGAGTCCAATCACGAACACTGCTACCATGGATCCGCTCTCCATCACGGCGTCTGCCGTCGCGCTGATCCAGGCGGCCGGCACTGTATGTCGACTTATCACGCGTCACGAGCCGAGATTTAACGTCACAACAGGTCGCCACGACACTGCGCAGCGTTGTGCGCTCTTTGCGGACGGTAGACTCGCGCCTCACGGTTCTTTGCAAAGAACTGTCCGACCTCACCGGCTTCCTCGAAGCCATTGACGCCACTCTCAGGGGATGCCAGAAGTTTGACCTCGGGCTTGTCGATGACGCCCTGTGGCGTCAGAGCGAGCTCGCCCTGGCGAATTGCCAGACTACACTCAACGAACTGGCCCTCTTGGTGTGCAAGATCAAGAATTCCAATCAGCCCAAGAGGTTTGCCCGCAAGGTTCGCGCTGCCGTCGACCTCAACATCTATGGCGACGATTTGGTCATGTACCGGGACCGGATTCATCAGTCCAACTCTGCCCTGCAGACCATGCTTCATGCCATCAACGTGTAAGCTTCAACCCCAAGACCCTCAACTCCAAGGGGTTGCCACTGATGTCATCACATCCAAGCTCCCTGTCCGTGAAGAACAATGCATCTCAAGATCTGATCCTCCGCGAGCTCGACAGACTCGAGGCATCCATCAACGAGGCACTCCATACATCCTCCAGGCCCGTTGGAGGCTTCTATAATTCCGATAACGGGTCATCCGACGCTCGCTTCGGACGCAATCTGCGACGACTCGCTGAAGCAGCAAAGCACTTCCACAATGCTGCGAGCTCGACTGCTGGCACGGTGCGCAGTGACAGCAGCGAGGCGCCATGGCAGTCGTATCCCGGTGCCGAAATGAGCCTCTTTGGAGACTTTTCCGTCTCCCGCCGTGAACGGGTCGAGGAATTCCTACGTCGCCAGAGCGTTAGGTCGCCTGAGCCTGTGGCGAGACAGCCGCCGCCGTCAACACCAATGTCAAACATGTATCGCGCGGCTACCACTGCATCCAACAATGCCCCTGAGATGCCCGTCCGAACGTCCAATATCGATGAGGAGGAGGAGGATGACGACGCCGAGTTGGAGCGTGCCTTCTTGGACGGTCTGAGAGAGCTTGCCAAGGCAAGCTTCAAGGATAGGAACTACGACAAGGCCATCAGGTTTCTTCAAGAGGCCATGACGCGCGACATTGAGCCGGGTGAAGCCAGCCACGAGTATCGCCAAATGCAAATTGAGCTGGCCCTCTGCTACCTTTGCCAGGGAAAATGGCGGCTGGCAGCACCTCTGGTGATAAAACTTGCCGGGCCAAAGGCCCGTCATGATTTGGCCGTGTACAACTTGCTGCACGCCCTGGCGCTTGGATACCTGTCCGAGTACTCCTTTGACGATGCATTGGCCACCTGCAAGCAGGCTTTGCTGGGAAAGAAGAGGCTTTGCAAAAGCGGCGATGTGGAATGGAACGAATACTGGGAGACTCTGGGGTTGTACGCGACCATCTTCGATGTCACGGGCGACTGCATCCGAGCTGAAGTCTTCCGACTGAAGCTACCGGCAGACTTCGCATACGTCCATCCCGCAAGCGAAGTCATCTTCATCCGGTTCCGTACCGGATTGCTGCAGAGCATCTTTGGAGACGACGGCGTCGTCCTTCGCACAGGCTACGCCCACGCTGGCATCGCTGAGCTCGATGGAGGAACCAGTGAAGACCGCGACGACCAGAGACAGGGGCTTTCCAGGCGATTGACCGCCAATTATGACGCAAACTGTTTCACCTTGCGACAGAAGCTTTCCCAGGACGAGAAATACCAGATCGACACTGCCAAGGAAGTCGTGGCCGTTGATTCTCAGCCCCCAAATGACGCCGACGATGAATTCTCGCCGGCCTCAACACCTCAAGAATCACCCCTGCGGCGACGTCTCAGTCGTTTCTTTCTCGCGAAGCGTCGCCGGCCTGCCGACTCCGAGGATACGTTGGTCAACTCGTCCAAATCAGAGTCGCCCCTTTCCGATTCTTCACACTCGGCCTTATCCCCGACAAGGCTGCGGTGGTTCAAAGGCGACATGGGCTTCCAGATGAAAAAGCCCAAGAATCTGTTGACAAAGAAGCCATACAGGTCAGCGTCACCTTGTCGTTACGAGGTTGAGTGGTCCACACCGAACGGAGCATTTAAGCTCCTGCGTATGGAGCGTGTCGCGACTCCAATACCAGATTCAGGACTATCCCGACGGTTCAGCTGGAGAAGCGAGACGTGCTGTCCTTACATACACACCCGCGATAGCAACAAAGAAAACGAGCATTCCGCCACCAGCTCCATATACCCAGTGATGCGAGCCAATGCGCACCGCGGTCGTCATGTCCCTGCAGTGGCCCACATCGCAGTTGGACACGGAGAGCGAGCAACGATTCCCAATGTTTTCAACACACGCGAACGGCCTCTCTATACCGAGACAGCTCGCGACTGCCCTGTCGCCGAACGCTTTCCTTTCAGAGCAGAACTCGCGGACACCGGCGTTTCTGAGCAGGAGGTGATGGAACCCCGCCGTCAAAGCAGCCAGAACCGTGGTTGGCAGCTTCAGACACCCTTGCGAATCACCACTGACTTGGACGAAAGCGATTCCTCAGAGTCCAATGGTAATCTGCATGACTCGTTCTTGGGGTCCTGGGAGATGGATGCCATGGAGGCAAGAGTCTTCCTAACGAACCCGGAGAGGTGCTCTTCAATCGAAGAAAGGCACAACCGGCCTCTGCTGGATGGGAGCTCGCCTCCGCCGACCGAAAGGAAGACGGACCTTGGGGGTGAAGCAGACGGACCCGTGTCCCAATCCAATGTTGACGTATCGAAAGCCCTCGACCAGCGAGGTAATCCGTGGGTTCCAGTCATTTCTTCACCACGAAACGCTTTGCCAGTCCTCTCCTCGCCAAGCCAAGCCTTGCCAAATATCTCTACTGAGCTGGAAAAGCTTCTCACTCGGCTGTCCGCCATCATGGCATCGCTGAGCGGCTTGGAAGATGCCGATGAGCTTCGAGCCAAGGAGTCGATGCTCAAGGCCCTTGTTCCAGGTTTGAAGGCCAGCAGCAACGACCAAACGCTGATATGCGACACTGAGAGGGTCATACGATCTCTTGAGTCGACGGTGCAGTCGCCGGAAAGCCGTGGCGCCGACTCCGGGTATGAGTCCACGGCAAGCGCTGGGAGCGGTCAAGTGAATTCAGCAACCTTGAATATTTCCACACAAGCTATGTCGAGGAAGGCGGGAAAAGCAGTTCTCGAACGCGGCTTATCTTGGAGTGCATGCTCCGAGGCAGCCTTCTCAATGACCCCAACTCATCACTCCAAGGCGGCGGCAGCCGGCGAATCGTCTAACATTCAAGTAACGTGCAGCCCCAGAAAGAAGGTTGCCAGGGAGGATGGCGGCCATGAAACCGCTCATCATCAGAATCCCAGCGGCGGCAAAATTCAGCTGTACCGGAGACCTTGCCCAAGTGAGCAGGGACAGGAACAGAAACAAACGAGTTCGTCCCCAGAAGTGAACAGTCAGCACTTCAGTGGGCGTATTTCCAAGGACCCCGAAGATTGCTCGGAGTCGAATCCTGCCATCGAGTTCGAGCTGGAAGGGTCCATATTGGAGCCAGTTCCTGTGGTGGTTTGGGATTGGAATCGTTGGCGAGAGCTCGGAGAAAGCTTCACTGCAGAGCGAAATCGCCCAAAGGAGTCGAAGATAGGCGATTGAGTGGCGGCTCAGAACCAAGTGGCCGGCCACGTCACTCTACCTACGCACGAATCAGCTGAGACTGGAACGTCTCTCATCCTCTCGCCTCCCAAGAGGCCAACGACGGACGCCCAGAATGTGCCGTCATGGCACCATCGACGGGCTTTGATTGGTTATCCTGCTGGCCGATGCCTAACCTTGGGGTAGGACAAGCAGCAGCGAAAAGGGTCAAGGTTGCGGTACTGTAATCCTGTACTAGAGTACAATCCTGTTTGCACTCAATGCTAGTTTTTGGGAACACTAGAAGTCACTTTTGCGCGACTGGTATTTACGCAGTCTGGAGTCTAATTGAAGCCGCTTGTTTAGGTCGAGTCTGGGTAGCGTGAAGTACACGAATCGGAGTTCAAAAGACTGACCCTAGTCAACAGTGCGAAGTGTGTTCAGAGAGTTACAAGCTTGCTTCACTATAGCTACGATCAAATTACAGAGGCAACAGGCTCCGCCGTAAGTGCCATTTCTCGTCGCCCAAATATTTCCATGATTCAACGAGAGGCCGCCATGGCAGCTCACCAGTATGAATCAGACCACACTGAATATGTAAATGGTCTAGCGCTTCTGGGAGGCAGTAAATGGAGAACTAGTCGCGGATTTGGTGCGCGGATCGGGAGGCACGGCCACGAGGCACAATGCTTCGTTTCGGGGTACAATCTCGTCAGCGCCGGATTAGGATGGCGCGTTTGCACACGAGTTACAGGAAGATACTTGGGTGAGTCACTGCTTTGATGGTGCCGTCATTGTTCGGGAGCTGCCCGTCAGATCTACCCGGGTGATACGAATTAGACCCCTTGCACTAGACATCAGGTCCCATGGGGGCAAGGGGGACTGTCAGCAGGACGAAGGCTTATAACCTATACCAATAATACCTCCATCGGGGGTGCCCCAGTTTTGCTGGTGGTTAACTGGTATTTGCTATGTCTGACAGGGACCAGGCTGTTATGGGTGGGGGTGCGTCAGAACAGGCCCTCATTTGTCTGGGGAGAGGAAGATCTACGGAAGTTTCGGATCTCCGTCGACGCACCTCCTCGGTGAGTCAACTTCCACGGAGGGGGCTCAAGGGGGTACAAGGAGGGGGGTGCAAGGGCGGGGTCGCTGCTCACTCTTCGACTCATAGTGGGAACCCGGGGACCGGACTGGATTTAGCGGCCGCCTCTCTGTGGCTAGTTGGTGTAGAATATCATGCCGGCAGGCCCTCTGCGACTCGACGTATTTATATCCGTATAATTATCCGTCGTACTTGCCCATGATAGATTTGTTGACTTGAACACTAATACAATCATCTCGCCGACGACGACATCCAATCTGACAAGCCTCGAACTCACAACACCACGCCCATACCAGGACACACAGCCAGCATGACGGACACGGGTGTTGTCGTGGACCAACCGCCCCTGGCAATTGCGCAAGCCCCTTCCTTCTGCAGACTCTGCAACGTGGAATTAAGTGGCCTGCAAGCGTGGCGAGCCCATGTCAAAAGCGATGGGCAGTCAGTCATCTTCTGTTCCTTGGCCAAAAGCCATTTCAAGCTGATGTTTTGATCGCAGTGTCTACAAGCTTCAGTTGAAGGTAGCGGAGCCCGGAAGTGTCACATATCCTCCCTCAGCAGACGCCGATCAAACAAAAAGCGCAGCACTGTCATGCGCTCGAAAGAGAGGTGAACCCGATATTGATATTGGCGCCGACCAAGACCAAGACGTCGACAGCGACACCGAAGACGAACCATCAGCACCGGACTTTGTTCCTGGCAAATGCCTCTTCTGCGCGCAAGAGTCTGGCATACTGGACGACAATCTGACACACATGGCCGTGGCGCACGGCTTCAGCGTGTCATTCCAAGATTGCCTGGCCGTCGACCTCGAGACGGTCGTGGCGTACCTACACTTTGTCATCCACGGCTATCGAGAATGCATATGCTGCGGCACGCGGCGGAGCACAGTCGAGGGCGCCCAGCATCACATGGTGGCCAAGGGGCATTGCCGGTTCGGCGTATCCCCGGACACCGAGGAATTCTACGAGATGCCACAATCTGAAAATGTCGCGTTTCAGCAGACGCAACGTGACGGCAGCATACCGGTGCGCTTGCCGTCAGGAAAGCTCGTCTCACATCGGAGGAATCTCGATACCCAAGAACCTCGAGCCGCTCGCCGAGCAACACCAGACCGAGATCAAGACTCGTTCGCCTTACGCTCAAAGACCTCCTCGACTCCTGGTCTCGAGGTCGCCCGACGGCGGGGAGGGAACGGAAGCGGCGAAATCGTGCGCAGCAGTGAGGCCATACTTGCCGCGCAGCTGTCCAAGCTGAGAATAGCGGGTGATAGAGCACAGCACAAGGAGGAGGAGCGGAAGCGAGGGAGGCTAGAACGAGCGAACAACACAATTTTGTTCAAGCATTTTAGACTGGATAGCGGTGATAGTCGGATAGGTCGTAAATTTTAGGGTCGAGCTAGCTTTTATATTGACGGTTAGCCCGCGCCAACTCCAGGTGCTGGCCGTGGTGTTGGTTCAATGTTGGTAGTAACTAGGCGTAAGGAGGACTTGGAAACTTCGGCTACAATTGCTTTCTTCGAACCTGTGCCACACCTTTCTTGGTCCATCTTTGTTCTTCATGTCAATGCTCTTATCGCACCCGCTTTCATCGACGTAAATTGGGCAGCGAAAATCGAGAAACGATCGCCCATTGCCTCCTGGTTGATTTGCAATAGTAATACGTATCATTGATGATTGCTGTCTGGGTAGGCAGGGATGAACCCCTTTATCAATCGTCCTGTGCGCCGGTTTCATTCTCCCTGTGTACAAAGTCCGCCATACTAGGTAGGTACTGATAACGACTTTCTTTCAACGTTTGCAGCTTAACAGCGGCATAATTCCCTCTTGATGGTATACTATGTATCGAATAAGTAGAGCGATCCAGGGCATAGGGTACTTTCTAGTCCTAGCAATTAACGTAGCGTGTAAGGTTACCGACTTTATAGTCCTAGCGTGTTTATGACCTGATTATGCGGTGGGTAATAAGACCTTTCGATACTTTGTTTCTCAAGGAGTATGCCCGTAAAGATCATCTTTGCTGCTTTAATATGTCAAAAGAAATATATATACAAATATCTAGTTGCTTTTCATCGATTCAGCCTAAGATCGGGCAACGTGGCAGAGTGGTCTAATGCGCTACCCTCGAATCGGCGAAAGGTAGTAACTTCGGTTGCACAGGTTCGAATCCTGTCGTTGTCGAGAGATTGTTTCTCTCCTGAAATCATTCTTTTTACACTCTGAATGATTCTCTTTTTCTTGCGGCACACATCGGGCTCGCTTTTTACTCTGCCTAGCAACTTTCAGCACTGCCACCATTGCTTGTCACGCAGCTTGTCTCTGCCTGAGCTCAGATTCATGAAATAGGAGCCACGCCGTCATTCTTGAGCTGTGGCACTAAGCGGGGCAAAAAAAAAACCGAGCCATGCGTCTTTTAAGAGAATTACTGTAGATTGATTAATACTATTAGTACTGCAGACTTTTTTTTAAAAAGTTACTCTTAACTAGAGCTTTGCGTGCCCTTCTTTGCAGTGCATAAGCACTCATTCAGCATGTGTCGCCTTTTATTTACCCCGCTTGGCCGGGTGATGATAGTGGACTCGCGCGGCAGGCGAAGCAGAGGCTGCCCCCCTACGTCAGCCTGCCTGGGGCAGTGACAAGTGGAAATGAGCAGTCGAGGCATGCGGCAACCCACCAGGATCACGAAGGCGCTGCTACATTTTCCACCGTGATATCATGGTATAAGCAGTAGAAAGTATGTACAGTACATAGATATCCTCTTCGCAGGTTTACTACTTCAAGTACTCTTTTCCCATCGAGCAATCTTTCATTAAGCAGCCTAAGTATTGGTACGCTAGCCAATTGGCAGCAATTTCGATATTAAGTACTATGGGTACATATTCTACGACTGGACCTCAAACAGATATCAGTTTCTCTACGTGCTTTGTCTCAGCTATAGCAAGCATTATCTTTTATCTCCAGTACAGTAGTGTAATGCAGCGCCTTTGTGATCCGAGTGGATTGTAAATGCACAGCCCTCTATGCTGAGCAATCCCCTGCATGTCTTGCGGCCGCCAACAGGTCGGCGCTTATCCGTATACCTACCGGGCACCACTCTTTCCTCAGTAAGGTTGGGGGGTTTGGGACATTGGGACGCCTGGGAGGGCATGGACCCGGCCCTCGACATGTGTGATTTGATTTGGCCCATGACGCACCAAATGGTTGAGTGTTTGCCAAGCCATCCAGCCCCTATCTCTTCGTCAGCTGCCACTTCCGGAGGCGCAGACCGACCGCTCGCCCCTCGCGCCGTGGGCAAACTCCGGGTGGACCAAGTCACCCCCCCACCCATTTTTGCGGTACAGGTACAATTGGCCGAGGTACCCGCTGGCAATGTCGCATCGCCTTACGAATACGTCCGACCTTCCGCGCCCTGCCTAGTACCTTGGAGGTACAGCCTCGGGCTGGTAGCTGGCTGCGCGCTAACGGCTAGCCACAGATGGCTGCGCCTGCCGCCTTCCTCTTCCTCAACCTCCTCACTCTCCTTGCGCAATCCTTCTCTTCCTTCGTCCTCCTCTCCGCCCCAATCAAATACAGCCCTCTCCCCCCTTCTTGGACTGGGGTTTCAGCTTCGTTGTGCTGAGCATTCATCTCTCTTCCGGCAGACAGCCAGCAGCATCCCCGGCAAATCATTGCGATACACTCCGAAGCCCCACCCTCCGAGACAGCATCTGTCGCCCCATCCGTCGCAGTATCAGCAGCCCTTCAACTGCACACATATCTGCCTCTTGCCCCAGATCATTCTACGCGCTCTGCTCTCCAAGCTGCACTCGCTATGGACCTGTCACCTCGTTCCTCGCGGTCCTCGTCGTCGGCCTCTCGCAAGGCCAACCTTACGCTGGATCTCTCCACCCTGCCGCCCCTGACACAACCAACGCCGCCGTCCAACACTCTGCTCTTTACAAACCTCAACAATGTCGACATCTTCCGGCCGGAAAACTTGCAGACCATCCGCGACCTCATCTCCAAGACGGCGCCCATGCACGCCTTTGCGCCGCTCAAGTCGTTCCGCCGCATCGTCATCTCCTTCTTCGACATTGACGCTGCCATTGCCGTCCGCCGGATCTGGGATGGCGAGGCCGTCCTGGGCGAGCGCCTCAAGATTTACTACGGCCAGCAGACGCCGGTCCAGGCCAGAGACGAGCACCTGGCCCTCCCTGACGCCGGGAAGCTCTTCTTCATTTCGCCACCGCCGAGCCCGCCCCACGGCTGGGAGATGCGTCTCGAGGACGCCCCCAACAAGATGGTCCACGCAGAGGATCTCGCAGACGCCCTGGCAAAACTCCACCACCGCAACCCGGCTCCCGAGTCTCCCATGAGCCCCAGCGACGGCTCTACGTTTGGGGGTCGCCCCCGGAGCCGCAGCTCGACCCTCATCTACCGCCCGGCCGACTACGGCTCTAGTCCAGACCTGCCGGCCGTCGTGGTGCACGACATGACCGACGAGCCTGCCGAGATGAGCCCCTTGGAAACCTCGCGCTCCATTATGGCTCATACGGCTCGACCTCCCGTCGAGCTGATGCATGACTCATAACGGTTCGGCTCGTGTACGTTGGCAGCTTGTTTTTGCTTGAGTGCTGGAAGGGAGAAGCATTGGCGCGTACGTTTTTGGCCGGCTGGGATGGCGTTACGGTAATATCATTACAACGGAACCGGAATCAGAGAAAGGATAGGACCAATCTGCTTCAGGGTAGGCTTCTTTGGCGGATGCGTGGCGTTCATCCTCTGGAGCTGACGCGCACAGGTGGAGGCGGATGTTCGATGGTGGATCGAGGCAGGCGTGGCTATAGCATAACGTCCATCGAGCTGTATGATAGGTTCAGCGACGAGTCATGAAATAATTTTGCTTGGCTCGAGAGGCTTTGCCTGCTGGTTCGCAAGATCCAAGTGACGTTTCAATAATCAATGGGGGGTGGGTCGTTGGGCGGAACAAGCGGGCGGAGTCTTCATGGCAGTGGCGGAGACTAATCACGGTACTGCACATGTGAAATCTGGCGGCCGCCTTTGTTGCCGAGAGTCAAGACCTCGTCGCGTTTCCACTTCCGCTTTCGGTACTTTGCGGGTACTTCGCGGTCACCGTGAACCCTCGGCGGTGGCGTCGGCAGAGCGTTTCTCCGCTGCGCCGCTGGTGCCCCACTTAAAGACCCCTGGTCCAACTTGTACCAAGACAGCCTCGCGGGAAAAAAAGGCGACGAGGTTTTCCGACTCAGCTCGACCTTTGCTCAAACTCAGTGCCATTCCGTCATCTAGTGATTGAGTCCACTTTCAATCGCCAAGCCATGAGCTGTGCCTGTCGCGCCCTGCCATGGAGGATCTTTGTCCAAAGCCTGGCCCAAGTCCATCGGCTCGAGTCGACAACCACTCGAGGGGCCGTCCGTCTGGCACCGACAATACCGCCATCGACGATCCATGGCCGGCTCTTGAGCGCGGCGCGGCAGCAGCATGGCTTTCACGCTTCGGCAACTTCAAGACAAGACGCTGCGGCCGCGGCTCATGCTGCGGTAGTTGAAACGCCGCAACAGCACCCGACTGCTTCATCTCAAGAACCCGAATCCAGAGCGATTGCTTCGTCGCCGCAGCCACCCCGGACCGGGGATTCGGAGACGTCACCGAGGGCAAAAGGGGCGCGAAAAAAAGACACCGGCGAGGTGAAAGCGAGGAGCCCAGATGCGGATCCGCAAGCGGCGCCGAGCCGGCAAAACAGGCCGGAGCAGGGACGGAGGATAAAGACGTCGGTACCCGGCAGCGCCAAGGAGAACGACGGACTCTTCTCGGTGCCGCTCATACCCAAGCTTGAAAGCTGGAAGGCGCAGAAGCTCGCGCTGAAGAAAAAGTTCCCTGAAGGGTGGAGGCCGCGCAAGAAGCTGTCGCCCGACGCGCTGGCGGGGATTCGCGCCCTCAACGCGCAGTTCCCAGACGTGTACACGACGGAGGCGCTGGCCGACAAGTTCGCCATGTCGGCCGAGGCGATCCGGCGGATCCTGCGGAGCAAGTGGCAGCCGACGACGGAGCAGGAGCAGGACCGGCAAGAGCGGTGGTTCCGACGAGGCATGCAGGTGTGGGAGCAAAAGGCGGCGCTGGGCATCAAGCCGCCCAAGAGGTGGCGCATGGAGGGCATCGCCCGGGACCCGACGCACCACGAGCGCAGCCAGAGAGCGGCGCTGCGGGAAAGGGAGATTGAGGAGAGGGAGATTGAAAAGTACAAGGCGGCGCGGCCGTGGCTGAAGTTTGCGAAGCGCAAGGGGGAGACGGAGTGACGGGGCAGACGGGCGTGCGGCACGAGAAGCAAGCGGGAGACGACGTCTTGCTCTTTCTTGACGGAAAGGGGCGCGGAGGGCGGATCCGATGGCAAGCTCCTTGTCTACGCCCGGCGAGAGGAAGCTGTACCATCGCCCGATGCGAACGAAGCTCCCAGCCTTCAGCTCTGGAAACAAGGCGCATCGTGCGCTGCTGTCGAAAGTGGTTCAAGAGAGGGAAGCTGATCTTCACCGAGAGGCACCGAGAGGCCGCTGGCTCCACAGCATTATGCGCCAGGCAGGAGGAGGTACTTCGCTGGTACTGTCTGGCCACACGAGTAGCCAGCGCGTACTTGAGAGGTACACTCGAAATGTACAATAGCATGCAACCAAAGCTAGCAAGCAAGAAGCTCGAGAGTTTCCAAATGTTTCAGTTTCTGGCTCGAGCTCCGTCAACCGAGGGGTCGTCGGAGAGTACGTCCCTCGGGTTTGCGACGACAGAGCGTCTTTCCCCGTCTTCTTCCCCTTCCGCTTCGTCTTCATCCTTATATTTTGTAACATCCAATTCGCTTCCTCGTGCTGCTGCGGCTGGTTCCTACTGTATTTTCCTGCTTCCCGGGCCGAGCGGAGACAGACGCCGGACATTCTGCCGTTGTCCGAAACGCACCCTCTCTCTCCTCGTCGCAAGCCATCGTCATACCCGCCGCCCTCGTCATACTCGCCGCCCTCATCGTACTCGCCGCCCTCGCCTTCAACACCATCCCCGTCACGCACGCATCCCCCGCCATGTCCCGCTACCCGCGCCCGCCGCAGCGCGACTCATGGTTCGCCCCCCTCTCGGCCGACCTGCTCCTGCGCGTCCTCAACGTCACGCTGCTGCACCCCTTTGTCTGCTGGCTGATTCCGCTGTGCCTGCGCGCCCGCACCGTCAAGTGGGAGGCGCCGCCGATGCTGGCCGCCGCCGCCTGGGCCTCGCTCGTCTCCCTCTGCTGGGTCGCCGCCGCCGCCAACCAGCGCATCGCCCACGGCGCCCCGCGTCGCGTCGACCTGGACGAAGAGGTCATCGTCATCACCGGCGGCGCCAGCGGCCTTGGCATGCTCCTGGCTGAGGTCTATGGCATGCGCGGCGCCACCGTCGCCGTGCTTGATGTGCGTGACATGGAGAATGGCGAGGCCAGGGGCGTGAGTTTTTACAAGTGCGATGTCAGCGACAAGGCGCAGGTTGCAAAGGCCGCCGCCGACATTGAGAGAGACGTGGGCTTCCTTGAAATTTTCCCCTCCCTCGTGTCATTCAATTTCCTCTGCTGACTGCTCGCCAGCTCGGGACGCCCACGGTGCTCATCAACAACGCCGCCATCGTCGTGGGCAAGTCGCTGCTCGACCTCAGCCTCGACGAAATCGACACCAGCATCGCCACCAACCTCCTCGGCCCCTTTTACTGCCTCAAGGCCTTCCTCCCCGCCCTCATCCGCTCCGACCGCGGCGGCACCATCGTCAACGTCTCCTCCGTCATCGGCCACCTCGGCGCCGCCCAGCTGACCGACTACGCCGCCGCCAAGGCCGGCCTCACCGCCCTGCACCGCTCCCTGTCGGCCGAGCTGCGCCGCTCCCACCCGGCCATCCGCACCGTCCTCGTCACCCCCGGTCAGCTCAGCACCCCGCTCTTCTACGGCGTCGAGACCCCAAACAGCTTCTTCGCCCCCGTCGTCGAGCCCGTCGATGTGGCAAAGGACATCATCGCTGCCATTGACGGCGGCCACGGCATCACAGCCGCCATGCCCCTCTACGCCCGCTGGGTCGACTGGTACAACGTCTTGCCCGTCGGCCTGCAGCTCCTCGCCCGCAACGTCTCGGGCATCGACCGCGGCATGTCTACCTTTGTCGGCCGCCAGGGCATCGCCGAGCAGGCAAAGGACAAGTCGACATAGACGGGAGCGGGAGCCGGCGCCCAACAATGTGCGAAATGGCCGTGTATATTTTGTTCACCCATAGAATTCATGTGTACGGAGTAATGCCAGCTGTAATGTCTATGAACTTCTCCCCGGGGTGACAGCATGCGCCATTTGGCATGCGTCCCCGTTGCGTCGCGAACGAATAAACAAAACACGACAACAAGGGTCATGAAATACAAAGCAACGCAGCCACCAAAGCTGCCGTGGTATCTCAACAAAGATAATGGGGGTATCTCAAGAATGACGCGGCATCTCAAGAAAGGCAATCCAGCCCTTGAGTAACAAACCGGCTTCTCCGCCACTCGCCTTCCTAAGACCAGCTTCGGAGCCAAAGAAAGGAAAAGACAAAAGCGCAAACAGTATCAAAGAGTGCGTCAATCGTCCAATTCAACATACGCTCTCGGCGCCGGCCCGGCAATCACCGAAAACTGCCCGCCGCAGCCGGCAAATGTAAACGTCACGTCGGTGACCGCTCTGCCGCTGAGCAGAGTTGGCCTTTGCACCGACTCCTCTGTGCCCAAGCCGGTGCGGTAGCCATCGGAGAAGCCCCATGCAAGGACCTTGCCTTTGGCGTTGATAGCGAGCGAGTCGTCGATGCCCGCGGCGACCTGGGAGGCGTCGAGACCTGGAGCGGCGGGTTAGCAAATATCGTTGAACATTCACGGAATAATGCAAGACGGCACTGACCTGGTATAACGGTGGGGACAGTCAAGATGCGAGGCTCGCCCCGGTCGTTGCCCACAATGTCCTCACCCGGGAGTGACTCGACGGCGATACCGAGCTGAGCATCGTCGCAGCGTCCCCATCCGACAACCGTGCCATTATCGGTACACGCGAGACTGTGGTGAAAGCCGCCGGCCATATGGGTGATGCGACGGCCCCCAAGACTACCAACCACCCGGGGCAGCTCAATGTACAGGGTTTTCCCTTCGGCGGGAATGCCCGTCTGCCCAAAATTATTGAGACCCCAAGTCCAGACAGAGCCCTTGTTGTCCACGGCGAAGCTGTGATGGAAGCCGGCGAAGATGCGGACAATGGCTCGCTTGGGCAGATTAATGGCCCGCGGCACCAGCGACTCGACCTCGTGCCGTTGCCTCAGGCCGAGCCGGCGGCCAAGCTCGGCCTGCTTGCCACTGCCCCAGGCGTAGACGGTGCCGTTGTGAGTGAGGGCCAGGACGTGGTTGACGCCCGCGGCGAGCTCCTTGACGTCCCCAAGTCCGGCGATTTGAACGGGCTTCGTCTGGAAGAGCTGCTCGGGCGTCGGCTTGTTGCGGCCTTGGATGTTTTTCTTGAGGAACCCAAAAGGTCCATTGTTGCCCTGCTCATGAAGAAAGTCAGTCAGCTCATTCCTTTTTGGCTCACACGATCAAAACAGCGTACGAAAAAGGTCCCCCAGCCGTACACGAGACCGGTAGCCGTCAGGACAAATGTGGCATTGTCCGTGGCGACGACTTGTGTGAAGACGTGGCCCAGGTCCGACAGGCCCGTCACCTCCATCGGCGTGCTTTCGAGGGATTGCAAGTCCGTTTCAGCCGCGTCAGGCGAAGCAGGGGGAGTCGTGGTGTCACGGCCGAGGGCCTTGGAGTCGTTGACGCCCCAAGTCAAGACGCGGCCGTCGTGCGTCAACGCTGCGCAATGCATGCCCCCGACGGCGAGCTGGACGACGCCAACCGAGACTGGGTTAAGAAGACGGTTGATGCGCGGACGCTCGGCCATTGCGGGATTGCCATCATGGTACGGATGGGGCCCGAGACCGAGCTCGCCGCCGTCGCCGGTGCCGAAGACGACAACCCGGAGCCGTGTCGTTGGGGCCTTGTTGGTCTCCTTGGCCTTTGACGTTCGCTTGCGCGGCCGAGCCTCGTCCGCCTCCCCCTTGACGCTGTCGAAGCGACGCTTTGGAGGGCGAGCAGGCGGCGGTGCGGCATCTTGAACCACGATGACCGACTCTTCCCTGCTTGATTCCCGCTTAACCTGTATCGCGTTTTTGTCAGCCATGCCCAACAAACACGACAAGGTCTTGGGTCAAAAGAGTTACGCACCCTTGCCTGCGGCGAGGAGCTTTGCTTTATCCTGGTGCGAGGCATGTTTGCTGGCGTTGGCAGGAGGAAAGACTTTGGGCGTGGGAAACCGGCTTAGCGATGGGCGATAAGTGAGTGATGGGAGAGTATGCCCAATGAGAGTGTTTGTTTGTGTGCCTCGAGGTTGCGCGATTCACGGCAAGTCGCTTGTCTGTGGTGATGGTGGCTCGCGCGGTGACGAAGGATGCGAATGAGGAGCCGGCGTGAGAAAGGGACGACGAGGTTTTGTCTTGTCCTGTCTGGTGCTTGGGAAGGCATTTTATTGCGACGGAGTAAGAGGACTCCGTGAACAAGGAGGGCAAAGAAGTCGACGAGGCATCCATTCTGAACAGTCGACAATGAGGACAACAAAGGTTTCAATCGAGTTCGCTTGCGCTTCATTGACTGCACCGGAGACAATGAGTGTGAGTGATTCAATGGGAAAAATAGCAGTGATGAACTGAAGGGGAGAAAGGCTTGTCACGCGTGGCCTTGTCCTCCTTGGGAGTCAAAGGGGGTGGGTATGTTATATCTCTATGCTTGTTCAACGAGGCCATTATGGTTGACGGAAAGCTTGGTTGACGTGGGACTCGCCTGCAGGAACAGGGGGGGTGAAGCAGGCTCTCACGTTGCACCGAGCTCTGCCCCGGCCTAATCAGAGCCCTTGTGCAGGTGTCTTTGTGATTGTTTGCCTTGTTGTACCGCCATTAGGCGCCATTGGGCCATCGACAGCCTTGCATCCACGACCATGCCATCCAAGCGCCCGATGAGGAAGCCGAGCGGGGCGGGCCGTCTGTTCTGTCAAGGCGGAAACCAGGGGGGGGAAATAATCAAAAGAAAATAAAGAAATAGACGGTGCTGCCGAGTGGTCACATCGTGGCTTGCCCGCGTTACCGATGCCTGCTTGGATTCGCCGCACCGCGACAACCAAGTATACCGGAACGGAGTAGCGCACACTCACGGGCCCTTGCTGTGACATCATGAGCCTCTGTCTCGTCCCACGTGGGTCACCTCGATTCACCGCTGCCAGGCACCTGCTGTAATTACCTACGGCAGAATGGCCACCAACTGGCAGGAGCTGTGGGCAATTTCCTTGGCCTCCCCTGGCCGGTCGCCCGAGGAAACCGCTCCTTCTCTGCCGCCATGTTAAGTTACTTGGCTGCGGCTTCCCTTGTTAGTACTGGAACCGCTTCCTCTTTCTCTTTCTGCTGGACGTCGAAGCGTACTGTAGCTTCAGCATCCTGCCCCCGCCCTCTCTCTTCCTCTTCTTTCAAGGATCCCCGTCGCCATTCCTCCAATCTCCCCAGCCTCGTTGACGAGTCGATTGGCCGTATGCAACCGTTGCAGAATTTTGGAACCGACTGAGATTGCTTGGCCTCTTAGACGCCTTTGCTTCGTCTTGCCTTGCCCCGACCCGTCGACCTGCTGAGCTCTTCAGTCGCCAGACTCGGATCCTGCCTCCTCTTTGCCTTGCCTTGCTTGGTGAACCTGCCAGCTTCCTCGATATCCAAACGACGCCATCATGATGCAGAGCTCCTTGCTGGCTGCCGTTGCGGGCCTTGCTGCCTCGGTTGCAGCTCTTGATCCCGTCGAGGCGACCGGCAACAAGTTCTTCAACAAGGATGGATCGCAGTTCTTTATCAAAGGTGTGTTGCGCCCAGGCCCGTGCCAGGGTCGGAGCTGACAAAAGGCAGGTGTTGCGTACCAGCTCCAGCCACAAGATCCCCTCGTCGACACCCAACAGTGCAAGCTGGACGCCAATCTCATGAAGGACCTCGGCGCCAATACGATCCGCGTCTACCATGTCGATGCCGACGCCGACCATGACGGCTGCATGAAGGCCCTGGCAGACGCCGGCATTTACCTCCTCGTCGACCTCGACACTTTTGGCACCTACATCGAGCCGGTACGACGTCCACTCCCCTCCCCTCCGGCTCCGGCTTTGGCCAGCTCTGACTCCTCCAATGCAGGTGACACTTTCCTGGAATGACACCCAGTACGACGAGTATGCCAAGGTCATGGACACCTTCCACAAATACGACAACGTTTTAGGCTTCTTCGTTGGCAACGAAAATATCGCCACCAAGGACGCCTCGCCTGCCGCCCCCTTGCTCAAGGCCGCCGCGCGTGACATGAAGGCCTATCGGGACAGCAAGGGTTACCGCAAAATCCCCGTCGGCTACTCTGCCGCCGACATCAAGGAGCTTCGTCCCATGCTTCAAGACTACCTGACGTGCGGCGACAACTCGTCCGAGATTGTCGACTTCTTTGGCCTCAACTCGTACTCTTGGTGTGACCCCAGCACGTACGAAGAGTCGACGTACAACCAGCTTCAAGAGTATGCCAAGGGCTTCCCCGTCCCCATCTTCTTCACCGAGACGGGCTGCAACGTGCCAGGTCCTCGAAGGTGGGACGACATGGACGCCATTTTCAGCAAGCCCATGGTGAATGACTGGAGCGGCGCTATTGTCTACGAGTGGATCCAGGAGCAGAACAACTACGGCATCATCACGTACGGGTCTCACGTCGATGAATCGGGCCGCAGCGACGAGGCGGCTGCTGATGGGTTTCCACGCCAGGGCATGCCCACCCCTAGGAGCCCCGACTTTGACAACCTCAAGTCCAAGTGGGCCGGCTCCCATCCCTCTGGCGTCAGCAAGGCCGACTACGATGCCAAGGCCGTGTCGACGCGCCCGTGTCCGACGTCAACGCCTGGTGGCTGGTGGCAGGTGGATGGCAACGTCAAGCTGCCCACCCTGGGCGACCGCCACCCCGGACCCAGTTCCACGGTGGATGCCAGCGCAAGTGAGAGTCAGAAGAAGCCAGTCGAGACGGCGACTCGCATGGGCGACGACAACAGTGGCAACGCAGCTTTGGCTGACCAACGGATTGCTGCCATTGGGGCGGGCCTGGCGGCAACGGTGCTCTTTGTCGCACTGATTCTGTAGGACCACGGCCTTGCTTTGATGGCGCTTCATCCCCCCAATACCCTTTATGCGAGGCGAAGCGTTTGTGCTCGGCTTGGACTTGTCTAGAAGTAGAGGGCACTCTGTGTGGCTTGCGACAAGGTGGGATGCCCAGGCTGTTTATATATACCCTGTTTCTTTATCTATCTTAGTGACAGACAAACGAGGTAGCGGCTTAATGATGACGATGGTGCCAGGACCAGACTTGAATGCGAGGAGCTGAAATGCTGTGCGTACTTGCAAAGACACAGCCCGGCCGTCTCATGAAACGTGACTGCGCTGCCCAGCCCTCCCATTGCGCATTTGCCAAGCATGATCCACAAGGATGGTCGTCACAGGATTGCTGTCGTCGGCGCTCATGCGCTCAGCTTCCGGCTCGCTACCGCTGTTGATGTCCTTTCTGCCCGCAAACGTAAAGACGACGCCGACGGTGACGACGGCGAGGAACGAGACGAGGAGAATGCCCATGATGAGGTAGCGCAGGCGGTAGTCGTAGCGATGATCTCGGCGACCCCAGGGGCTGCGGGTGTGCGTTTGGCACTGGAACTTGTCCATCATAATGTTGGCAAGGTTGAATACGGCTAGATGCCTTGAGGATCAGAATAGGGGCGTTTAGGAGTTGGTCCACAGGGAGTCGGAGGACGAGGTGAAAGACGAGATGTAGGGCTTGCTTTGGTGGCAAAGACGGTGTCATGCGTGCGAGCTGATGATGACTGCTAAGGAAGGCCCGCCATGTGGCCCTTGTGCAGCAGATGGCGGAGGCAGTTGCGCAGACAGCTACGCCTGCGTTCATTGCTGCAGTTGACAAGGTCTATAGCAAAGAGGGCAGTGCGGCAGAGGTAGACACAATGGGGCTATTTTCAATGTCGATGCGCATTTCTGATGGTGGAACACAAAGTAGATGGGTCGGCGCTCTCGCGCCTTGAACACGTGCGCGTGTACTTGATCACTTGTGCATGGCGAGGATGGCCTTGAGGCTGAATATCAAATGAACAACCCCTGGGCTGGAGATGCTTTGCGGGCGGGTGGTGGAGCGGGAAGCTATTGTCATAGTCATATGGCATTGAAGCTGTTCCCGGGTAGTTGTTTCAAGTGCCAACGGACAGAAAAATGCTCGATTATTCCATTGCGAGAACATGGCAGCCAGAGTGAGGATGTCGAGGATTGACTGATGGGAGCTTGGAGGGCCACAAGTAGCCACCATTGCCGTTACTGCTGTTGCGTGATGGTAGCTGTCTGCGGCGGTATGGTCAAGTTTTGGCCATCAGCCATCTCTGGCAACATACAATCGACATTTCAGAGACGCATGGCTCCGTCATAACATGATCACAATCACCACACAGTAGTGCGAGTCACATAGAGACGCTGGTCCAACAAGCATTTGTTGAGCGCGAGGGGTATAGCCTAGAACCTGTCCTCTTTCTGGAACCCGCGGCTCCCAGAGTCACGCCCGTGCTCAAAAGTCGCCCCTTTTCTCGAAACGACCTCGATGCTCAACGACGCGCTCGTCCTCAAATTCCTCCTCGTCCTCAAAACACGGCTCCATAGGCGTCCATGGATCATCCGGTTTGTCGAAAATCTCGGGATGGTTGACGACGCAGTCTTCCACGACGTGCTGTTCGTCTGCGGTAAAGTCTGAACCTCGGAAGCAAGTCTCCAAGAAGCCAAATGGGTTCTCCGGGTGGGTGAGAAATTGTCCATTGCCGATGATGCAGTGAGCCATGTCATGGCGTGCCTTGAGCCGAGCGATAAGAGATGATCCCGCGGATGCGGCGAGCTCGGCGCCGTAAAGGCAGGCGAGGGTAGCTAGGAACACAGGCTTCATTGCGGGGCAGTCGCAGCAGGATTTGAGGTTAACGGATGTCGGTCCTTGAAGCTAAATCAAAGAGCAAGGGGTTTCTTCTTATACGTGGGCGCCGCTTCCTCTGTTCCGGGACGGCATGGCTCGAGTGGGCGGCCCTGCAACGCTAAGAGCCTAAGAGGCTGAGGCAGGTATGCTTGGGCGTAGACATTGACGAGGCCAAGCGCCGTCGTTGTGCGCAGCAAGTCTCAGGCACTGGAACTTTTTGCTTGAGCTGGCTTGTGCCTTGTGGCATCCGGGCAGGGGTATCTAGGACGTTGTTTCGCAGCGGTCAATATTCTCCGAGGGTGCTCAGCAACTACGGATAGCTGTCAAGCTGGAAGCCGTTGGAAAGGGACATGGCTTTGCAGTTGCCAAGGGCCACGGCGTAGTTGTAGCGATTGGTTGGGTTGGCTGTGGCCCGTGATTGGCCGGCGGCCCTTGAATAGGTAGTGGTACTTCGTACAGGCATACTTTCTAACTTATCAAGTCGAAGACAAGATTCGGAGCTACAGCGGGGTGGAGTTCAGCGGATGCCGCCACAGCGCCCAACACAAACTCGGCGTGACTGTTCGTGCGCTGGCTGCCATCTGGTCAGAACTCTAGAACAGACGCCGGCACGTGACGAAGAGCAAGATGGGCGCGGTTGTGAATACGAGAGCGATCAGCAGCGGCAGTGAGGCAGAGCAAACCGCTACATAAAGGAAGGGCGAGAGAAGAGGGGCATGGGAGAAAGGCATGGGAATACAAACGTAAATCAGAATGTCCTTTCAGCATTCTCACCAGCGACGACGACGAGGCGCTGCTTTTGGGTTTTGAATTTGGCCGTCAACAATTTTTTTTGGCGGCAAACGCTGTGAGGATTGTGTATCTTGGGTGGCAGAATTTGGGGGCACGATATAAGGGCAGGCGGCGCGACTGACTCAGCAAATTTTCTCCGACCGCCCGCCATCTGCTCGCCTCAACCGCCAGGTCGGCATCGTCAAGCCGTCTCTCGCGAATGCCCTCCAGCCTTTCCTCTTGCTCCTCCTGCCGCCGACACAGGCCTCTTGCATGCGCTCCCAGCACCGGTGAGCCGACGCAATTGGCAGCATGGCCGAGCCGGCGCAAGCTGCCGAGAGCGCCTCGGCCTCGAGTACGTCTGACCACGTCTGCGCCGGCACCGAGCCAGAGTCTGACTGCGTGTGTGCTGTGCAGGCATCAAGCAGGAGCCCGATCCCATCGACCTGGACGGTCTCGACTTCACCGACCTGTCTCGCGAGCTTGCGTCCAAACGGCCGTTCGAGCAAGTAGACCAAGGCCCGAGCCAAACCCCAGAGGCCAAGAGGGCCAAGACGGAGATCCACGACGACGAGGAGTTGCTCGAGAATGGGCTGGCTCTCCTCGTCCAGAATGCGCTCTCCAACGTGGGCGACCTGGTGGATCACTTCAGCGCAGAATCCGACGAGCCGCCAACAGCCACGACAGAGCCCATGGACATTGACGCCGCCCCCGCTCCCCCCGAACCGCGACGAGCTCGCCCGTCCTTTTCTGCAGACCCCCAAGCGTACGTTCGCGATATGAACATCAATGCGCTGGGCTGCATGGTACGTCCAATCCCGACGTCGGGCGTGGCCGGCCGCTGACTGGACTCTCCGCTACAGGCGCTGTCATTGCTGCACATACTGGTGCAGCAGCCCCTCGACGACACCATGGGCTTCATCAAGGACGCCGAGTCCGACCACGGTCGCTCATACCGACAACTGAGACACTCATTCGAACAACTCCGCCTTCTCTACACTCCAAAGCCCGCCCTATCCGCCAAGGAGCTGGGCATGGACCAAGACGAGTTGCGGACCTGGATCGAGCTGGCCAACCTCGCCCAGCTCGGCTCTTGGCTAGCCGATGGCAGCCCTGGCTCGCTCTCCGAAGCCGACGAACACTTCCTGGCCATGTTCAGCTGCCAGGTTTCCGATCTGCCGCCCGGCATGACGGAGCTGTACCTCGGCATCATGACGCAAAGAGCCGTCGAGTCGCTCGTGGTTAAGGGGCCTGAGAAACCGTCGGAAGAGGTTCTCGGAGAGGTTCTGCTGTCGGGGCTCGAGGACAGGCTACGTGGGCAGCACGGGGGCGACGAGCTGACCTCTGCCGACCAGACCTTTGTCTCCACGGTGCAGTCCCGAAAGGAAACCCTGCAGGGCGAAGCAGAAGAGCAAATGGAGCCGAGTGAGTCGACCTAACGGAAGCTTTATGGCTTCCAATGCTGACTGCCGTCACAGCTACGCTACGAGAGAAGCACCCTACAGAGCACTTATTACGGACCTTTGTGTCCTGCGTCCGGTCGCGGCTTCGGTCCGAGTCTGAGTTGTGCAGTAGATTTGGCATCTCCATCGAGCTCGGCGACGACGAACCGACGATAGTGCAAGAGGCGACGGACCCGGTCGACGACGTCGAGATCGACTTTGACGAGCTATCCTCCTTCTTTGAAAAAACGGCGTCGGGCCTGGTCCAGAACGCCCTGGCCGGCCTGACCGAGGACGCCGGCAGCGCATCAACACCAATGGAAGAGAGCGGCGAACCGTCGACGGAAACAATAGATGGCGAGCCCAAGGCGGATACAGCTCCTGCTCTAACCAATGGCAAAATCGACCTCATGACCGACTACAAGGAGCTGGAGGCGCTGGTTGCCGAAAGCACCTCCAACTACGTCAAGACGACCCTCCACGGGCTCTCGCCGATTCCGTACCAGCCGACAGTGCCCCAGACCACAAGTGAGCGTTGATTCCCTATGCCCAATTGTGGCAAGGGAGGTTGAAATGCTGACGTTGCGTAGCCGAGAGCATGGCGGCTCAAACGCCATACCTGCAGCAACTACAACAGCACCAGGCACAGCATCCCTACTACGCAACCTGCTCACAGCCCGTGCCGGAACCGCAGATGCCGTCGCCGTCGCCGGGCGAGCATCTGCCACCGAATCAAACCTTCCCCAGCGCCATTCTCTATGACAAGGCCCGACAGGCGGCCCTGTGCAAGTCGTCAGCGCACACGAGGCGCGAGGGCGTCCACTCGACGCGCCGGCCGTGGACGCAGGAGGAGGAAAAGGCGCTCATGGCAGGGCTGGACATGGTCAAGGGCCCGCACTGGAGTCAGATTCTGACCCTTTTTGGACACAACGGCACGATTTCGGACATCCTCAAGGACCGGACGCAGGTGCAGCTCAAGGACAAGGCCCGCAACCTCAAGCTCTTCTTCCTCAAGACCAACTCGGAGATGCCCTACTATCTGCAGGCCGTCACGGGCGAGCTCAAGACCAGGGCCCCGACGCAGGCGGCCCGCAAGGAGGCCGAGGAGCGGGCCAAGCTCACCTCGGACGAGGAGCAGGCGAAGCTGCAGGGCATCATGGCGCTGGCAGGCGGGCTGCAGCATCCGCCCCAGACGAGAGTGGCGCCGGCGCCGACGGCGACGGCTTCGACGACGAATACGGCTGCTCCCGCGAAGGCGCCGGCGGCAGCGTCTGGCGTTGGAAGTCCGGCACAGGCGGCGGGCAACATCGGCGGCGCCTCTACTGCACCAGTGCAAGGCGTCATGTTCAAGCCGCCCGCGGGCAACACGGCGACCCAGGCAGCAGCCCAGAGACCTGCCTTGGCCACGTCAACAGCCGGCACCCATCACGCAGGCAGGCCGTCAGGGGTGCAGGCGACGACGCAGCAGGTTCTCCAGGCCATGCCCCAGGCGCCTCTGAGGCCGCAGTCTCAGCTGCCGCGGCCGCAGACGCAGCAGGGGAATCCGTCTCAGTCACAGGTCCAAACGCAGCCGCAGACGCAGAAGCACAACACTCCCGCCACTGCACCTCCTTCTCTTCAGCCGACGCAGAGACCACTGGCTCAGGCTTCGCCGACGGTTCATGGGCATCCTGCCCCTGCCCCTTCCCCTGCTTCGACTTCGGCTCCTCCTCCGGCTCCGATTCCCGTCCCGGGCGTAGCTACGTCTGCAACTCCGGCTCCGGCTCCGGCTCCGGCACCAGCTCCAGTCTCGGTCCCGACCTCGAACCGTGCCTCCCCCCTGGCTCCAGCCCCTGTCCCCGCCCCGGCTCCAGCAGTCCCGACTCAACCCCCGGCTCAAGCCACTACTCCGGCGCAGGCCCAGACTCAACAAGCCCAGGCTATTCCAAGGCAGCAGCCGCAAACACCTTCAGCTATAGCGAATTCGACGATGACGGCCGACATCGCAACTGAACAAGTAAAATCGCCACATGCACAACAACATGCGCAGCAACCCCAGCAGCCGAAGCCGCAACCGCAGCCGCAACGGCGTCTGGAACCAAGCCCACAAACACCGCAACCTGTACAGCATCCACCTCTAAAGACATCGCCGCCGCCGCCGCCGCCATCACAAGAACAACTTCCACCTCAACAAAAGCAGCCGCCCGAACCTGCCCCCGCTCCTCCTGCGGCGCAGCGGGCCCAACCGGTCAAATCAGCGTCGCCAACACTGACGCCGCCACCGCCCACCCGAGCGATGCCACCAGAACCGCCAAACGAGACACAACACGACGACAGCGCGGCAGAGGCAGCCCTGCTTGAGGGTCTACAAGCCGTCGTGGCACAGAGCCTGGCATGAGCATGCGCCACTCACGTTGCATGGCCGCGGCCATGGGCGGTCACATCGATAAAAATTCAATGTCTGTTGGTCATGCTGAGATATCGTGTAACGATACCAGCTTTTCCCGCTCTTCCGCTGCATATCCACGCCATCCACAGAAAAGCCGACGGCGGTGAGGGGAGCGATTTAGTGGCAAGCGGGCGCCATTCTGCACTTTTGCACAGCGGGAGCACGAGGGGTCATCGACCTTGGTAGGCTTCGGCTCGACGTTGTCATTCGTGGAGGAAATAGGGATAAGGAGAGTTTTGTATCTACAGGCAACGGTATGCTGTTCTTTCCACTGCAAATGATACCAAGGAGGGAAATGATAGATTTGCTCGGAAATGGAGAGGGGCAACTCGTTGGACAACGAGGAGCAGAATCTGTTAAGCAAGAAAGAGAGAGACTGGGCGCGGTCCCGGTCGGTAGCATGAAATCTACGCTCATGAGCTGGAAGCCGCCTCTAGGCCGGTTGTCTCGTAGCACAGACGGAGTCATCAACAACCCATACGAAGCAAGAGCGTCCAGTTGAGAAATTGCTGGTCCCCGGACGAGGCTGACTCTGCAAGCATCCGGCGACGATGGGGTCTATCCGAGGGAGCTAGGCCTCTCATTGCGCCACGTCTTGAGCCTGGAGCAGCCAGCTCGGCGAGCCTTGTTGGGCATGAGCGAGGCGGTCTTGTGTAGCGATGGGGAGAGGTTGCCTTGCGGGCCAACGAAGCGGCGATGGGGGAGAGAGCGTGTAAGGTGCGAGTCGAGGCTGTCGTCGCCCGTGCGGTCCCGGCCTGCATGCTTGCTTATATGAGTCTCGAGGATGCCCGTCTTCTTTCTCCCTGCCCTTTTTGTTCGCACAGCTGTCTCGGTGTTGAGAATTACTTGCGCCTCCAGGACCGCGGAAAGCCGAGGAACTTGGTAACTTATATGTCTGGCTTTCTACCCGGCAGACAAGGAAGGGTAACAGGACAGTCATGGAGACGGGCCGCGCACAGCTGGTCTGGCAGCCGCTGACAGCAATACGGCACGAGCGATGCAGAATGGCCAACTGCGCCGAGCCTACCGGCGCCTTTCTCTCACATGGTAAAACGGTCTTGACCGAGTCGATGTATTGCACCAAACATTCGTGTTTCATGGTTGATGACAACGACGTGCTGTGCCAGTTCCCCAGGTCGCAGAGCAGTCCGTTTTGCGAAGACCGTGAGTCGGCTTCTGCCGCCCCGTTTCTTCCTCGGTTCCGGCTGATGGGAGACGGCCAGATTTATGGTGCTCGGCGAGGCTGGGAGGAGAGGGGGCGAGATGCAAGCAGCCCGTGCGCGAGGGTGCGCCGGGAAAATACAGGTTTTGCTTCGAGCATCGTACGGCAGCCCCTTTTCCTTTGCGCCCCTCCTTCTCACCCGCCTTGTTATTCTCCTCCCCGTCTCCTGCCCCCCTGACCAGCCATTCGAGGTGGAGAAGAAGGGGAGACGAGACGAGGCCCCTGGAGCTGACCGACGGCCTGCGAGAGCAGACGGCTGCGTCGAGGCCGGCTGTAGAAGCAAGCGCGATCAACGCGATCAACGCGACCCCGCCGGCGAGGACCTACAGCGCTGCGGCGACCACCGGTGCGCAGTCCAGTTCTGCCCCAACCTCAGGCGCGAACACGGCCACTGCGCGGCGCACACGTGCGCGAGCCCCGACTGTCAAGCCCGCGTGCCCGGCCCCGGAACAGCAGCAGGCGCGGGCCGGTTCTGCGACCTGCACCGCCAGTGCCGGCTCGAAGGCTGCGACGAGCCGGTCAAGCGCCGCAGAGCCGACGGCCCCGTGGGCGTGGCGCTGGCCCTCTGCCGCGAGCACGGGTGCGGCGCCGAGGAGTGCGCCGAGCAGCGGCCCCTGACGGGCGACTTCTGTCGCGCCCACGAGTGCTCCGCGCCCGAGTGCCGCGCCGCGCGAAGGGCTGCGCAGCGACGACGCGGCGGCGGCGGCGCGCGAGGAGAGGACGGCCAGGAGGCGGGCGACGAGCTCGGGCCGGGCTACTATTGCCGCCAGCACGAGTGTGCCGAGCAAGGGTGCTGGCGGCCGAGGACGCACGGCCGGACGTGCCGGGAGCATCAGGGCTGTGCGCGCGCGGGATGTGCGAATTTCGTCGAGGCCGATGAGCGGGGCGACGTGTGTCGACAACGTGAGCTGCCTCTCTCTCTCTCTCTTTTTCTCTCTCGGGCGTCGTCCCCCAGAAGCCATGGCTGTTGTTTTGGTTGACCTCGCACGGCAGACCGCCTCGGGCCCTGCCACTTCATCGACCGCGCCGGCGACGTCACCGCGCCGTGCCCGCGCCGCGCCGAGCCCGACGCCCGGCACTGCGCGCTGCACCTCTGCGCCGTGCGCGGCTGCCGTCGCGAGCGCCCGCACGCGGGGGCCGAGTACTGCGCCGCCCACGGGTGTCGGCGCGGGGACTGCCGTGGCCGCGCCGCCGGCGATGCGGGCCTGTGCGGGGCGCATGCCCGGGAAGCGGGGCCGGCTCCGGCGCCGGGTGGGGCCTGCGCCGCCATGTAGCCACCACCACCATCACCACCCCCAGCCGCCTTGTTTTTTTCCCCTTGGCCGCTGCGCAGGGCCCTCGCTTTCTGCTGCGCTTGCCTTTTTGCGGCCATGGGGCGGACGGGGATCGTTGTTGATGATGCAGCCCGCGCGTCTAATATAAACAACCAGGTCCTCCATCAACGGGCCCCCCCTCGTCTCAGCCAGGGGTCCTCCCCCTGGCGCTTCTTGTTATTATCGAGTAGAGAAATGAAAGGGCACAAAAGAAGTACGACATGCGCTCATCCGACTGGCCGCCCCTCCAAAAAAGAAAGGCCAGGCGGGGTCGCATCCGCTGGCGCAACGCATAGCGTCACCCTGCGTCGCGATGCCGTCTCCGGACGGCTGAGACACGGCAAAAGCCAGCCCGCAGCTCTCTCGCATTTCCCCCCCTCTTCCCTCCTCCTAGCTAGCTGCGCTACTTCAATAAGCTTGGTACTCTACTCTGCATTTGCCCTCCAGCTTCAGCTCCAGCTTCCATCCTCTTGCTGGGATTCGCCTCCCGGTCCCTTGTGTCTCTTTGTCTCACCTCGCCGGCGCGCTTTTCTTGTCCCTCCTCCATTCCTGGGCGGCTGTTTGCTCCTCGTCTTCTCTCCCCCATCCGCCAAAGGTGCCCTTCTTTGCCCATCGCCGTCTTCTGTCGCGGGCCTCGTCTTCGTCGCATGAGGGCGGCAGTTGGCGCCATCATGTTGAACCCGGGCATCCTGTACATGCTGGTGAGTTTTGTGCTGCTGTTGTGTTTCCTGCTGTTGTTCTTGTTGTTGTTATTGTTATGTGTAGCCATTACTGACACCCGTGATCCCGTCGACAGGCCAGCGTCTTGCTCTCCGCCGTGGCCGTGTAAGTCTCGAGTCCTCCATGCCTCGCCACCCCCCGACGCGTCCACGGCAAAGGACCAAAGAGAAGCGGCGCTGACGGCATCCCTCCCCAGCGTCGTCCACTTCCACGTCTCCCACCTCAGCCTCCCCCTCTCGCCCGCCACGACCATGCTGGCCATCATCCTCCCCATCGCCGCCTTCCTCAACGCCTACGTCTACCCCAACCTGCTGCGCGCCTCGCACGCCTGCACCGCGCCCAACCCGCTGGCCCGCCTCGCCCCCGTCGTCCTCCAGGCCCTGCAGGCCATCCTCGCCGCCGTCCTCGCCACCCTGCTGCTCGAGGCCGTCGTCTCCTCCCCGCACCTCGACTTCCGCCTCGACGCCCAGTGGGACGCCCTCTTCGCCGCCCGCCGCGCCGACGCCATCGAGCTCGTCCAGGACACGTACGACTGCTGCGGCTTCGACGCCGTCACCGACCGCGCCTATCCCTTCGATGCCGCCCGCGCTTGTGCCCGCGAGTACGATCGCGCCCGCTCCTGTGCCGCGCCCTGGAAGCGCGCCATGCAGGCCACTTCGGCCCTCGACTTTGCCGTCGTCGTCGCCGTCGGCCTCTTGCAGGTCTGTCCCGAGGACAAGAAGGAGAGGAAGACAGGGCATGTCATGCTGACGGCGCCATACAGATCCTGGGTCTGCTGCTGATGAGGGAACGGACGGCCTGGTGGACCGCCCTGCGCACCCAGGGATGGAAGCAAGGCGAGTTTGGCGACGGCAGCAGCCAGCGCCTGCTACCCGACTCAGACAGCGAGACGGCCAGCTGTCGTTCGGGCTACGATTCCCTGCGAGGGAACAAGCCGGGCGCAAAGGACCATGATGAGACAAACGCCAAGTGACGCGGGCTTCCACGAATCTAGAAGCCAGCAACGGGACCACGACCAGCGACATCGAACAACTGAGCGACGCTTAATTCCCCTTCGTCTTTTTCTTTGGAGCGCATGGGAGTTTGAGGGTGTTTTTTCTAGGCAAACAAAAAATTTAATGGCGGCAGCCTCACCACCTTTTCATCTCGAGCGCCTCCTTGCCGAGGTCGGCCAGGGCATCTTCGTATTGCTTTATCCGCTCCTCGCCCATCTCCTCTATCCTCGTCCTCTCCACCTTTTGTGCTCGCCGCACCCCTTGCCCCTTGGCAATCTTGCCCCAGAACCACCCGCTCTCATCGTCTCCCACCAGTGTCCACGCGCAGCCAGACCGCCCCGCGCGCGCCGTCCGCCCCACGCGGTGGACATAGCCGGCCACGCTCGGCGGTAGGTCGTAGTTGATAACGTTGCTAAGCTTGGGAATGTCGATGCCACGGGCGACGAGATCCGATGCGATAATGAGGCGGACCGGGGAAGACGCCGTCGCAAACGCCCGCAGCGCCTTGCGGCGGATGTGTGTAGGCGTGCTCGAGGTAAGCGTGCTGATGCGGGTCGATAGCGACGGGTCCAACAGTTCGAGCAAGCGCGCAAGCCGGAGAGCAGCCTCGTTGGACTTGGTAAAGATGAGAGATTGGGGAAGCGGGGGTTGTGTTCGTCCCGGGTCCGAGTCACGAACAGAACTGCCGTCCGAGTCGGATGTTGCGTCGCTCGAGTCGGAGCTGGTATCGCTAGAGTCGGAGCTCGTATCGGAGCCCGAGTCTGAGGTTGTATCCGGGTCCGAATCCGAGTCTGAAACCTCATTCTGCTTAGACAGAGCCGGGTCACTGCCTGTGAGCACAGCTGCCATGTCTCGACTTCGTAGGAGATCAAGCAGATACAGTGGCTTGAAATTAGTCTCGTGAACCCTGATCGCAAACTCCCTGAGCGAGTGCGGCAGTGTATGCTCGGCAATCTGCACGGTGCCGTCGTTCTCCAGGACCACCAGTCGTGGCCGCTTCAAGTCCAGTTGATTCAACAGGCTCAGGTCCCTCGTCAAGGTCGCGCTCAGAACCACCTTGCGGACACCTGAGTACTCCATGTCGGCAAAGTCCCGGGCGCCGAACCGCTTCACCTTGAACCGTTCCATGACGAGGTCCAGCCAGCCCTGGAAGCTCTGCGCCAGGAGCTTGTCGGCCTCGTCCACCACCAGCCATCGCACGTAGTCGAGACTGAAGCCCGGCGTCTGCTCCACGTGCTCGACCAGTCGTCCCGGAGTGCAGATCAGGACATCGACCTTGGAGCAGAAGTCGACAACCTCACCCTCGCAGGCGCCGAGTCGAGCATCCTTTCTCTCTCCGCCGTCCGCGCCAGCATCAAGCGAGTCATCCCCGTTCGCAGAGTCGGATGTTTGTCCCGATTGCTGAGCATCTTGTTCCTTGAGCACCTTGTAAGCCTCTGGATCATACCGCGACTCGCTCATCATCAGGCTATGCTGCTCGGCCTTGATCGACTGGTGGCCGACAGCCACACCAATACGGACTTTCTTTCGCTCCTCGCCGTCGTAGGCTCTTGCGCAAATCTCAAACACTTCCTGCGCCTGCTTGACAAGTTCACGGGTGGGCAAAACCACGAGCGCGCGCAGCCGTGTGACAAGGCCCTGGCTAATGTCGCGCACAATTGGCAACGCGTACGCCAACGTCTTTCCAGAGCCAGTGGCGGCGGATATCAGGACGTCTCCGGGGCGGTGCGTGTTGGTGGGCAGCAGCAGCGGTATGGCGGCGGTTTGGACCGCAAACGCTTCCGCAAACCCCTTTTGCTCCAGGAAGCGGGCCGATCTGGGCAGGATGCCGAGCTCGGTAAAGGGCTGTCGGGTGTCCTGAGAAACGCGGATAGGGTTCGCCAACCAGGAAGGAAGAGTGTCGTATGTCGGCTTCGAGTCGTCGTCTGCCACAACCGCCGGCTGCGGTAGGGGTTTCAAGCCGTGCAGCTCAGCCGGCTCCTCCTCAGATTTTGGGTCAACATGTTGAGCAGCCTTGCGGGCAAATTGTAAAGACTTCGCCTTTCGCTCGAGAACTGCCTTGTGCCGTGGTGCCTCCTCCTGCTCTGGTGGGTCTATGGTAGACTCGATTTTGTCTGATTTCTTCTTCTTCTTTTCCTTGTCCTTCTTTTTCTTTTTCTCTGCGAGAGCTTGCGGTTCCGGTGCAGGAACCGTCTCCATTTCATGAGCAGGTTCCTTGACATCAGTCATTTCGATATCGCTGTCTGCGAGCTCGGATGTCTGAGCTCTCTTGGCAGGCTTCGTCCTAGACTTCTCCTTTTTTGATTTTTCCTTGCGCTTCGCCTTGCTTGGCGTGTCGTTCTGTTCGGCAACGGTTGGGGATCCAAAGCTTTCATCTCGCTTTGTCTCGGGAGGAGCGCGCTTCGGCGGGTCGTCTTCGGAGTCTGACGAATCATCATCGTCGTCGTCGGCCCTGGTTCTCTGCTTTCGCTTTCTCCGGTTCTTCTTCTTTTTTGAATCCGGTTGCTGCTGCTGAGTGCCTTTATTTCCCTCTTGAATCACCGCGGGCTTCATTCCATTCTGCCCTCCTCGCGTCTTCGCCTTCTTGCTTTCCTGCTCGCCAACTCCTTGGGACTCGTCCGCTGTCTCCCTCTTCCGCTTGGGCTTTGGCGGGCTGGGTTGGTCGTCAAAGTACTGAACCACCGGCTTCTTGACATTTTGGGCTCCTGGGACGTAGCGAGCATAGCCGTACCCGTCGACCGGCGCTGCGGCCACAGCAGGGGCCGGAGGAGGCACGTCTAGGGTGCGGGTCGGCGCCGGTGAGGGCTGCGCTAGCGGCTTCGAAATAGAAGCGGCTTTGGGGCCCTTGGACGGCGGTATGTATCTCGAATACATGATGGCCCAACCAATTGCCCTGGGGTGGGTGAGAGGGAAGTGCGAAATGGCATGTAGGCGGAGGCTGTGCCAGACTCTGGGGGAAGCTTGGTGGGAAATTTTGGGCGGTCGCGGGTCTTATCGCAATTCTGCCGCTCCCCACCGCCAGCTTATCAGCGACACTACATCGGAAGGACCCGCTGACCTCATCCAACCTCAACATGTAAGTTGCTTCCGTACGGAAACACACTTCATGATAGCCTCCTCTCATGCCTCAAGCCCAAGGAACAACAAGTTGCGCATGAAATGAAATGAGCAAATCTTGTCAACCGATGTCAGCAATTTGCCCCTTCACACAAGGGGCAGGACGGATGGGGTGAACAGCCAGCGGAAAGACGCCGCACCAGCAGCGGCAGCAAAGCATCACCGCCGACCGATTCTCAACCTCATCAACCTCGTGCCACGCCCGCCCGCCCTCCAATATGGCGCGCCGAACGTACAACATCGCCATGGTCAGCGACTTCTTCTTCCCGCAGCCCGGCGGCGTCGAGTCGCACATCTACCAGCTCTCCAGCAAGCTCATCGACCGCGGCCACAAAGTCATCATCATCACCCACGCCCACGATGACCGCAAGGGCATCCGCTACCTCACAAACGGCCTCAAGGTCTACCACGTGCCCTTCTTCGTCATCTACCGCCACACCACCTTCCCCACCGTCTTCTCCTTTTTCCCCATCCTGCGCAACATTTGCATCCGGGAGCGCATCGAGATTGTCCATGGCCATGGCAGCCTCAGCAGCCTGTGTCATGAGGGCATCTTGCACGCCAGGACCATGGGGCTGAGGACCGTCTTTACCGATCACTCGCTCTTTGGCTTTGCAGATGCTGCTAGCATCTTGACCAACAAGCTGCTCAAGTTTACCCTGAGCGACGTTGATCACAGCATATGTGTGAGCCACACGTGGTGCGTCCACTTTTACCCCCGTGGCCATCTTCACACATCCTCTGGCTAATCTTCCACCTCTTCCCTCCAGCAAAGAAAACACCGTCCTCCGCGCCTCCCTCGACCCCCTCATGGTCTCCGTAATCCCCAACGCCGTCGTCGCCGAAAACTTCCGCCCCCGCGACTATCCCTCGTCTCCCGCCACGGGCTTCGCTTCGGACCCGCCCCCCAACCGCCTCGGCCCCAACGACATGATCACCATCATCGTCATCTCGCGCCTCTTCTACAACAAGGGTACCGACCTCCTCACCGCCGCCATCCCGCGCATCCTCGAGAACCACCCCAACACGCGCTTCGTCATCGCCGGATCCGGCCCCAAGGCTATTGACCTCGAGCAGATGATCGAGACCAACGTGCTACAGGATCGCGTCGAGATGCTCGGCCCCATCCGCCACGAGGACGTCCGCGACGTTATGATCCGCGGCCACATCTACCTCCACCCCTCCCTGACCGAGGCCTTTGGCACCGTCATCGTCGAGGCGGCCAGCTGCGGCCTGTACGTCGTCTGCACCCAGGTCGGCGGCATCCCCGAGGTCCTCCCCTCCCACATGACAACCTTTGCCAAGCCCGAGGAGGACGACCTCGTCCTAGCCACCGGCAAGGCCATCACCGCCGTCCGCGCCGGCAAGGTGCGCACCGAGCGCTTTCACGATCAGGTCAAGAAGATGTACTCGTGGGCAAACGTGGCCCTCCGCACCGAGCGTGTCTATGACGGCGTCACCGGCACCATCCCCGAGGAGGCCTTTTACGGCTTCGACACAGGCGGCTACAATGGCAGCCGCGTCCGCAACTTTGCCCTCATAGACCGCCTCAAGCGCTACTACGGCTGCGGCATATGGGCTGGCAAGCTGTTTTGCCTCTGCGTCGTCATCGACTACCTTTTCTTTCTCTTCCTCGAGTGGTATTTTCCCAGGGAAAACATCGACATTTGTCCAGACTGGCCGCGCAAGACTCTCGTCACGCACACCAAGAAGGGCGGGAGGAGTAATTGCTCTAGCGGATCGCACGGAGCCTCCAAGTTAGATTAATAGCCGTCATTTTGGGACTGACAGGGGGAACAGGGCGGTCAATGGGCACACTTGTGAACGGCGCAACGGAACCTTTTCATGGAGCGTTCATGACACATAAGGTCTGCCTTTCACGATATCTGCCGTCCAGCATTAGACTACTCATAAGGCTATCTACCCCCTTGGCCGGAACAGCGTTGAATTATATTGGTTTGACGCGCTGTTTCTGGAATCGCTAGAGTCGTGTGGAAAAAACAACGCAAAGTGACTCTTCAAGCCTCTCAAACCTTCACAGCCGTCCACTGTCAAAAATGGCAGTTCAGCGAGCCAATGCCGCTTCACCCCCTCGTCCCAATGCGTCGCCTCTTGACGACACTCGTCGCTGTGTGGTTACCGTCTCCCGCCAGCTCATCTTCATCCTCGGCCGTGTCGTCCGCCGGCGTCGCCACGCTGGCCTGGCGCGTGCTGGACAGGGGCGGCACGCCGCGCTCCTTCTCGGCGCTCCGCAGGTCGCCCAGCAGCTTCTCCACCTCGACAAACATGCTCCGCGTGTTTTTGACGACGCCGTTCTCGTCCAGGTGGTAGCCCACCACCTCTTCCTCCTCGTTCTGGGAGCGCTTCATAAAAAACTGCCCCGGCCCGCGGTCCGGGTCGGGGTTGTACATGATGGCATTGCAGAAAATGTGGACGAGCTCGCGCTCGAGCTGGGCACTGTTGACGATGCCCTTGGGCGGGACGAGGTCTTCGGATACTGGCAGCCAGACGCTTGCGGTGCCCGGGTCACCGCCGGGAAGGCTGCTCGCTGCCTGGACGGCCGCCTTGTTCCCCTGCTTGATGGCAGCCCGGATCGATGTTATATCCTGTGGCTGAAGCACAATCTGGCGATAACCCGGCGCGTCTTTTTCGCGGACGCCAGTCGCAAACATGTTGGCGTGCCGGTGGCTCGAGATTTGGTCGAGTGCCGACGACGACACCTTTGTGAAGCCTCGGGTCCAGAGCACCTGGCTCGACGACGACGGCGGTTCAGGCGGCGTCTCTGGCCGCTTCCGTTTGGCCAGCCGAGACGAGACGCTGCCAGGTGTCACCATGTGTGCTCGTCCATGCACGCTCTCGTCCGTCGTCGTTTCGCCCGCGTCGTCATGCGGCCGAGGCGTCATAACCTCCTTCTTAATCTTGGCAGATAGTGATGAATAGTCCATGGACAGCTCGTCCGCCTGCGACGCCTCCGATTGGCTTCTCCTGCTGACAGAAGGCGTAGCACTCGCCGGTGGGTTGCGTGGCGGTCGACCACGAGGCCTTGACGCAGAGGGCTCTGGCTGAGGAGTCCGTTTGGGGTGCATCTTCTTCCCGGCCTTGGGTGTCTCCGATGTGATGGAAGTCGCTCGAGGAGGGGGGCTCACAGGCTCGTATGCCGGGCTTTCTGGCTCTACCACGATTGGCCCCGGAGTCGAGGGCGTCGAGTGCGAGGCCCATTTAGTCCCAAAACCTCGAGTCAGCGCCGAGGGGGTGGTGTATCCAGGCGTCCGAGGTGCTGCCACAGGGCTGAGGCGCTTGGCTACGGGCGTCCCGGCAGCTTGTCGAATGATGTGCTCGGGGATGGCAGGCCGAGGCGGTTTGGCCCCGTACGGAGGGACAAGCAGCTTGTCCTTCTGGGAGGCAGGTAGGGCATTAAAGGTATTGGTAGAAGGGCGTTGTTGGGCTTTTGGTGCGGCAGGTTGGGGCTGCTGTTGCCATTTCTGAGCGGCCGCAACAGGCCCAGGGGCACCTTTGGGCGGTGTCGGAGATGCGGAAACAATGGGTCGTGGCGTGGGATGCTGGGCTTGCTGCGGCTGGATCGGCCGTCCAGGAGGAATGACGGGTGTTGTCGACTGCGGCCGAGCTGACGGCGGAGCAGGCGCAGATGCCGACTGAGGAGGTCCTGGCTGTGACGGGGCGGCCAAGGGCCCAGTGGTCTGAGGTGGGGGAGCTGGGTTCTTGCCTACGAGAGGCCGAGTCTGCGATGCCGCGCCAGGTGTCTGCCCGGGGGCCTGGCCTTGCTGCGGGTGTCGCTGCTGAGGCTGCTGACCTTTTGGTGCGGCGGTCGCTTGAGTTGGCGCGTTCTGGTGAAGCTGTCCCGCTGGGGAGGTCTGGCTAGCCTGGGGGGTCTGGCCAGCCTGGGGAGGCTGGTATGGCTTTTCCCACTTCAAGACCCCCGTCGGCGTGGTTGGAAGAGGGGTGGCCACGACGCCATCCTTGGGCTTGCTGCTGGCCTCAGGTCGCGGCGAGATGGCGGGTTTAGGAGGCTGAGCCGGCGGCTGCAAAACTCGTGGCGCGGCCTGGGGGGGACCCGCTGGTGGCTGCAGAACCGAGCCCGGTCCATTTGCCGGCTTGAGCGAAGGGGACGGTCGCACGGGAGGGGTTTTTGCTTGTAAAGGAATTGGTGGTGTGATGGTTGGTTGGGCGACGGACGGAGTTGTTGGTGGCTTCGTCGGCTGGACTGGCGTGTTGGGGGTTAGTCCACGCTTGATGCCAGCCGCTGTGCCCGGAGTCGGCGGCGGCAAAAGTGACTGGCTGGGCGTTTGCGATGACGCGGGGAGCTTGTTGTCGCGAGGGGCGAGGGCCGGCGTGCCGTTTTGACTGGCAGCTTTGGCGAGCCTCTCCTTTTCGTTCTTCTCGAGGACCTGGATCTGGCTCTGGATAGTGACAAACTGACGCTCGTCTACTCGGATCTGCTCGACAATATGCTCTCGGTACCGGGCGTACAATCGATCGATGAGGGCGGGAAGCCTCTCGATGTGCTCGTGAGAATCCTTCAACGACGGCAGCGGAGGCGTGCCGAGCTTCCTCTTGCGCGACGCGGGGGACGAGGGCCCATCCGCAGTCTCCTGACGCTCGGCCTCGCTCTTGAGCTCCTGGCGCAGCAGCAGCAGGAAGAGGTGCTGCAGCGCCTCGGGCGTCAGCCGCGCCGGGTCGTACGTGTCGCCGCCCTTGATGAGGGCATTGTTCTTGAGCAGCTCCGAGATGCGGGCAAAAGCTCCCGTGTCGACCCCGTGCGTCAGCAGCGACTGGAACAAGAAGAGCGACTCGAGGGGCGTGTAGGCTGCCGGGTTGTTGTTGTTCATGCCCCACGGTCCTCCTCGCCAGCGCCCGAGGGGACCTTCGCGCTTGGCAAGATGAATCGGCGCCACGGTTGCTCTCCAGTCCCGAGACGAGATATCGCAGCCCCCGTCGGTCCCCTACGTCATTCCGAGGCGCGCCTTCGTTTGCAGGCAACTTCGAGTCTCAGCGCACCGTCGTGGGCGATTTCATTGGGCTGGCGGTGCGAGTGTAATTGGTGCTTTCTTTTCAATGAGGCCGCCTTCGTCGGTCGCCAATCGCGGGGGGATCTTGATTTTTATCCCTCCGGGGATTCCTTGTCGAGCCCGTCTGGCCTGAAATCACGTGATGTGGCGCAAGGTTGAGGTTGTTTTGGAAATTTTTCAAGATCAAGAGGGGAAGGAATTCCGTCGGCCATGAAGACGTTCTGGCCCATGCAGAGTCACGTGATGCTCAGTGCCCCAACAACCAAGCCGCGACTACTTTGTGCCCCTTCAATCCCGCAGACGAAAACGGTTGCACTGCTCCTCTCTTGCCTGTTCTCGGCACTTGCGCTCGCCAGATGCTCTTCATTACTACTCAGATCACCCGGAAACCGAACGACATCAAGGAAGAGACCTCACACGAGGCAGTCCTTTTTGGGCGCTGACGGCGCCCAATCAACCAAGTCTACATCTACATGGCTGATAAAACCATAAAAACGCCTGGTATCATGTTCCCGTGAAACTGTTCACTGAGCAAACCCCGTCCCCAGAGCAAGGCTTCTATTACCCGCTCTTCCGTGTTGAAAGGGCACTCCAGAACGCCATGACCCCATTCCACCCCTGGTGGATCACCAACCCACATTCAATGCTGTTGATAACACAAGAAATTGAAAGGAACGTCACGGCGAAGATGACGACGATGACGTCGAGCTGCCCGTCGAGCTGCGGCGGCGGTCTTCTTCCATGTCCTCATCCCCCCTCTCCTTCGCACGATGAGAGAGTTGCAGCTTCTCATCGAGCAGTGTAACCAGTCTCTCCGAGTATTCATCCAGAAGCCCACTCAAGACCGTCTCGTTGATGGCTTTGCTTCGAATTGCCCGGTCGCCGAGCGCCGTGGCCGTGAGTCGCAGCTCGTGGTCCAAGTCGGTCAGCACGTCGGCGGTAATTGGCTCCGACGACGACAGCTTCTTTCTGTAGGTTCTCAGAGCACGGCACGTCTGCTCCGTTGCCGTGTTCAATGAGCCGAAGCCGTGAAGTGATGTCGAGGACGTCTTCTTCCGAGCGCCTTTGCCCGCGGCTGAAAGCGAGTGGGTTCTAGACCTTTCCGACTTGGGGCTGGGTGGAGGGCTATCGGGCTGGTTTCCGGTCGATGGACGCCGGCGTGATGGCGTGTCCTCCATAATCGTACTGTTGCATGGGCTGGATTGCAGTGTTGAAGTTGGTGTCCGTATGCTTGTCGGGTTTGCGCCCAGATTAAGTCGAGATGACCGGCGCTGCAGTGATCGTGAAGGCGATCGACGGCCTCCCGAGCTAGGTGGTCGCTGAAATTCGGCAAGCTCTACTTTCGAGAGCACTTTCCTGAGCGTCGGCCGAGTCGAGTTGGCCTCCTTGATTGGTGATGGATCCCTGCTAGTCAGTCTCGACGAGAGGTCGCTAGAATCAAGCGCCCAGATCATTATTGTCCCGTCCGACCCAACGCTCACAATCTTCCTCGTCCCATCATCATCGTCAACCAGGCACACCCCGTTGATGGCCTCCGTATGTCCCCACTCCCGATCGAGAAACGCACCAGAGCTGGCATCATAAATTCGTACAGATTTATCCGTGTTTGACGACCCAAGCAGGAACTCCATGTCCTTGGGTGCCCACTGCCCGACGGACAGGGACTCGAGGACGGTCGACTCGACGCCACCTTCATCTATGCATTTGAAGCACGAGAGTTGCCGCCCTGTCGAGACGTCGAATTGGCAAATAGATCGGTCGAGGAGGGAAACGAAGATGGTCTTGTTGTCCTGGCTCATGGCCATGGAGGTTGGAGAGGCCCGGAGAGATATGACCCTGGACAAAATGGCCGCGCGAACGTCCGGGTCGCCTTCCTTGGAGACCAGGTCGTGGACCTGCAGTGTTCGATCCAGCGAGCAGGTAATGACCTTGTCTTCCGTCGGTACGAGGACCTGGACAACCTTGGCCGAAAACTCGAGAGTTTGGAAGTGCTCAATGTTGCCGTTGGAATGGCGATGGAAGAGCTGGGTCGTGCGGTCTCTGCCGCAACATGCCATGATGAATTTCGAGTCCTCGTCAAAGATGCAGATGCACTTGCAGTCTGAGGAATGCGCTTTGGTATCCAAAATACACTCTTTCGAATCAGCATCAGTGACCTTTAGGATGCCCAGGCGATCTGCGGTAACCAGCAGCTTTCCATTGCCGGTGGTCTGGGCGCATGTCAGCTTGTTCACGAATTCCAACTCGCCGTCCAGCTCGGCTGCGTCCATGGGAACCTCGAGGGTCGACTTGATCTGGCCGTCGAGGTCCCAAAACGTAAAGTTGCCCGAGTATGACCACGTCGCGAAGGCAGCATTGGCCTTGTTCGGCTTTCGAAGAGCCTGGACGCCTGCGATTGGTTGTCCGTGTCCCGGCATCGGAATATGCGCGACTGCCTCGGCTTGCTGCCCGGGAACATAGTCGGCAGTCCAAAGGTCAATCGATTGCTTCGAGTCAATCGTCACGAGCATGTCGGGAAGAAACCCCAGTGCCACGATGCCTGAAGACGCTTCCGCGACGGACAAGATGCTCTCTGCGCGGCCGTCCATGACTCCTGCCACGTCAAGAGTCGCGAAATGGCCATCTCTCCCTCCAATGTAGGCAACATTGCCGCGAATGTTGATGGTGCTGACCGAAAAGTCCAGGCTCAGGACCTTGACGAGCTTCATCTGCCCATCGTCATTGTGCAAGATGCAGACGTCCCCTGTCTCGGTGCACACAATGAGCTTGTTGCCGTCGACGGCCGCGCAGCTGAAGGTGGCCTCGAGCAAATCGCCGAGGAGCATGTTGCGGCCCGGCAGGGGTCTTTGCGCCGTTGGGGTGTTGGGAGGCGGCTCATTCGAGAACTTTTGCTTGGTCGGCGAGATGGTCGGGCCATCCTCAATCTTCCAGACCTTGACATGGCGCAAGCCTAGGGTGACGAGGCTGTTGCCCATCCACACCATGTCCCTGATGTAAGAGGTGCATTTGTTCTGCTGGAAGAGCTTGGCTGCGCCAGTGCGAGGGTCAATCTTCCATATGTAGAGGAAGCCGTCGTTGGCGGCACCGAGAGAGGCGAGATACTTGGAGTCGGCCGACCAGGCGACAGCATTGACGCCAAAGGCGTGCTCACTGATGGACACTAGCGGGGTGTCTGACGAGGCATCCTGGAGACTGAAAATCAAGACTCGGGGAGCATAGCCAGTCTCGCCGACGGCCAGATACTTGCCGTCTCGGCTGAGAGCAAGGCAGGTGGCGGCCTTGATGCGCTCTCTGCTGGTCCAGGTCCTCGACCCCGGGGAATCGGCCCAGTCGGCAGGGCTGCATTGAGATTCCCTGTGGTTGGGGGCCACGCGGTTTCGACTGTCGTTGGCCTTGGGCGTCGTCGCGGTGGGCGTCGAAGACGGATTCTGGGACGATGCCGCCGAGTATACGGGCACAGCCGAGGGCCGAGCTCGATAGAAGCGCTGTGAGAAGTGTTGGCCCTGCGCATCGACAACGACGACGGCGCCGCCGGCAAGGTAGGCAAAGAGGGAGTTGACGGTGTCGAAGCCCGTCGGTGAGCGGCATGTGGTGCCGGCAACTCGCTTGAGAGAGAGCCTCGACTCCGGCAGAGAGCGGCCGCGCAGATGACTCTTGGCCGGGCGGGGGAGAAAGGGGGAATTGGACGGCGTAAGCGTCAGTCGATTATTGTGAGAGGGAGTCGCGGCCATCCTATCGCCATTGACTCGCTCAGGGTCGCCGGGAAGCCGTCGTAAGAAAGGAGCAGGAGACTCGGGGGTGTCATCGACGTGGGAAGCTTTTGGACGAGGAGAGCACAGGGCTTGCCAGGTATCTGCGCGGAGCGGAGTCGGGAGCGGCACAAAAGATTATTATTCTTTCACAAAGAGGACAAGAAGAAAAAGAAAGAAGGTAAGTCAATGTCTGGGGCGTGCGAGGTCAGCCGCGAGAAAGCTGCGTGAAGCCGTTGGGTTAGCGACGAATCGGTGCGAGCGGCCATGGTCGCGGCAGCGACTGACTGGCAAGGACGGCCACTAAGTTAACTACTCACAGCGACAAGAGGGCCGAAGGGAAGGTGAGGCTGGTCCAGGACGATGGATGGGACGAGGTCGGGTCAGGTCACCGACCGTGATAAGTAGGGGAGAAGGCAGGGGGGGTTTCCGTAGGAGAATAGGTAAGAGAGAGGCCGGTTAGAAAAAGAGTGTGGGAGAGCCGAACGAGCGCAGCAAGTGCCGGACGAAACAAGGCTCTTCATCTGCATGCAGTTCAAATCGGGGGAGAGGGGAGGGGAAGAAAGAGAGAGAGAGACAGCCGAGGCGAGGAGCGGCCCTGCAGATTCTTTCTTGTCTCTTCTCGATTTCCTTTTTTTGCGGATGGTTGCCTTGCCATTGCCGCTACCGCCCAGACTCAGAGCGCACAGCTCCCGGACAGCTTGCTGAGCTTCTACTCCGTAGCAGCACCAGCTGCTCGCAGTCCTCCCGGGGGCTGGGTGGAGCCGGACTACAGGGGTCTCTTGCGCTAGGGCCATTGTTAGCGAAGCGGAGAGGGCGCTAACAGGTGAAAGCCTGGGCCAGGGAGTGGCGTTGCCGCTCAACCGCCGCATGCCCCGCGAGGGGCCTATCAGAGGGGCCGGTTGCAGCGCCCGCCACTGTTGCTGGGGTTGCTGGGTGGTTACTGGGGCCTAAAAATATGGCGACTCTTTGCCGTGTAACATGTTCAACCCAGCAAAAGTCATCACCACCAGCCGACAGCCTATAAAGGCACGTGGCCAGTTTTCTCTCTCCTTGTTCAATTCAGATCTTATCATCATCAATCTATTGTGCGCGAGCTCGCCTCTGGAGCTTTCAAGCGCCCGGGCTCTTTGAAGCCAGAGGACAATGCCCCGGTGGTGATGTCATCCGGGCGTGGAAAAGAATTGTCTCTCCAGTCGTCAATCGTCACAACAATAAAGCCTCGGATACTCCCGCACGCACTGGCTCGACGCTCCTCCAATCCCCTCCTGCATCCGGATGGCGCCGCAGAATTCAATATTTCCTCCATCCGGACCCGTCCTCCATTCTTGCATGTCGGCCAGCCAATCCCCCCAGTTCCAGCGGCCGATGCATTGCTCCGGTGGATTGATTGATTGCAGATGCCAGGCCGGTGTGTCGTGCTTAATCGCACATGTGCATCGTTGTGCAGATTGCCGCCGTCTTGCACACCACGAGCCGAATCACCAGTGAAGCCATGTTCGACAGGGGAGCGTCTGCTACTGTAATTACCTGGGGGCTCGTGCGCCTCACTTGTTGCCGATGAAAATTCCAAGTGAGCGCGGCATCGTCCGTCACCGTCGTCTACGTACATACTTCGTAGAACAAGACTACTTGCTGTATCCGTAAATCGTGGAACATTGCGGAAGCCGCTAAGACCTCAGTTCAACGGCTGCTCCGCAACTCCCCCCCTTGTCTCAACGCAACATGCTCGCCCGTCACCGACTCTCTGGCGGTCGCGTCGCGTTGGGTTGGGCCACGGCCGTCATTGCCTCACGAGCACGGGCTGCCGCGAGATGATACATTCTGTACATGCAGCACGATACGACGTCGATGAAAAACGCCATGCCATTCGTCACCTGTGCCCAAAGTATCTCACCCCTCGACCTGTCACTCCTCGACCTGTCAGATAAACATGGCATGGTCAGCATGTATGTACTGCCCCCAGGGGGCCCCAGTTAGTTTCATGCTAGTGGCGGATGAAGCTATCCCCCCTCGACTTTAGTCCTCACCAGATACTGCAGGCTTAGACGCGAAACGGCCATCTGCCAGTTCCACATGGCATCTAAGTTACCTATCTCTACTCCATACAAGCATCCACCTTCGTACTTCCGAATCAATGCCTGTTGCCCATCCGCGCCCGCTATCGGCCTTGTGTGGCTTCAATTTCCCCAGCCCAGCCTCACCCCTGCAGCTTCAGTCTGATGGTCATCTCTCCCCAGCCAGCCTGCCAGGGGAGTGCCTCTCATCTCACCCTCGTCTCAGGCCAACACACTCGGCATCCCTCAACGACCTAAGACTCAAGCAGATGACGGGTAGAACCAAGTCGTAGTGGATAGCCGTGACGGCCCTGCATCATCACGTTCGGCGGCTATGCTTCCAACGACAGCATCCGTCTCTGTCACGGGACCCATCCACCAGGGATACGCGGTGCATGGAATGTCTTCTATCCAAGTGTCTAGGTAATACGGATAGCCCATCATCTCACGGCATCCTCATACCGCCAGGCCCTGCTCCGAAGCCTCATCCCGCTCCAAGCGCTCTAACCCACTGCCAACCGCCCCATACACGCGCAACGGCACCGACACGTCAAAGCTTTCGCAGGCCAAACTCTCCACTGCCACCAGCACCAGCCCCCCCTTTTCGTCCTGGGAAATCTGCTCCAACAATGGGTGCGGAACTTGCGGCTCCTCAGAACCCGACGTCTCGCTGCCCTGATATGGAACCACAAACTCTACCCTAATCTTCCAGTCCAAGCTGATGCTGCTCGTCACAAACTCGGGCGTGGCGGTGATGGGAATCGTCGGGGAGAAGATGACGCGTCGAGAGTAGAGGGCGGCTTCGGATGATGCGGCGTACACTTTGCGCGTGACCCGGTGAATGCTCGACTCTGAGCGTACCGCCAGCGCCACATCCACCTTTTCCGATGTCTCCAGGGTCGCGTGAACCGCGTAGCAGGGTACGTCGGCATCGGTAAAGTCAATGGCCATGGTGACGACTTCCCCCAGCCTGTAGGCGGACCGCGTGAGCATGACGACGCCCACGCGCTGCCCGTTTCGTGCAATCTCGAACCGGTTGGGGCTCTGCTGTCCGTCGACAGCCAGGTTGCTCCTCATGATGGCAAGGTGGATTGCGTCCTTGGCGCTCGTGGCCTCTTCGAGCGCCGGCGACCGCTTGGGGTCGCTCGCTTCCGTTGGCGACAGCAAGATAGCCGCGTCTTTCCGACTTGCCACCAGCTCATCCACGTAGGCGAGAAACTCATGGCCCGTCGTTGGCAAATCACCCGGTGCCTTTTGTTGCACCTCCTTCTTGCCCTTTCCGAGGCTCTTTACCTCGGCGTCATCTCGTAAGAGGACGTACGGATTCATAAGGTCGTGTCCAAGAATCTCACCGTGGCCGTTAACACTGCCCAGGACGCGGAACGGTACTTCGACCGACCGCACGTGCTGTTCTTTGACGCCGCCAACCCGCTGCGTCCCAATCACAAGACTGTACGAGAACTTGGCCGCTTTGCCCTTGTGAGTTGGCGGCAGCCCCTTTGGTAGCTTGAAGGAGTACTCGAATGATCGGCTCTCTCCAGGCGCCAGTTGCAGATCGACAAACAGGATGGACTGGGGAGTGCTCAGGAGAGGCACCGATTTGGAGTTGGCCACTCCGCGTATCTCCTTGATGGTGCTCAGCTCTCCTCCCCCCCATAGGTCCCCGATGGTGTTGCTGATGTTGCCCCAACCAAAGCTCCGTAAAAGTCCAGTCTCTCGCTTCGAAGGCTCCAAGCCGATAACTCCTCCGCCTCGCCCACCGACCGCCGCCTTTTTCTTGACTTGTTCAAACGGCCCCAAGCTGATCAGCGAGCCGTCCAAGGAGAAGGAGCCTAGTATCTGAGCGTAGCCCATCATGAGAGATTCCGGAGCTCGCGTTTGCTGCAAGGCCATGCCCGAGCTTCGGCGCATTTGGGGCTGGCGTCCGTTGTTGCCCCTCATCAGGGGATGGGTTACGTATTCGGACGCCAGGGTCTCTGACGAATGATTGCTCACAGAGTAAAACTCGCCGCTGCTGCGCGGTGTCCCTCCAGGCGCGCTCGTGCTGGACAGGAGCCGGGCGGAGAGACGGTCGTTGGGGGCTTGTGGCTGCTCTTTTGGTCGGTGGCTCAGGTTGCCGTGATCGTTTGATCCGTCCTGTGGACTGAGCAAGCCTTGCCCTGGTAACCTCTTCGGGGTCTCCTGTGGTTCGGAGCCTGACGACATGGCTAGAGGAAATTTAAAGTCTGGCATGGGGCGAGGGGAGGCCAAGGGTGACCGGCGGAGCCCCGGCCGGCTCGGGGTGTTGGGAACAGTCGATGCGCCCGTCATTCGCCCGAATCGATCTGGAGGGTAGGACGCATGAAACATGGGAGGGGCCGCAGAGCTTTGCAGGAGAGATGCTTGCGACCAGTTAGCTCATGATGGGAGACGAGACCTGCAGGGCGACATTACCTGACTGCGGCCCCGAGGCCGTCGAGGACTGTGCCCGGGGTAGGATCTGCAGACTGGCTGCCCGGCCGTGGCCACGGTGAGGCCGTTGGGGTTTGGGACCGCCCTCGTTTCGAGTGCCATGGTCATCGGCGGCGCTCGCAGAGCCAATCGACACAATGGAGACGGATCGCTTGTGGGCGTGGCCGGAGCGCCAGTCACCGCTGCTTGGCGTGTGCGGCCATTGTATAGAACCCGACCGGCTGTGGGAGCTGGGAGCCGGGACGCTCAGCGACAAGGCCGAGCGACGATGACCTCTGACCGAGCCGGCGGGCGGCGGCGACGTCAGGCCTGAGGCGGCCTTTGCGCGGCTTTGCAAGGGAGAGACGAGCCTCTGGCGCTCGCTCGTCGGCGGGGGCTTCTGCTGCTGCGACGACGTGTGTTTTTGCTGATGGGGCTCCGGGGCGACATTCTTAAAGGTGATTGTGCATTTGACCTCCTCGCCAGCGAAGACGGTCTGTTCGCACCAGTGAACAAAGACGCGGACGTTGCTTTGGGCGTCGGGCGACATTGCGGCTTCAGCGAGAGGTGGCGGCGAGAGGGGGGCGGCCAGGCGAGTTCAGACGTGTCATTTCCGTCGACGGCGGCTCTCCGAGAGCGCAGTGCTGGCGGCGGCGGACGACGGAGGCGGGACGGAGCTGGCGAAGATGGGACAAGCTTCGGTCAACGTCATGACAGCTGGAAGGAAAATGCCCAGTCTGGCTCGTGCCCGGGGCCAATCGGCTGATCCTCGCTGGGTGTATCTTGGAGAAGCCTGTCATCGGAGCCGAGCGTGCGAGCTCTACATAGACTAGGTGTGGGTTCCGCAGGAGAGGTGGGTACACTTCTTTTTAGCGCCAACACTGCCGCGCTTTGTCATCACGGAAAAGTATCTGAAGGCGCAGAATAAGTTACATCTGAGCACTCGCCAGTTACAGTGGACGCCCGGGCGCTCTCATTGGCTCCTTGCTGTTGGCGATGCCAAGTTCCGTTTTGAGAGGATGAAAGGATTGAACCACCTCCAAGTATCAATATGTTCACCTATGCGCTCAGCTGGACAAGATATTGGAGTTGACCCTGCAGACTACACCATGCAGGAAGTTCTGCTGCCTGCGAACGTGGCTCGACCTTCTCTTGTTGTCCTTCGCCCCAGTGAACTGCCCAGTGCCCACAAGAAGCAGTTTGGGTGGTTTGAATCTCGCTTCATTTCGCGGAATATGAGGCCTCGAGCGAGAGTAGGGTACATATCAAGATCGTTATGAGGCAGAGAGCACCTCTCGTCCTCCAAGCCGAGCAAGACAAAGTAAAGAAAATGTGTCTCAGCTGCGCAAGTCTGTCAACCCCATTCTGCGCAAGTCTCTCAGTCCCATTGTAAATCCTTCCGCCCCTAGAATGGCCTTGGTTGACATTCATGCGGAATGCCATCGTGGAATCCGAACATGTGTCACGTACCCTGTTCCATGGCTAAGCTCACGTCCCTTCATTGACTTTTCTGCCAGCTGGAACCCATCTTCATCGCGAGAGCCGACTATGGCCGTGCTTGCAGAGCGTTTTTTGCCGTAAGCGAGGAGTACCTTTGCCGAAATTGTACCCAAACGGTTGGCCATTTGACTATCATGAATGATAGTTGCTTGGGAGGCATCCTCGACTTCATAGCAGTTAGGATTCGCCATGTGAGTTTTGTTCTGTAGGTAACGTAACATGCTTACCTGTTGAAACAGGAGCGAACTTGAAAAATTGTTCAACGACTTTCCCAGAAACATTCGTAGACGTCCACGTGCGGTCAACTGTTAGGGTCTCTGGTCTCGAGGGTTTTCTCCCGCCAACGGATTTGTATACGCCCCCTGCATATTCTCCATCGATGTAGAGGCTCAACCAGAGGATATTATAGGGCGCGGCAATTTTGAATTCGGATGTGATTTCAGCCTCTAAGCTGAAGCAGAGGCCCGAGGTGGACTCGATATAGCAGCGGGTAGCGGCAAGTGGCTCTGCTGTCTTCCCCGAGTTGTTGTCCATGAGGTCGTCTCTGCTCCCTTGAGGAAGCGTATCCTCTTTATTAGCGTGGTATTCGGTAGCGGTTTGACCAGCGACCTTGACGCTGACGGTCAGACCGGGAACTTGGTGAAGAACGGCCATGGCCCGAAGTTTCGAACGCGAGGTGAGGCTGAAGAGCGGCGATTCCAGGCAGCCCAGCCCCCGCTGACGATTTGCGTGTGCTTGGCCTTTGAGGCGAATGTGAGCGAACAAACAGGAGGCTGATGGAAGGGCTGTGAGGGAACGATCATGTGACTTTCATACTTTATGAAATGTCTCACTTTGATTCATGTAAATAGCGAAAGTCAGAGTCTTCCTTAGGAACCTCCTTCTCTCTTCGTAGACAATCACTTTACCCAAGTCGCACCCGACCTTGTTCGTGCACTTGTACCGTCACATATTGTCTACCAACTACCCCTCCTCAATAGATCACCGTCCGCGACGTGACTATTGATTTCGATAGTTCTAAACCGCACTTGTCGCTTTCAAACCTCACCAAAACACCCTGCAACCAAATTCTCACCTAAACCACCACACCGTCAACAACCCAATGGCTACCGCTGCCCCCACACCCGTCGATCGAGTGCCCCCCTGCCCCCTCCTCAACGCCAGCAATACCAATGAAACGTTCCGAAATGCCTTTGTTGCTAACCCAGCCGGTCTCATGAAAGAAGTCTTCCTCGTATGCAATGCCGCATACAGTATGCAAGCGGTAATCGATTCACTACGTGCCTCGACCACGACGACAATAAGGGACATGGAGGACCTCCAAACCCGCCTAGAAAACACGCTCATTTCTAAAAGTGATGGAGACGCAACGATCGCCCGTCTTATGGCAGAAAATGAAGCATACCTAAAGATCATTCAGTCAAAGGAGCTTCACACCGCACACCAGAACACCCTGATCCTGAGGCCTTCACCGGAGAGGACCCCACGCTTCTGCCGAATTTCCTCCAGCACCTCGAGTTGAAGCTCGAAATGAATAAAGATTGGTGGAACTCGGAACCTCAACGTATGGGATATGTCGTCTCATGCCTTAAAGGCAAAGCACATGACCAAGTCCGCTACAACATTAAAGATGGGGTGGTTCTCTTCGACGATGTCAATGCCATAAAAGCACCCTTCAGTCAGCCTTCGGGGATATTGACGCTAAAGCTACCGCCCAACTCAAAATCTTTGACATGAAACAAGGCCATAGATCCCTTACGACATTCCTCCCGAATGGTATGCCGTCGCCAAGCTCACCGAGTGGGATAGTGGGGCGCTCATTGCTCACCTCCGACGTGCCCTCCACGACAACGTTATCTGGAGACTTTCTCTCACTAAGGGCAAAGATACACCTACCGAACTTAGTCAATTTATGGACCTTGTCCGTATCTGCGATAACGAATGCCGTCAAGTCAATGCCAATTACTTCAAGAAAAACACCGACAACTCAGCAAGTCACAAAGCAACCTTACAACCCTCCACCACGCCACAATCGACGACCTCTAACGGCGGGGATTCAATGGATTTGAGCGTCATCACCTGGGGGGCCAAAGATGTCGCCTCTGGTCGTAGACCCCAAACGGAAGCAGAGAGAGCGGCACGCAGAGCCTATTGCACAACGCATGGACTCTGCCATTGGTGCAGCTCGGGCAAACATCGTTCCCTCAATTGCGACACCGCACCATGGAGGACGGAAAAAGTGTAGTCTCCGACGGAAGTCGCCGCAGGAGACGCAAGAAAAAGGGCGATCTACTGCTCTCTTCTCTGGACACCAACCAAGCTCATTTGCTACTGCCTTGTAACCTAATCGAAGACAATTCCACTCCGATTAAAACCGAAGCAATGCTTGACTCAGGTGCCACCGGAAAGGGGTTTATAGACGAATCCTTCGCGCACACCAACAAACTCACGCTTTATGAATTACGAAACCGTCGCCGGCTGAACGTAGTCGATGGAAGACCCTCCTCGGCTGGCGACATCACTCATGTGGTGAAGCTCAACATGGACATCAAGGGACACAAGGAGAAGATGCTTTTTTACGTAACGAAGCTTGGGAAGTATAATGTCATACTTGGAAAACCCTGGCTAACAGATCACAACCCAATCGTCAATTGGAGCACGAATGTGGTCACTTTCAACTCTGATCACTGCCGCAAATACTGCATGGAGAAAGGACAATACCAACTGCCTGTTTCTGGAGCTCCCTCTTTGTCAAGTTCTGCAACCACGACTATACTGCCACGCCCATCAATCCCCCGAAGAGTCGGCGCAGCCGCATTCCACATGCTGACCAAAAACCGCGACGTCGACGTATTCTCATTATCACTGTATGAGATCGACAAAAGGCTGGCTGAACTTGGGGTCATCACAGAAGCCTCCACCTTCGTAGAACCTAAAACACGCCGACGGGTCCGATTCGACTCTGCACTCACAGACATGGACAAGATGAACCGAGAGCTCCAGCTACAGGACGGAATCACCTCCCTTAACCCCAAGGACCAACAAACACAGGAACCTGAGCTTCCCGGAAAATAGCAGCCGATATGTACCTTTCAGGGCATCACTCGAAGACATTCACAAAGCCCTCGAACCCAAGACTTTGATCGATCCTGCAACAAAAGTACCACAACACTACCATGAATTCTTGAAGGCATTCGACCAATCAGAGGCGGATAAACTCCCCCCACACCGAGACTGCGACCACGAAATTGAACTTCAACCTGGAACGACTCCACCACATGGACCTCTGTACGGGATGTCCCAAGACGAACTTCTCGTCCTCCGGAAATTCCTTCAGGAAAACCTTGACAAGGGTTTTATACGCGCTAGCACCTCACCGGCGGCCTCGCCGGTGTTATTTGCAAAGAAGCCAGGAGGGCCTTCGTTTTTGCGTGGACTACCGAGCTCTTAACGCGATAACCATCAAGAACCGCTACCCGCTACCGTTAATCCAGGAGACACTTTCTCAGCTAAGCCAAGCCAAGTATTTCACCAAACTCGATGTCGTCGCAGCGTTCAATCGAATACGCATCAAGGAGGGTCAGGAGTGGATGACGGCGTTCAACACAAGATATGGTCTCTTCGAGAGCATGGTGATGCCTTTTGACTATCAAACGCCCCAGCTACCTTTCAAGCTCGAATCAACGAAGTCTTACGCCCATTCCTTGATAGATATTGCACAGCCTACATCGACGACATTCTCATCTACTCAGACGACCTCGCCACCCACAGACTCCACGTCAAATCAGTACTTCAAGCACTTGAAGCCGCAGGCCTACAACTTGACGTCAAGAAATGCGAATTTGAGACTACTGAAGTTAAATATCTGGGCATGATCATCTCAACCACTGGAGTACGGATGGACCCAGAGAAAGTCGACTGTCTCATCAACTGGGAGGCCCTATCAACGTCAAAGATGTTCAAGCCTTCTTAGGATTCTCGAATTTCTACAGACGGTTCATCAAGGGATTTTCACGCATCGTACGACCACTTGTTGCCCTGACACGGAAACTAGTCAAATGGAACTGGACTTCATCGTGCCAAGAAGCATTCGATATGCTCAAAAATAGCTTCACTTCAGCGCCAATCCTCAGACACTTCGACCCCGCAAGAGAAGTGTTTGTCGAATGCGACGCATCCGATTTTGTCTCTTCGGGCATCCTCTCCCAGGAAGATGATCAAGGAGTGCTACACCCAGTGGCTTTCATGTCCAAGAAGTACGACCCCGCTGAGTGCAATTACGAGATCTATGACAAAGAACTTTTGGCTATTGTACGCTGCTTCGAATGCTGGAGACCCGAACTCCAAGGCACGCACCACCAGATTACAGTCATCACTGACCATGCCAACCTTCGATATTTCATGACAACCAAGCAACTTTCAAGACGACAAGTCAGGTGGAGCGAATTCCTATCACAGTTCCAATTCGCTATCAAGTCAGTGCCTGGGAAAGAGAACGGAAAACCTGACTCACTCACACGAAGATCACAAGACTTGCCGAAAGATGAAAATGACGACCGCATCCAGTACCAACAACAGTCGCTGCTTAAGCCTTGCAACGTAGACTCCTCCGTACAAGAACAACTAAAGCTTGACCCCGAGCTCTCAGAACTCTTTGCCAATCTCTCCTGGGAACAAGAAATTGCACTATGTCCCGCCATTCTTGACGAAATTCAGCCAGAACCAATCAACCACAGAATCACAAGACTTCTAGACAAGGGCTATGAGGAGGACGAATGGTGGATGAAAATCAGGGACGAGATGCTCAAACCCCATGGCACTCCTCACTCGAAGGAAGTTTCTCTATCGGAATGCATGATAAACGAAGGCCGATTATATTTCCGAGAGAGGCTATACGTACCCGCAGGCGAACTACGGACCCTTCTCACTCAACTCGCCCACGACAGCGTCGAATCAGGCCACCCCGGGAAAAACAAGCTATACGAACTCATTTCACGCTCTTATTGGTGGCCAAGGCTTAGCGCCGATACGAAACAATTCACACGCAATTGCCACGGATGCCTGAGGAACAAGACCTCCCGGTTACGGTACCAGGGGACGTTGAAACCGCTCCCAGTTCCTTGCAAAGATGGAGGACTTGTCCGTTGACTTCATTGGCCCAATTCAGCGCACAGCTCGTGGATTCAACGCAATCATGGTGGTAGTCGATAGGCTGTCAAAGGACAGACATTTCACGCCTTGCAAGACCGACATGAAAGCACATGACTTGGCAACGCTCTTCGTACGAGATGTCTGGAAACTCCATGGACTACCGGATTCAATCGTATCTGATAGAGGACCACTGTTTGTCTCGGAATTCTGGAAAGCGGTTTGCCACCGCCTACAGATCAATATCAGCCTCTCCACAGCATATCACCCCGAAACTGACGGCCAGACGGAAAACGCTAACTCATTTCTCGAACAATACCTTCGCCAGTATGTTAGCTTTGCTCAGGACGACTGGGACGAGTGGCTCCCATTGGCCGAATTCGCAGCCCGTAACGTTGTTAGCGATTCAACGGGAATGTCTCCATTTTTTGCGAACACAGGCTACCACCCCCGAATGAGCTTTGGTCCCCCTCGCGCAATACCACTCGCGGCATCCAAAGACCTGGCAGAACGCTGCAACGAGGGGAACGAATTTGTCGCCAAGATGCAAGAAATCACTGATCTACTTCGGACAAACCTGCTCTCAGCTCAAGCCTCACAAGAACAGTTCGCCAACGCAAATAGATCACCGGCGCCAGCGTACCGAGTTGGAGACATGGTGCTACTTAGCACACGCAACATCGATTCGACCAGACCCATCCCCAAACTAGATCATAAGTTCATTGGCCCTTTTCGAATCGAGCGCGTGCTCAACCTCACTCCTACCAACTGAAGTTGCCACATGAATTAGACTCAATTCACAATTCATTCCACGCCAACCTCCTACGACCGTCACCAAACGACCCGCTCCCCCAATACAACACACCGCCCCACCAATAACGCTAGATGCAAAGGGGGAGAAACTCTGGGCGATTGAAGCAATACTGGACTCGAAACGCACAAAACAGAAAGGCTTCCAGTACCATATACTATGGAGAGGCTTCGACCTTGAGCAGGCAACATGGGAACCACTACAGAACGTCGTCAACGCTCACATCGCCATCAGAGACTTCGAGAAGCACAGCAAAAACAAACCCAGACCCACGAAACAAGAAGTGCAAAATGCTCGCCTACAGGCTCAGCAAGACGTGGAAGAATCAGAAGCGATGGAGTAAGGGAGGCCCATGTGTGAGGGAACGATCATGTGACTTTCATACTTTATGAAATGTCTCACTTTGATTCATGTAAATAGCGAAAGTCAGAGTCTTCCTTAGGAACCTCCTTCTCTCTTCGTAGACAATCACTTTACCCAAGTCGCACCCGACCTTGTTCGTGCACTTGTACCGTCACAAGGGCCTCCACTTGGTGCGAGGCAAAGCAAGGGAGAAGGAGAAAGTGGATGTTTGGGAGTGAGTTGAAAAGACGATGCACGAAATTAGATGCCTGGGGTGGTTGCTGCCGGGTGTTTGCCACTTGCCAGGTGCACGTGGGCTGCTGGAACAGAGAGGCAAGGCCCTGCTACATCTTTGAAATTTCCAGGGTCCGCACATGGACTCTCGCAGGCGTCTTCCCCTGTCACGGACCCAAATATCCTCAAGAAGCACAACGCATGGTTCTGGCCTCCCTGCTTCGACCGGGATGTGCTGGCATACGAATGTAAAACCGGGAGACTCAACGGTCTGCCAGTGACCGTCACCGTCGGCGATGCTAGTCTCTGGCCCGCAAGCCCTGGCAAAGTCGGTCTAGCAGAGCGTGGAGGAGGTTTCTTCTGACGAAAGGCAGCATGCCTCGGATTAATCAAAGCATTACAGGTGTCGAGCGCAACAACTTCACGCGCATCTCGCACCTCGCGGAGGATCATACAATGAGCCTGGAGAAATTCCAAGGCACCGCTTGGCTTCAAGGTAGTCATTCGCACCCACTGCCGATTCCAGGCTTCAGTTCAGTCGATGGCCGGTCGGAGGGGGAGGACACCTGATTCCACTTCATTAAGCGATACAGAACGGCAGCCTCTCATCTTGAAATGAACCCTTTGCTGAACGACAGGGCCGGAACGCAGCGAACCAGCTACGCCGAGATACGGGGCAGTCAGCGAGTACTCGTGGAGCCGGTAACCTTGATGTCGATAGTCCAACGATGTGGCGAAGCGTCGAGATCGAGGCATCCTGGAACCGAGGCCGAGATCTCGATGAGAACTACGCCGAAGTCGAGAGTGACGGAGCTCCAGCTCAGCTGACTGACCGCAGCCAAGCTGCGACCCATGGCGGATCAGACTTCCATACTCCGGCAAGGCAATACAGTGCCGAGGTCGAAGAGTCTGAAAGCTGGTATCTGTCCCATACGTTGTCGTTTTGTTGATGAGAAAACTACTAATGGGCAGCTGGTACTTTGTATCTTTGGAGCCGGGGCTGACGAGCTCGATGATGAGAGTGGCGGCGTCCTATTGCCCTTAGCTGCTTTTACTACCATTGTCTTCCCACCTCTAGGCGCATCCTAAGCGTTAAGCTTGTAAGTCATCCCTATTTGTGTGGTCTGTAACATGGTGCCTTAAGCACCTAGGGGCATAAGGCTACTCAAGCCACCATCACTCTTAAACATGGGCTGATTTACATGCATCACACCTGAAATTGCCAGCATGTCAACCTTTTCCTCCTCTTGAAATATAAGGAGTTAAGCTCCTCCATGAGCCCCCTAAGTCAAAGGTTCGCCCTGCTGAATCTTGGCCGCACCGTACTTCTCGAGCCGGATCGCCTGAATAGCAATAAATCCGCTGGTGTCCTCGGGGCTGAATCCCTCCAGAGTGTCCATAGAGGCCTGCGTCTCCGAGTAGAGGTTGCTCGTCTCGCTGGATCGGCCAAGGACATAAGCCCCGCCCTTGTAAACCATCATGTCGACCTTCCCTTCCACATGGCGCTGGCTGAAGACGATGCTGTTTTCTAGGAGTTCTCTCTCCGGGCTGAAGTACATGCCTGTGCAGGTCAGTATGTCGCACGAGAGCGGGAATAAGACGCCATACCATTGTACAGGCATTGAGACCACTCATTCGAGATGTAGGAGCAGATCGACTTCACTTTCGAGTCAAGGACAAGCCCCTCCAAATCTATGTGAGCAAGCCTCAATACGCTCATAGCGGGAGAATCGTAGCTGCAATCAGGGAAGTCAGTGCCAGCTCCGAAAAATGAGGCCGGTTTGCCGAGACCCATGTGAAGCCAGGGAGGACGTGTGCTCGTGGGGAAAACTTGGGTACGACGCTAGAAGAAAGCTCGCCGAGGAATGGTGCCCTCAGCTTCGAAGTAAAGAAAAGAAAGAAGACTTACCAACCGCGGCTCTTGAGCCCAATAAACCGACTCTCAACGATATCGATTCTACCCACGCCATTCCGCCCAGCCACTTGGTTGAGGGCCTTGAAGAGCTCTAGCGAACCAGTCACGGTCTCGCCGCCAACTTCCAGCTTGACGGGAATTCCTTGCTTGAACCAAATTGAGAATTTGGTCGGCTCATTAGGGGCTTCGAGGGGATCTACGTAAAGATTAGCTGCCTGCTCTTGTCCAGATTATCAAGGACAAGCACGCACCGACGGTTCTGGTCCAAATCTCCTTCGGAGGAGGGAGCTGTGGCTGTTCAAGTATGCCAGACTCATATGAACAATGCGCCAGGTTGTCTGTGAATGGTGTTAAAAGGGCCATCATCAGACAATCGACCCTTACATACCATCCATGGACCACGGGGCCTTTGGAGAGGACGACACTGGGATGTCGTTTTCAGCCGCAAACTTCAAGAGATCTGCACGGCCCCTATGACCAGTCAACAACCCCTCGAGAAAGCGAGCTCCCAAAACATGAGAAACAATTGAGTCAACGGGAGACTGACTGGAATCGGTTGAAGAATTTAGGCATTCTCCACGGGGCAATGACGGACAGGGATGGATCGCAGGCCTTCCACGCCAGCTCGAAACGAACTTGGCTGTGTGGGGTTAGTATCGCGTCGGCCTCTGGTGTCTGGTAAAACCTACTCGTTCTACCAGACGTTAGTAACAAACTCATGTTATGAACGGGTCAGGCCCAAGAATTAGAGGACAACTTACGCCCTTGCCCGTGCAGCCATGGCTGAGAATGTCACACTTGTGCTTGTGAGCAGCTCGGACCTGGGCTCGTGCAATGACGGGGCGAGCCAGGGAGGTGCCGAGGAGGTATCGGTCTTCGTAGATGGCGTTGCCTTTGCCTTGTCAGCATCAGACCTCAACAACGTCATGGCAGACAAACATTGGATGGCGCGGAAGATGAGCTCATCAACAAATTCCTGCTGCAGGTTGTCGATGACCATGCGCTCGGCACCAAGAGCGAGAGCCTTCTTCTCGACGGCGGCAAAGTCCTCCTCCTGACCGACATCGGCAAGGAAGCACTACTCCGGGTCAGGCGGTGACGTTGGGTTAGATCGGGGCGGACGTAGACGTACGACGACGGTGTAGCCCTGCGACGAATATTAGCAATGCGATCAGGATGGGGAACACTCGTAGACGCAGATGGTGGGCCGAGGATAAGAGAGAGATGCTTACCTCGAGAATGAGCCACTTCAGGATGGTCGAGGTATCGAGACCTGCGAGACGTGGTCAATTGAAACCCAAAGCCAAGGCATCTTGCGCAGCCAGGCACCGCATCGGGCGCTTACCTCCGGAGTAGGCGCTGTTGGTAGTGTTAGCCAAGCTCCATTCCACCGGAATCTGGACATCTTACAGGCAAACTCGTTTGGAAGACATGACGGCGCTGATTCTGTTGGCGAGCAAGAAGCCTGTGCTTGCAGATTGGGTATAATATATAATATATGCGGTGTGAGCGAGTGGAAGAAAAGGTTGAAATCCTGGCCGAGCAATCGGAGCAGCTGATAAGTTTTGGCCTTGGTTATTACAGCTTACGCTACGCAGTAATACGAGGCGAACCTAAGCGGGGAAGTGTGTGTGACTGACTGATCAAGGGGCAGCGCCGATACCGCACATTTTGTGTGCGCATATTCCGTGCGCCTGCGTTATGCACCTTTAATGCATACATATAGGTGAGGTTATCACAGCATGTGAAAAACGGTATGTTGCGCGCCCTTCTAGCGTTGAGATGTGCATGTCCCTAAAGGAGGCCCTCCTCTTTAAATCTTTGCGCTGTCTGCCCTCCTTTTGGACTTTGCATTTGCCTCATTCTATTTATGCGGCCCTAACCTCCCATTCGGCCAGCCTAACGGACTTATACTTGGCATTTTTGTGAGAGCTCTTGTGAGAGCTGTTGTGAGGGCATTGCGACGACGATTTCGTCTTGTGCGAGGTCAATTAGTTGGTGTTGTGAGCCAACAGTAGTCTCATCAACCTTGCCAGCGCTGTCTCCTAACGAGCCGGATTGAGGGTCGCCGGCGAAGCTCATCGTGCTCGTCAGGGAGGGGCATGCGGTGTATTGCTTGTGATGTGTTGACTGCAAGGGCGACGTCTTGTTTCTTTCGCACATGCATCACAGGCGGCGCAGGCCGCGTGCAGAGAGGAAAACGTGCAGTTAAAAAGAGACTCCATAGCTTTATGGGCTTATAGCAAAAAAGGCGGTGCGAATAGCTTCAAGTTTGCTGTTATGCTGCTTGTGATGGTGAATAGCGTAGCAGGGAATGTGCGCACACAAATTTGTGTCATCGACGCTGCGCATTGACCAGCCACATTTCTCCGCTTTTGATACTGTACAGTATAGACTACCTAGCTACTAGTAGGTACCTCACTGTGCTCCGTAGTCTTAATTAATCACTCCATGTTGAGCTTCCGGCGAAAGCAGTTGGACCGCTCCGGGATTGTGCTTATTAATACAGTACCGGTATAATCCAACGCTCCACCACCCCAACCCCCCTCCATGGCGTAGTGGTGACACGTCTGGAGCCTCTGCGTCGCAGAGGGGTCGGTTCGAAGCCGGCTGGAGGCACCCCTGAGCGAACAGGGTACACCCGGGTTCCCGCCCGTCAACAGGGAACAGCGTCATGAGAGAACACAATCGGCGTACCAACCACCATCAATGACTAACACAACCACGCTTCAACTTCGACACATCGCGCTTCAGTTGCTGGGAATAGGATGCTGAACACTTGGAGAAATTGACCTTCAAGCAGGTCTGTCATGAAGCGAACAGTGGAATGGTTGGCGCAGCGTAAGATGATATGTGGGGCTTGGGGTGTCATGCATCAGTGTATCGAACCGTCAATAGCCAGAGCGTCTAGGCCCTATAGGGACCTCCCTCCGGGCGGAATAAATCCATACCATACCCCCCTCTCAGCTCCACCAGCCGAATATCATGGCCTTGCTGTCGGGCATCCGGACGCAGGTGCTGTCGTGGTGGCAAGGCACGCCGCTGCCCGGCCTTCCGGACGCGCCGTGCCATTTCCAGGCGTGGCACGCATTTGACGACTCCAGCAATTCATGGCGTCCGATCGAGTCGACGAGCAATCAGGCCGCCCCGGGCCATGGTCATGACGGCTTTAGAATCGTCACCTGGAACGTTGACGCCACATCGCCTTTGCCCCAAATGCGTGCAGGCGGCATCATTTCCCGTGCCCTCGGTCTGAGCTCCGCCGTCGACGTCGTCTTTCTTCAGGAAGTCTCGCAGCCTGCTCTTTCGTTCATACTGGGCGACGCGCGGATACGTCAACTCTGGTACTCGAGTGATGCCGATACGTCCAAATGGGGAGGCCAATCCTTTGGGACAATCACGTTGCTCTCAAAGCGACGGTTTGATAGGGCAGCAACTCTCGGTCCGGTTTGGAGAGTCAAGTACCCCAGCCGCTTCGCCAGAGATGCACTTTGCTGCGACATCCTAGCCCCTCCATCTAGCCCAGAACAAGGCGTCGTTCGCGTCCGACTCGTCAATGTCCATCTGGATTCGCTCCCAATAAGGCCCTCCCACCGTCCTCGACAAGTCTCGGTCATTGCTTCGCTCATACGGAGCGCGGGTCACGGCCTCGTCGCTGGAGACTTTAACCCCGTGCTTCCAGAAGACAACTCTCTTGTGGAGGATCGCGGACTGACAGACGCATGGGGTCAGCTTCACGGCCAAGATCCGGGCTTCACGTGGGGGCTTGATGGGAAGCAACCATTTCCTCCGGGTCGGCTGGACAAGATTGCTGCCATGGGCATCCAAGTTGAAGCAATTGAGATTATGCATCCAGAAATCACCACTCATATAGATGCATCGCGCAACGAGACCACTGGCCCGGTGCCATGGAGCGACCATTCTGGGCTCTGGTGCCACTTTAGTGTCTCACCTTGACCGTGGCTTGCCGTGTAATGGAGGGAAATCTTCTGAGATGATAAATTAAGTCGTCAGCTGAGAAAAAATCTCTCTATACATAGGTAGGAATAAGGAGGTTGTAGTAACTTCCATGCCTTGGGTACGGAACCAGTGATGAAAACGCAGTGCGAAGTACTTTTATTACTCAAGGCGGGTTTGCTGAGGCGGCAAGGGAGGGGAGAGTCAAGTTCAGCATTTAATTCTGACGACAAGCCATCTAGACAGCATTGAAATCCTTCTGTTCAAAATCTGGACCTTTTTATCGTTGTTGATACAAGACGTAGGTATATGTTTGATACATTTGTGGTAAGATGGAAGCTATTTCGTGGAGACCCCCGACAAAGGGCGACGGAAGGGCTACAAGATTTGAAAGAATGTATACTCTAGACCTCATCGGCTATAGCAGATTTTCCTCGAGATGTCTCTGAACTCGACATCCTCGTATCTATTCGTCCTAGGGGCCGGTTCTGTAACGTAAACCATATCCCTTTACCGTTCAACATTTATTCCAAGTCATAGAAATACCTAGCATTATCAAACTACAGGATGTTGCTGTACATACTGCGTAAGCGTTAAGAGCAGGAGAAGGGAACAGAAGAAACACAATAAAATAACACCCGCGCTTGCTAATACTCTTGATAGATTTTCAACCATCGAAGCTTTGGGCTTCGAAAACTATTGAGCTTTAGTCTGAGCAAAGGATTACCATCGCCCTGTATTCTTGGCACGCTATCAGTTCTTATATCTTCCATCCAGCTGTTGCCATGTTTTTAGATCATTAAACTCTCGGATCCACTCTGATAATCCCTTAGCCATATCACTCTTCAGGCCCTTCAAGTCTAGCTGAACCTTGTCAGTGATGAGCAGATCTCTGATTGATCTGATATCTTGCATGTCACCATATCTCTTAGCCCCTTTTCGCCGGGTCTCGTTTGCCCAACCACTCAGTTTCAGCCTCAGCAAGCCATCTGGATCAAGAAAGTTCAACTGCATTTGTTGGCCTAGTCGCACGATTCCGGCTTGGTCCAGGGTAGGAAATGCCATGAATCCAGCTATGATGCCGTCTACCTCGACGAAAGTGCCCCCTGATTCTGCGAAGAAATACTGAGAGTCGGAAGGCAAAACACCCGTCTTATCCTGGATAAATGGAGGCTTCGAGAAAATATCGAGGAGCGTGCCGTAACCATGGGCGCCATTTGGGACGGCGATGTCGATGTCCGAAGTTGTGCGTGCCGTCATACCAACATTGATACACGCGAAGCCACCGCAGAAATAGTAAGGGACGTTTGCCCGCTTGAGCTCCTTGTGAAGATGCAAGGCACAGCTGTACAAGTCTCTCTGCGGTGGCGGAGGAAGCGTGGCTGCAAAGAAATTCATGAGAATCGCTTCATGCAAAGCATGGTGTCATCAGGTTATCAAGCCTGTCACGAACGTTTTTGCCCTTGAGGGGTTGTAGCTTTCAAATGCTGAAGCAATTCATTAAACGCTTTCTGGGTCCTTTCTGCAGACGCATTAGAGACCAGTTCAGGTTAATGGCTCCGGTGTACACAACGCTGGCTCAACATGTTGAGCATCAGGGGGTACTGACCAGTAAGACTATCCTCACCGTCACCATGTCGGGCTGAGCTCAGCATGGTGATGGAATTGTCCAAATATTGGTGTGCTAAGGTGTACGTATCAACTGGATTCGTTTTGGAAACGTTTCTTCCTTTCTTTAGAGCACGCGGACATGTCGGACTCATGACAGCAGGAAAGTCAGGTTTTATAATGTGAGAGTGAGCGGCTCAATTCATCTATCTTCCCGGCGGCCAAGCCATCAAGAAATGAGGGGTTCGAACGAATCAAATGCTTGGTCGTTGCACCGGCGGCCTGCAGTCGCGTCCGAGTGTGGTTATGGTTCCCGCGCTCTGTTCATATTGATTGGACAATAATTGCTATGGCCGATGGAGTAAAGCAACAAGGTCCGGAAGGCTAACGAAAGGAAATATGTGTCTCGAATCTGACGAATAAGATTCTCTCAACCTTGAAGAAGCGTGCCGAAGTTTATACTTTGCTTAATAATCAACCTGGCTGGAAGGCTAATTCCCAGCTAAAACAGTGGTGTCTCGTCATAAGCACGTGCCCGTCCGCTGTGGGTATAATGTCGGGGCAGCGTCACCTCCAGCCTGAGCCTTCAAGTCTCCACCGCCTGATCATGCCCAGCAATCAGAATCGGCCTTTCCGCGTCCGCGACGCGGGCGCCGAGGGCGCGGCAGCAGTCGCCAAACTGTTAAAAGACTCTGGTATCCCATCTGCTCTCTGGGGAGCGAATGCAGCTGCCTATCACGGTGGCGGTCTCTGCCCCTTGGTACGTGTCTTCAAACTGTCGCTCCCCAGTCCGAGCCCGAGATGCTGATATGGACTACGACTAGGATATAGAGCTCGTCGTAAATGATGCTCATCAGCAGCGGGCATTCGGTGTGCTAACAGCCCATGGGGTCTTACCCGCCATCCCCGACGATAGCGAAAGTACACTGCCAATTGACTACGCACTTTGGCGACAACAAGCGCCCTCGTATCGATACCGAGACCGCCGTCGCGTGCGAATATGCAGCCATTTATACAAACTACCACCGAGCGGAGACTGGCTTGAGGATTCTCTGCTTCCATACATCATCCTGTATTCGGCTGAGACTGTTGGCCTGCCTTCACTTCCGCCCTTTCCACACACCAAGCTTCCACGGTTGGTTGGATCGCGACAATCTTACGTCCTCGCGCCCGCGCTTCATAGTCCACGAATGTCACTGAGCAAATTCGGTACCAAGGGCGAAGTCCTAACAACCGCATTCGCGGCTCTCGTTGAATCGGAAATGAACGTTCTGTTGTGGCATGCAGACTATCTTTCTCCGGCCTGGGGACAACATATGGCTCAGCTTTCTGAACTACTTCGTTCACGAAGCGTTGTAAACGGTCCAGATGGCTTGCCGGACTTGGTAGATTCCAGGCTGTCGACTTTCGCGAACTGGATTCAATTGGACTTCCGGGGGGAAGCGGACCCTGAGGACTTGGCTGACTTGAAAGACGTTGAAATTCGACGCAAAGCGGGAGCGAATCTGGATCCTCACCACTGTGACTCTTTCTCATCGGAGCTTTCCTTTTAGGGTGTCCGCAAGCACTCCTTGGATGCCTGGTCGGCATTAGCTCGCAAAACTCCGAGACTTGGCGGTTTCCCGAGGATTCCCATGAGTCTCGAGATCAGCCGGCGTCTGTGTTGGCGTCTTCGTCAATTCTCGCTGGCGTGGCGGGCTTGGCGGCATTTCTCTTGAGGTACTTTCTTCAGTGAAGTCATCGCGAAACGGGTTTAGGCGTAAACGAGGTGGCGATATTTTGATACTCAGGCCAGAGAGGGCCAGTTGAGATTCTCTGGATCCAGGCACCGTGCTTTAACGTTGTGACGGCGTCCACGTAGCTTGCTCGGCCAGCTCTCCAAAGTCCAAACCCCGACTGTTCTAATGTCGATGATTTCTTCAACCGAAACTCTGATGCTGGAAACCGTCATCCGACTCGCCACTCAAGAGAAATAAGGCAACATTGATGTGTGGAGCCCTCACTCTCTCACCTCGATGCCTTCGGTGCCCTGCTTGAACGCTTCCCTAAACAATCCCTGTTGAAAGAGAAACCTGTAGTTAACACAGGGACGGTCAAATAGACGCTCGAGGGTGCAATCGGTATTGGCCATAGCCATGCTACATGAGTATAAACGTGCTTGGCAATCACGCTTATTGAGAACTTGGCGCCCCACCAGTCTTCCAACGCATCAGATACCGAAGAGGAGATGTGCGGGGTCCCTAATGGTAGTAGGTGTTGAATCTCGTCGTCAGGCAGGCGACGGCCATTCCTATGAGAAAGACGATGGCGGCTTTTGATCGAGGAGAGAGGTCAGCGACTAAGAATCGCAGTTGGGCAAAAGCGAGGGGTGCCTACCGTACCACTTAAACTTGCTGTCCGCCCAGACGAAGAGCCGGACCAACAGAGCAGCTTTGAGCACTAGTTAATTACAGTACTGTACTAATAAGGGGCCGGCACGTCAAGCGGGGAAGATGAAAAGCATTGCGTCACGTAGAAAGTGAACCTACTGTAATTAGATCCGGGTAGGAATAGCGTCCAGCGCTAAAGGACGCAGTCTCAGGTCCCCGACATTGGTCGGATGGTGGGGGCGGGGTTGGAGCTCGGCTTAGCGGAGGCTTCGGCCGAAGTTTGACGGCGCGAGGATGGAAAGGGAGAGAGAGAAGAGGCGGCAGGGTATGAAGAGTTTGTTGCTGTATGAACAAGTTAATCGACGCTGCATATAATATGTACTGTACACTGCTCCAGCAATGATACAGTGTCTCATCCATTGCTGAGCCACTGACACTCTTGGCCAATGGCCACAAATTCCGGGCCGGGACAAACTCTCACGATGCCTGCCAAACATGATTTCCGAGCAGGCCAAGCCATGCGCGGGGTACAGAAAAGTACGTTGTCATGAGTGCACCATCTCGGCTGATGGGTCGCAGCCAGGGACAAGGAGGGGGAGGCAACGGGCGTGATCTCTCTCGTTTCCAGTCCTTTTCTCTCACACGCTATGCGCCAACGGCACGACTCTTGCCACCTTGGGTAGGTGTTCTGCGCATACGACGGTGGTTTGTACTGTGGTAGCTCGTTGGTCCCTTGACAATCCAGATGCCGAGGCTCCCTTTTTGTTGATGATGATTTGTGGGTGCGTTGTGGCGTGTGTTGTGTGGTGTGCATTGTGGATGCACTGCGGGGGACAGAGAGGCGGCGCCTTCAATATATCCGTCCCCCGCCCTTTGGTGCACGTTCAGTAACAGTACGTAATTAGCCTGCTCCTTCAGCTGAGCTTCTCAGCTCTCACGTACGCTCCCCGCTACCACCTTACCCTTTCCCTCCAAAACCCCCCTCCTTTTCTCTCCTCCAACCCCCTCTCTCCGCCTTCTGCTCTCCTCCTCCTGCTCCTCCTCCTTCTCACCACTGACATCCAGCTTCCCACCGTCGTCGTCGCCGCCATGTCTCTGACCGTCGGCCTCGAGACTCCCGTCACTGGTTCCTACCAGCAGCCCATCGGCCTGTAAGTCACGACAGCCTCCCTCTGCAACCAGCCAACAGGCCCCCTCGCTACCGGCATGGTGCATTGCGCACATGGCTGACACAAGAGACGCAAGCTTCATCAACAACGAGTGGGTCGAGGGCGTCGACAAGAAGAAGTTTGAGGTCGTCAACCCCGCCACCGAAGAGGTCATCACCTCGGTCTGCGAGGCCACCGAAAAGGATGTCGACATCGCCGTCGCCGCTGCCCGCAAGACCTTTGAGACGACATGGAGGCAGGTCACTCCCCAGTCCCGAGGCGCCATGATCCTCAAGCTCGCCGACATTGTCGAGAAGAATACCGACCTCCTCGCCGCCGTCGAGTCCCTCGACAACGGCAAGTCCATCACCATGGCCCGCGGCGACATTGGCGCCGTTGTCGGCGTCCTGAGATACTTTGGTGGCTGGGCCGACAAGATCACAGGCAAGACCCTTGACGTTGCCCCCGACATGTTCAACTACACCCGCAGGGAGCCCGTAAGTCTCTATTCCCCCGCTGGCCAGTTTCCCACTGACGACAAAAGATCGGTGTCTGCGGCCAAATCATTCCCTGGAACTTCCCCATGCTCATGCTTGCCTGGAAAGTCGGCCCTGCTCTCGCCACGGGCAACACCATCGTCATGAAGACGGCGGAGCAGACGCCCCTGTCGGCTCTGGTCTTCGCCAACTTTGTAAAGGAGGCTGGCTTTCCGCCTGGCGTCTTCAACCTGCTTTCTGGTTTCGGCAAGGTTGCTGGTGCGGCCATCTCCGCCCACATGGACATTGACAAGGTCGCCTTTACCGGCTCCACCCTCGTTGGCCGTAGCATCATGAAGGCCGCCGCCTCGTCCAACCTGAAGAAGGTGACGCTCGAGCTCGGCGGCAAGTCTCCCAACATTGTCTTCAACGATGCCGACATCGAACAGGCCATCTCTTGGGTCAACTTTGGCATCTACTTCAACCACGGCCAGTGCTGCTGCGCCGGCACCCGCATCTTTGTGCAAGAAGGCATCTACGACAAGTTTGTCGAGGCATTCAAGAAGCGCGCCACCGAGAACAAGGTCGGCGACCCCTTCGACGACAAGACGTTCCAGGGCCCCCAGGTCAGCCAGCTCCAGTACGACCGAATCATGGGCTACATCAAGTTGGGCAAGGAAGAGGGTGCCACGGTCGAGGTCGGCGGCGGGCGCCACGGCGACAAGGGCTACTTTATCCAACCCACCATCTTTTCCAATGTTCGGTCGGACATGAAGATTATGCAGGAGGAGATTTTCGGCCCCGTCTGCGCCATTGCCAAGTTCAAGGACGAGGACGAGGCCATCAAGTTGGGCAACGATACCACCTATGGCTTGGCCGCGGCCGTCCACACAAAGGACCTCAACACCGCCGTCCGCGTCAGCAACGACCTCAAGGCCGGCACTGTCTGGGTCAATTGTAAGTCTGATGCTTTGTTGGCGTGATTGCTCCATTCTAACCGCTCGAGCAGGCTACAACCTCATCAGGCACGAGACCCCCTTCGGCGGATACAAGCAGAGCGGGATTGGACGCGAGCTGGGAGAGGAGGCGCTGGCGAGCTACACCGAGACGAAGAGCGTGGCCATCAGACTGGGAGGCGCCATGTTTGACTGAAGAGTTATTGGAGGGATGGTGGATGATGATGCAAGCTAAATTGATGCTTCTGGACGGGTGCAACAGGTCTGCGAAAATTGTAAAACTCGACATGTCTTTTCGCAATGAATTGAAATGAAGTCACGAGGCGAGGTGGTTTCTGAGCCTGCATCTGAGCGGCCTGTAATTAAACTTGCGGAGAGGTACGGAATGATGTCACAGTCTTTACGGAGTACCTAGATACTCTCTCGGCCAACTTCTTCCAAGGGTGCGGGCGCTCTATCGATAACGGGCGGGTCTAGCAAATCCATGGCTCACGCTAATTACCTGCGCCTGCTAGGTGCCAGGCGCCAACTCACGACTGCCCTCCTCCGCGCCATCCTTTGTTCAACCGCAAGCCGTCCAAACAGAGAGGCGTGACGCCAGAGACGGCCCGCGCACGGCTAGAGGGAGTCACAATGTCTGCCCTCTACAACCTCGAGCCGCAGCCGACGGCCTCAGCCATCATCCACACCACGCTCGGGGAGATCCTGGTGGAGCTCTTTGCGAAGCAGACGCCGCTGACGTGTCGAAACTTCCTCCAACTGAGTCTCGACGGCTACTACGATGGCACCATCTTCCACAGGCTCGTGCCCAACTTCATTCTCCAGGGTGGCGACCCGACGGGCACCGGCAACGGGGGCGAGTCCATCTACGACGGGGGCGCCTTCAGCGACGACCTTGACCCGTGGCCGATGGACCAGCGGCATGGCAGGAACGCGGGGCCGGCGGGCATCAACTTCAAGGATGAGTTCCACTCGCGCCTCAAGTTCAACCGACGCGGTCTCTTGGGCATGGCAAACGACGGCCGGCCTGATACAAACGGGAGCCAGTTCTTCTTCACACTGGACAAGACGGACGAGTTGACTGGCAAAAATACGCTGTTTGGACGAGTCGCGGGCGACACGATATACAACCTGGCCAAGATTGGCGAGTCGGAGGTGGAAGAGGGGTCTGAGCGGCCTTTGTACGCTGTCAAGATTGAGAGGATCGAGATCTTGGTGAACCCGTTTGAGGACATGACGAAGCGATCGCGAGTCGCTACACGAGTCCAGCCCAAGGCGCCGGCACCTAAAGATAAAAAGAAGAAGAGGAAAGGAGGAAAGCAGCTTCTCAGTTTTGGCGACGAAGAGGACGACGAAGTGCCGGCATTTAAAAAGACCAAGTTTGACACAAGGCTGATTGCTGATGACGAGGTCGAGGAGGAACGACCACTCGGCAAAAGGTCTACGCACCGAGAACCCTCAAAAGTAGCCAAGCCGTCACAGACCGTCATCGTCGATCCAGAAGGCAAAGACGAGGAAACCGCCAGTCATGCCGGACCCGAGCCCATGGTGGACAAGAAACCAAAATCACGACCCGAACCCGAAACTTCAGCACCAAAGCCATCTCCAGAGCCAGAACCCATCAGGAAGAGCGCGCTTCAAAAGGCCAAGGAGGAGATGGCGGCGCTCAAGGCGTCAATGCGACGGACAGTCCCCTCGGAACAGGCAGTGACGGAGAAAGAAAAGTCTGCGCTGGAGTCAATGATACCCGAGACGTCGATGCGTGGACGCAAGAGGCGGCCGGCGGGGAACAACACGTTGAGCAACGAAGACGCAGACACCGTGCGCATGCTCAAGGCCTTCCAGTCAAGGCTCGACAAGGCGCCCCCTGAAAAGGAGACGACTCAGGCGTCGAGTGCCCAAGACCAAGACGGCGGCGACGACGGCTCAGGGGCGGCGGGCGAGGAAGCGGAGCTATGCGACCTGCACTTCATCGCAAACTGCCAAAGCTGCACGGCATGGGACAAGCAGGACAAGGAAGAAAGCGACGACGAAGGGTGGATGTCACACTCGCTGTCCTTTGCGGCGGAGAAGCTCGGCAGGGACCTCAGCAACCGGAGAAAGGCCGAGGAGGAACTGGTCGTCATCGACCCGCGGGAGAAGGCGCGCACGCTCAAAGAGGAGAAGCAGGCCCAGCGAGAGGCGCGGGCGGGGGGGTCTGGGCGCGCGTGGGATCAGGCGCGCAACGCGAAGCTGGCGCGGGCGGGGTCGCTGGCGGGGAGGGGGGCCAAGTGAGAGGCTTGATTTAGGTGGAATATCATGCGGAGAGCTGCAATGGGGCCAGACGAGTCAATGTTCGACGAGTATACCATTTTTACTTAGGCTTCTACCATAGGCGCTGCATATTGCCGACGAGATCATAGAAGCCGCTGCTCCTTGCTTTTTTCCCCTTGTTTTTTTCCCTTCGCGACCGTATAATTTTAGCAGATGGTGTCTTCATTACATGGATAACGAAGCATCTCGCAACAACGGATGGATCTGGAAGAGGCCGTCGACGGATGACCACGTGACTGTTCCGGGCCATGACCGTGCAGTGTGATTGGCCGAACGAACATACCTAGGGCCCGCTGTATCGCCTGGGCTATTAGCGGGCCTGTCAGGTAGCCTTCCGCTATGAGGCCCGTCAACCTTTTTTGAGGCAGCTTCCCACGAGTGCTCTGCTTGTTCCTCGTTCACCTTTTTCTCTCGTTTTGTTTTCCGCCTTCTTCTTCCGCGATTCGGCTCTGCGCAGTGACATACTATAGTCCGCCCGCGCAAGTGCAGATACCTCTTCTGGATCGCAGTCTTCCTCTCCGACCGCCACCTCCGACAGACGACTGCGCCATTCGATACAAAGGTCGACATCTCACCACGTTTCATTCCCATCCGCCTCGCCGACTACGCTACGAAATAGTATCGACCGTTCGCCCCGGCTGGCCAAAGAAACTGGAGGCTCAAAACCGTGATTGCGAGGATCCGCCGCCTCACGCCGCCTTCTGACATCGGCAGGCTTTGCTGCAAGAGATAACGCGTCGCCGATTGCCCCCGACGGCTCATACGAAACCATTCGGCTCGACTCGACCAACCCCTTTCTCGACTATCCGTGCCAGCACTCACAGAGGGTGTACAGTCAGTGGGGTTACACCAGAGGATTGAAATTGACTCCTCTGTGCCCACATCCAACTCAGTGTCACGACACGGCCTTCTCCAAACACGATCCGCGAAAACCGAGAGCCCTGTTACTCGCGCGCGCGCGCGGCATTGACCCATCGCCCGAGCCGCATGGTCAACAAGCCGCCGCCCCGCCGCACATGACTTTTCCATGTCAGCAATCAACTCGAGGAAAAGAGCAGCGCCCGGAGCATCGCCCATCGTCCCGTATCAGCAACGGATGCAGCAGCCGTACATGGCCGACAATGCAAAGGGAGAGTCGATGATGCGATGGAACGGCGGGGGGGACGGCTCCGACCTCGTCGACGGCTCGGCACACGGCGCCAACCAGTACGGCCTCGTCCCGGCTCAGCAGCAGTACACGCAGAGCGCCCCCGCGCCGTCAAACTCCCTCACGCGTCGCCCTACCAATCAGGCGCTGGTGCCGACGAACCCGCGCTCCAGCTACGACTCCTCGGTCGAACCCTGGACCGGCTTTGGCGACGGCAGCAATGCGCTCTTGCAGCAAACCCCGGGCGAGGGGCTGATTGCGCAGGATAACGTTGAGGTCTTGGAGGAAATGGCGGCAAAGGCCAAGCGGGAGTCGCAAAGCAAGCGGAAGCAGATCCCCCCTTTTGTGCAGAAGCTCAGCAGGTAAGTGCAATCTCGAGCCGGACTCGTTTGGTTCTTGCATTGACGTTTGTCTTTAGCTTTCTTGAGGAGCGCAAAAATGAAGACCTGATACGGTGGTCCGAAAAGGGAGACTCATTCATCGTGCTGGACGAGGATGAGTTTGCCAAGACGCTGATCCCCGAGCTGTTCAAGCACAACAACTACGCCTCCTTTGTCCGGCAGCTCAACATGTACGGCTTCCACAAGCGCGTCGGCCTTTCGGACAATTCAATGCGCGCGAGCGAGCGCAAGAACAAGAGCCCCAGCGAATACTACAATCCCTTTTTCCGCCGCGGCCACCCCAACTTGCTCTGGCTCATCAACAAGCCCAAGGGCGGGAGCAAGGCCAAGAAGGGGAACAAGCACATCGAGGGCGAGGGCGAAAGCGACGAGGACATTGGACACGATGACGCGGCCACCCAGCCACCGGGCACGTCGACGGTTCCGACCGGCCGTCCGCTGCCTACTAGCGATTCGCAGCCGCTGCAAAAGAAGGAGATGACGCTCATACGAGAAGAGCTGGGCAAGGTGCGAGAGCAGCAAAAGATGATTCTCGGCGCCATCAATCAGCTGCAGCGCAACAACAATGACTTATACAACCAGGCACTCATGTTCCAGAATCAACACGATCGGCACCAAAACTCGATCAATGCCATCCTCAACTTCCTGGCCAACGTCTTTCGCAAGACACTCGAGGACGGCAGCCATCAAAACGTCGGTGACATCATCTCCAGCCTCATGACCACCAACCAGGGAACCCAGCAGTCCCATCAGCAGGGCAGCATTTTCGACCTGGGCGATCTGGTCCAGTCGCAGGTCGATCCGACATCGTCGCTCGCCGGGACTCATAAGAGAGCCCGCGGCTTGCTCCCACCCATCCCCAATCAGAACGAGGCACCAAAGGCGGGCAGATCGCCTTCGGGCGCGAGCCCGTCGTATCATACAATGGGCAACCAGAACCCCGAGACAGGCCACGTCACGGAACTGTTGGACGGGTCGGATGCTTCGCCGAGCCTCGTTCAAGAGCTGGAAGCCAATCCGCAAGAGCGGATGATGAAGATTATCAACGACCACAACGCAACCAACACGTCGAGCATGGACCTGCCCGAGGCGGCCGAGCTTGTGGCCAACGCGCCGGACGCCCTGAACAGGGATCAGCGGAGCAAGCTGGTCGACTTCATGTCCAAGCAGACGTCGACCCCCTCGAGCACGGCGCCGTCCCCCGCTGCGCCGGGGCAAGCGTCGGCCGGCGCGCCGCCCAGGGGATCCGCCGCGGGCATCCCACCACCGTCCCTATCACCCATCATGCGCTCGCCGACAATGACGCCGCCTTCGCTGCACCAAATCAACTCGAACCAGGTCGACCTCGGGCAGCTACAGCGGCTGCAGAGCGAGCAGGACGCCAAGATCCACGAGCTCAGCGAGATGCTCGGGCCCTTGAGCCCGTCGGGCCAGATCCCCGGGCTGGCCGACGGCCACGAGGGCTTCCTCGACCCACCCAACGTCGACCTGGATCAGTACTTTGACAGCAGCGCATTCCTCGACGACACGAGCTACGTCGCCGACGGCAACGACTTCAACTTCAACCTCGACCCGGGCGGCGGCATCGTTGACCCGCTCGGCGCCAGCCATGGAAATGTGATGGCTGGGGCCGCCGGCGGCGGCGGCGACGTGCCCAGCCCGGCCGGTACCGAGGAGATTCTGCGCGACGATTTTGCCGGGACGGCCAACCCGGACCACGATGCCAAGCGGCGTCGGATAGGCTAGGGCCGCGTCTGGCTTTCGCTCTCGCTCTTTGCTTGACATCGTACCCATCTGTTTCTCTAGGTACATCCCCCCCGGCCAAAGGAGCCAGATTTGGGTCGCGGTATCGCGATTGTGTGACCGAACTACAACAGTTCACATGCTCACACTCTGAAAACGGACACGTGGCATTCATACAGGAGGCATCGTCATGGGCCGAGCATGGTCGCTCATCTTGTGGCACCGGGGAGAAGGCCGGTCGTTGTGTCCTGTTAAATTTTGTTCAAACAAAAAAGTACTCGTTTAGTTGGGCGAGCAGCCCTCCGCACTCACCCTTTTTTTGCGCCGAAGCGGCAACGTTTGGGGGGTGAGGGGTCGAATCATGAAGACATGAAAAAACTAGCAGAACTTGGGAAGGGGGGCTATGGATGTCGAGACGCTTCTGGCTCGAGATGTTCTCGGTTGGGGGTGTAGGGGGATATTAAAACGTCGATCAAGACGAGCTGGGTGGAATGTATGTAGTTGGCTCGTGCATATACACCTGCGTTTCCTCTGACGGGGCGTGAGACAATTCTGTGAATACTGGTTTGTTCGTCCAGTGCCCTCTCTTCTCAGTGTATTGTCTTTTTTCATATTGCTGGTTAATCGTAGCATTCCGACCCATACACTCTCCCTGTATAAGTCTTCTTCTCCCAGGACGCGACAGATCTCGTCGCCAAATGATCCGCGTTCGTTCTATATGGGGGCGCGGCAAACTTTGTCCGTCCGTCTGATCGCCTCGCACAACCCGCATCAAAGATTCCGCGAGATTGGCAAGAAGCTGTCGACCGAGGGTGATGGACGCAAGCGGGAAAGGCGCCGAACGATGGTAGTCCGTTGCTGTTTCTCGTAGTCGCGGTCGGGGCAGCGGCGGCGCAGAGGCGTGCTCGCTTGGAGTTGCAATGGGGTTCGGCGGCGGCGGGCGACAGCAGAGAGGCGAGCTCTGGTGGTGTTTTGACGGCTTTTGCTCTGGTATTGTACAGAGGCCATGTGCTCTTTATCTCCTTTACATTCTCCTGCATTGGACAGCATGTCTATCAGAGACGGCGGGTCAGGGGCGTGGTGGGCAACGGCGCCTCTCTGCGCACAAGCTCAGCCAGCAAGGGGATTGGCGTGAACGGTGACGCGGTCGATGCGAAACGGCTCCTTGGGGCGGTTCTTCTTGTCCACCTCGAGCGCCTCCATCCTGGCGAGGGTGGCCATGGAGCCGTCGCCAATGACCTTTCCAAAGACAGTGTTGAGCCCGTCGAGGTGCGGGGCCTTGTCAAAGGTGAGGAAGAACTGGGAGCCGTTTGTGCCGGGCCCCTTGTTGGCCATGGAGACGACGCCGCGCGAGGCGTGGCGCAGGGCGGGCCGGATCTCGTCGTCAAAGGCGCCGCCCCAGATGGAGCGCCCGCCTTTTGGGTTTTCCGGGGGCGAGGGGGTGGCGGGGGCGCCTGTCTGGGCCATGAACTTGGGGATGAGGCGGTGGAAGGGCGAGGCGTCGTAGTAGCCCGATGCGCAGAGGGCGAGGAAGTTCTGCAGACGAGGCGAGTCAGCCGGGCGCGGTGCGAGACGAGGGGCGCTGGTAAAAACAGGAGGCTCTGTCTCTCCCTCCTTTTCTTTCTCTCTTCCAGTTTCTCTCTCTGTTTTTTTTTCCCCTTTGTGCTTGCTATCTCTCACCTCGGCAGTCTTGGGGACGCTCTCGCAAAAGACCTCAATCTTGACGTCGCCGAGAGACGTGTGCAGCGTGACGGACATGGTCGGGGGGATCGGCGCGCGCGTACGCGCTCAGTCGCAGGCGTCGGATGACGACGAGTTGGATGCTTCCGAGATCAAAGGAAGGGCCTGGATTCGGCGGTGATGGTGCTGGGGATCTGCCGCGGTCGAGGATCTTCAGGGCACCACGGCTACGGAGTCAGAAGAAAAGTGTGCTTACATAACGACCTAGGACCATGGCGTGGTGGCCAAGACTGCATCGCAAGAAGATTGTCACCCATGCATCTGCCGCGTTGGCCATGCAGACACTAGGACTCGGGCTGGACACCCATGCGCGGCGACTATCGAGCCGTGTGCAACGTTTGCCTCGGAAAAAGGCTTGATAATCACCGAGCCCACCCGGAGGGCAGAACCAACGCCAGGCCGAGTGAGCGACGACGGCTCCGTCTCTGCCTGCCTCTGCCGCCGCAGCTCGAGGCCGTACGGCTCTGGAAAGGACGAGGCCAGGGGAGCTAGTCGAGGCGGGATGAACCCAAATGCCCATGCACTGCGGGAGGGAGCCGCTAGAGCAAGACGCGCTGCAGTGAAACACGCTTTTTTCTGTGTTGGGTCCCTTGATTGCTCTCTGTCTCGTTGCTGCTGCTGTTATTATTGCTGCTGTTACTGCTGCCAGACGTCGTGGGGGAAACTACAGTAATCTCTCTTGAAGTGAATGCAGGAGACATGGACGGGGCAAAGATGGTGCGAGAAACGAGAGGCGAGAGCCCCGTACTGCACTTGAATCTCGGCATCCCGGTGTCCCTTTTTAGCCACCTTGATTACTCCGTACTCCCAGTAGGGCGAGGCATCCATCCATCCATCCATCACTCCCTCCGTCTCCCTCTGGCTGGCCGCTCCCGCTCCCGCTCCCTCTCTGCCTTGTCTCTGTCACTCCCTGGCCAGGCCATTTCCCGCGACCACAGCCACGGGCTGACGCGCCCCCATACTTAACCTTTTCTCGTCCACCCCACACTCTCTCGCTCCCCCTCGCATTCCCCTGCCCGTCTCTCTGTCTCTCTGTTTTTCCCTTCTTCCCCGTCCCAATCGCCTCCCGGGACATGGGACGGGCACCAACACAATCCCATTCCTCCCGCGTCATCGGCCTCGACCGACAGCGACTCACCTCGCCCGTTACACGGCCCTGCTACCCCTCCCCGACAACACTAACACCTAAGCTACTCAAGGGGCGGCAACGCATTCCGCTCGAGCTACGCCGCCGCCGCCAACACCGCCAACACCCGCAGCCGTCCTCTTGCCCCGTCACCATACATGACAGCGTACGCCGCCGCTGACGACGCCCGTCCCGTCGAAGCAGCCCTCTTCATCACCATCGCCGCCGTCGTCGTCGTCGTCAAGGCCGCCGTCGCCGTCGCCGTCGTCACCAGCACCCCCGTGCTGGCGGCCTCTTCAGCGGCGTCATGGCCACTGCGCCAGCCAGCGTGAGGGTCTCGGGGCCTCCAAACAGCAGCTTCCTCGTCGGCTATCCGGGCATCTCGGCCACTCTGGTACGTTGGTCCTGTTCCTTCCAATTGTCCCGCCTTGCGCCTGTGCTGACCCACTCCGCCATGGCAGCCGCGCATCGAGGGCAAGGTCGAGATCCGCCCCGGCCAGGGCTTTTCCATGCCCGTGCCCATCTCCCTGGTGCGCATATGCCTGCAACGCCGCGAGACGATACACCCCGACGCCGAGAGCCTCACCAAGAGGCACCTCGGCACCCCGCGGCGGGAGACGACGGACGTGGTCGGCAAGGAGGTCCTGCTCTTCCGCTGCTCCACCGGCAAGGAGGCCGAGAGCGTCATAGCCATGGACCTGCCCTTTGTCCTCTTCATCCCCTTTGGCAGGGGCGGCGAGGAGACGAACCGACGAATCCCCCCCGCCTCGCTCCAGCTCCCCAGCAGGACGGCCGAGACGTACTACGAGCTCGTCGTGACGGTGCAGCAGGGCCACAGCAACCAGTACAAGTACAGCTTCCCCATGCCGCTGCAGCGCTACGACACCCTCTCGACCTTTGGCATGTACAACAAACCCGAGACAAGGCTCGTCACGGCCGACAACGTCGTCCACCTCGGCATCAACCTGCCGCGCTGGAGCTTTGGCCCCAACGACCCCATCACCGTCTACCTGAAGCTGTCGCCCAACTTGGACTGGATGAGCAAGGCCAAGCGCGTCACCATTGAGAAGATTACCCTCACCATTGAGGAGGAAATCACCTTTAATCCCGAGGGAGACGAGCCGACCAAAAAGGTCAACAAGCTGTCCAAGCAGATTCAGCACGTCAAGATGAAGATGCCCGAGGCCGGCTATGCAACCAACATAGGCCTGGTTTTTCCCTCCAAGGACCTGCGGGACCCGGACGGCATCATCAAGCGAGGCAAGCCCGCCTTTCCCTTCTACGAGGTGGCCTCGTTTACTACCTCGTCGAGCCTTTACAAGATTGAATTCTACGTCAGCATCAAGGTACGTCGACCATGCCCCTTTCTGGAGCCCCAGCTCTAGCTGACGGTTCCTGCTTAAGGTGCAACTGAGCGGCACTCGCGATGTCAGTCTACGGCAGCCCGTTGTCATCTGTCCCTTGGACCAGCAGGGGTGCAAGGAGGAGATGGACGCCATTGAGCAAGCTGCCAAGGACGCGGCTCTGGTCGACCCCAACAACCCCATGCTTCCAGCTCGCTCCATTGTTCTAGCCAGCGACCGCGACTCATTACGGGCTCTCGGCCTGTGTACCGTGGGCGGTCAGAAGAAGCCATTTATTGACTGAGCGCCATTGAACTGCCTCGCCGAAGAACGGAACTTGAAAAGGAGGCGAAAGACGGAGCAACGGCATGAGCTTGGAGGCATGGCGAGCTAATGTGGATGGCGCTTTATACCCTTGACAGAGGCGTTTCTTTTTCTTTTTTCCTCGAATTTATCGTGAGTTTTGGGTCGGCGAAAGGGCCCCGTGTATTTGTGCGGGGGCTTTCTCGACGGCGTTTGGAAACCGGCGACTGCGACTGGGGCTCATGACAGGTTTTGCTTGGCCCGGCGGATTGGGGTTCGGCGCGGACGAACATGGATGAAATATACCGAGCCGGGATGGCTCTCAGCAAAGAGCTCAGGCGGTGGAGACACGGTGTTTTCATGGGGCTCAGGGGCAGGATCAATAATCGAGGCAATGCGTACGACTAATGAGCAACAAGTTGGGCCTGATGAATGCGATTCTCAAATTATCATTGTTCGTCCTCGTGGTTTAGAAGACCTGATCGTGACACCTGAAACTGGACTGATGACCCCGATTGTACTGGCCCGTCAACACTTCCCCATCATCCATCATCATCAATGGCTTGAATTGATTTGATTGATACCTTGAACAAAAGGAGAGGTTCAAAAAAGGAAAGAGTGAGCGCTGCAGGGTTCGAACCTGCGCGGGCGGACCCATTGCGGATGCGGATATCGATCTCGACGGCGTCGAGTCGCTGTCCTAAACACAACGCCTTAACCACTCGGCCAAACGCTCGAAAGTGTCGACAGTTGTAGTCGTACTGAACATTATGAACCCTGAAGAGATGTGGGCGAGTTTCCAGCTTCTCGTACGAGCAACATGAGACGGCAAGCTGGGGGGGTACAAGTCTTGCTTGGGTGGACCACGAGAGCGAGCTAGGCTTAATTATATTTAGCCTCGCTGTTGAACACCAATGAGGCGGATGCCGGAATCGGTGTTGAGAGAAGAGTCTTGCCCTGAAACACATACATGCTTCAGTTACTGCCTTTTTGCAGACGACGAGTACACCCGGCACGAATACCGCGGACTCTTCCGCCATGCCCGACGATGAAGCTCAGCAAGAAGCCGACAGATGTGCCATTGTAGGTATAGGGTAGGTCAGATGGGGCGTGGGGCGGGCTACGAAATCTTCAGCTTGGGCTCACGCCAGGACCAACTAACCTCGACGAGCCGTTGACAAACACAAACAACATATTTGACAGCCCCGTAAGCTTCGTGCTGTGCAGCCGGTGGTCATTCCAACTCGGATTTGCGCAGTGGTTGCCGCCTCAGTTTCGTTTCTGTCTCGACCCCACAGTCGTGGGAGCGCTCAGAACTCGTCATCGCAGCTCATTCCGTAGAGCAAAGACGACGCGATCCAAAGAGAGAAAGGAGGACAATGCAGCGGCGAGACTCACGGTGCCTATAACACGCCGAGACGCGATATTCGGACGCCCAGCATTGCCACCGGACTCGGCCGCTGCGATAGCGACACCAGGACGCCATCCATCTGTTCGCCTCACTTCCGCCCTCAAAACCTCACCTCCATCATCACAATGGCGTTCGATGACGATGAAACCCCCCTCGTTAGCGGGCCGGCCCCTGCCCCAGCTGGGAAAGACGACGACGGCGCCGTCATGGAGGATGCGCTGGAGGACGGCATGCCCGACTACAAGCTCTTCGCGTCCATGTTCGAGAAAAAGGGCGTCTCGGGCAAGTCGATCCGCAAGGGCGAAAAGGACTTCGAGTCGCACGGGACCCGGGCGCAGGACAACGCCCTCGAGTCAAGCCGCAAGGCCATGGAGGAGGTTCTGGGCTACACCAGGACGCACCGGGCGGACGCCTGGTCCAGGGGCTGGTTCTTCCCGGACTGGTGGGCGCAGCAGTCGGCAGACGACAGCCGCGACGCGTGGCTGAGGCACCGCGTCGTCGTCGTGGAGCACGAAAAGGGGAGCTGGATGAAGGATATTGGGCGCACCGTGCCCGGCACCAAGCAGGACCAGCCCGGCGTCGGCAGACTGTGGCTGCTCCCGGAGGAGGCGCTCTACCTGGTCGAGAGAGGGACCCTCGACTTCTGGTGGCCCGACGTGCAGCTACAAGAGTTGTTTCCGAGCGGCGGAGCGGCGGCCCGCACAGGGTTCGGCCCAGATGACTACGACGTCGGCTTGCCCCTCAGTCTCGAGGCGGCCTACGCGCTGCTCGTCGGCCTCGACGGGGAGCAGGGAAAGACGTCCTTGCCAAAGTACCAGGTCTTTGCCCATCTCAAGCGAGCAGGCTTCCACGTCATGCGAGCGCCGCCCGAATCACGGCCAGCGCAGGAGTCGCCCCCGTCCCCGGCTACCCTCTGGCAGTGGCTCTTCTCTCTTGTCAGCTGGGAGAGGAGGCCGAAGCAGAACCCCCTCGGCCCGCTGGTCTCGTCGGGCATCTACCGAGCCTACGGGCCCATCTACCAACAACTGGCTATGCTTCCCCGTCACCGGCCGATGGCCGTCCCGCCAGCCGCCAGCGACGCGCCCCAGGAGCCATTCCGCGTCAACTTTCACGTGTGGAAGCCCGGCGGCGCGCCCTTTTCCAAGAAGAACCCGCCGCCCCCGCACTTTCGCATCGCCGTCGCAGACACGAGCAACTCGGAAGTGCCGACGCTGGAGCAGATGGAGGCGCTGCTCGAGTCGACGCCGCTGGATCCGCCGGGCGAGGGACTGCAGGGACCGGGGAGGCTCTACCAGCGGATCAAGCACGGACACCGGAACGTGCTCGTGGCCGTGGTGGACCGGGGGCTCGTCAACTTTATGAGGTTTGGAGAGGCCGTCTTTGGGGATGAGAAGCTGTACGAGCGGTTCGACAAGCGAGGTGGAGGCGGCAGAGGGGGTAAGAAGAGCGGACGCGGCAGAGGGCGAGGAAGGGGGCGTGGCAGAGGGGGCGGCTCTAGAGGTGGCTGAAGCCTTGGACTTGGGATTTTTGTTGAGCGAGACTGGGCAGTGGAGATGAAGAGGTGAAGCCTCGGCGCAGTTTGCTTGTGGCGCCTCAAAGCAACAAACAAAAGGCTGAGAGAGGTGTGCAGTGGATGGGATAGCACGAGTGTTTCTTTTCCCGGGACGGCGTTTGGCCTCTTGCGGAACTCGATTGACGTGTTCTCGAGAAACAAGATAACGGCTGCTGCAGTATCGGGCTCAAGTCTCAAGCCATCGCGATAGTCGGGAATGTATGACGGGCTCGACTGTCATATATTGAAATACGAAGTCGGCGTTGGGTCGAGAAGCAGCAACCAGGGTCGACTACGGCCGGCCGAACAGGATTGAAGGCAAGTATTGGAGTCCCCAGCGCCGAGACATTTCGGACGAATCCGAGATGCGCTTATCTGTGTTTGGGCTCGGCTGTTTTGTTCGATTGGGGTCATGGCCGTGTTGGATGTGCAGGCTGAGTTTGCGCTGATTCGCCACCGAAGCACGCCTTCACCAGGACTAATGCACGCACGAGTGGCAACGATGGATTCACCAGCCCCTCGTCGAGTCGGTGATCGACAGCGCAACCGGTGTGGCAGCCAAACACGGGCCTTGTTTGTGCCTAGACGTGAGACTCCAGTGCTGGATGGTGCTACTCGGCAATGTAACACGACAGCGACCCGGTGATTTGTCTCAAGACGCCCGAGGATATCGTTTGTTGCCAAATTTTCATTCTAGCCTTTTCGCTCTTCTTCCCTCCTATCTACCCGTTCCCCTCTCTCGTCTCTTTCCCCTACCAATTGCCGCTCGTTGGCCAAAGTACGGAGGGGCCGGGCTCAAGTGACGAGTTGTCCGCGGATAGTCAGCCGAGGGCGCCGTGCCTTGTGCAATCTGACGTGTAGCACCGAGGAGATGAGATGAGAGCGGGCGTCGACGGCCACGGGAAAAAAGGGGGCTCATCGCGATCTCTCTTGGTTTCCCACCTAGGTCAAAGTATCGGCCGGAACAGCACGGGCACATTGAGCTGAATTCCTTGGCTTGGACCGCTAGGAAAACAGTTTCTGACCAACTCCACAGTCCTACAAACTAGAAACGAGGCTCGTAACTTTCTTTATATCAGTTTTTTTTTAAGTTGTGAATGGCGTCGGCACAGGACAGTTCCTCGTCATCATTCATCGACAACGGGTCGCGATGATGACGCGCGTGCGGCATCAATGAGTCGAACGGGTGGGAAGAGGATTTTTTTTAAAAAAAATCCAGCCTCACTCTCAACAAAAAAAAACACGACAGGCTCAAGGTGTGTGTTCCAACACCAGGCCGTTTCCCGTCGCGGATTGGTTTTGTCGCGGGTATCGTGTTGGTGCGCGCATGTCTCTGCCTAGGCAGCACGACTGAGGAGCATGTGCCTCACACGCAGTGTTTTGCTGTAGTGCTATTATTGAATGCGGTTGGTTGTCGTAAAAGCCTTACAAGGCGTTAGACCTAGAGAGGAGGGAAGCCATGCCGCAATGCAAATTGTCGTGCTGAATCTGGCGCCGGGGGGTTTCATGCCAATAAACCGCCGGTGGAAGAAGGGGGGAGGGGCGATGAATTATGGATTGGGTAATGCTTTATTACGCGGGGCGCGTGTTTCGCCTGACCTGGATGGGCAACTATTAACTCTACGGGTGGCAGGACTTGACTCCAAAGCGAAGCGCTGGGCGGGAAATGAAGGAACAGCTGGCCATGATGCAACATGGCACCAGAGTGAGTTTCGCCAATGCCCCCCCCCCCCCTTTCCCGTCCGCCTTCCGCCAAGCCTGGCTGCCGTCATTCATGGATGGATCGATAGTCTTTTCATGCCGTGCGTCTCTTGTTCAGCTCATTTCCCGCGCTCGCTTGCTGGGTGATTGGTTATGCCTCGTAAACGACGAGACAAGTATCAGTTTATGTATTTACCGTACATGTGTAAAGAGCAACTGCCTCAAGGTAGGGAGAGGGAGGTATTAGTTGTGCCGTCAGCTATAGAAAGAGGTACTGTATATGGCATGAGTGCTATACGGGGAGTGGGGCTCGTTAATACCGGTAAGTCGATAATGGCTGAGAGCCTACTAACTAGACTCGAGAGGGCAAGCAGCAAAGACGCACATGTATGCCCGCCGTAGCCGAGGTATCCTGCCTGTATGTACTCGTATTGATGAGATCGAGACTCATGCAAGCGGCCACTCAGGCGACACCGTCTGTCCAGCGGCCGCCACTTTATCAAGAAACATGCGCCGGGCCTTCTGTCGCATCGGCCCAATGTCACGTCTCTGGATCGAATGCTAGCTTATCGGCTCGAGTCGAAGCCGCCGATGAAGGATTCAGGACAGGGCGGTGCAGGCGCTATTGGTATATACAGTAGTATATACAGTATGCATGCATTATGGATTCACATGCCAAATGCAGCCCGGGAGGGAGGGCACCGGACCGCTGATCAGCATCATGTCATACGTACTGTATTACAGTACAGTGCCATTGCCGTCATGGGCGACAGGGATGGGTTGGTTTCCGTCTCGTCAGCTTGGTTGGAGGCGAGGGCGGTAATTACTGTAAGAACAGACAATCTGCAGTCAGTTAATTACAGTGCTCGCTGCCTCGGTACAGTACAGGCGGCAAAAGTACGTTACAGTAAGTACTAGAACCCTGTCGCGGCTGAAAAGCTTCGAGGCATTAATTGCGGCACATGTGTGTGTATCCGTATATGTGTCTGTATACCTTGTTCCCTCTCTTCTGCCAAAAAGGAGGTTGAGGGTTTGGCAGTGTTCAAGATGAGAGCAGCAAATGTTTTGACTCATGGGCCTATCCATCCTGCTTGCTCCGCGGACAGTCACTCGTACACACACACACACACACACACACATATATATATATATATATAGTCGTCTTGTTTCGCCTCGTCCTCTCCCACCCCTCTTCTGTTTCCCAGCATCGGGTATGTACGCTGCGGCTAGTCGTTGGACGCATCATTTTCTCGCAACCATGCATGCGCGACAAAGTCTATTTGGGGCGTGGGCGTGGCGCAACGACTGTTTGGGATATGTTGCGAGATGACGAATCTTGTCAGCACGTCTCGATGGCAGCAGACGCGCGTGCTATGATTCGCACGCGCCTGGAGCAAGGGTTCTGGGCGAGCGCAGTCATGGCTGCATACGTAAGTTACATGGCTTTTTTGCATGCAACTTGTCGGGCGGGCTGCTTTGCAACAGACGCGAGAGGCGACCGAGACGGCCGAGTTTCACCGTGCGCATTTCATCACCATTTCATTTCGCCGCCCAAGTGTGAGAGTCATCGTCTCTTGGGGCAAAAACCTTGTCAGTCCCGCCTGATTGATGACAGCAACCCGGTGGGCCGTCATGGGCACATGAGTGTGACTGGGCACGAACGGTGAGCTGGGCGGCCTGCATCTCTTCTTGTCGCGAGCGCTTGCTCGCTGTTTCAGGGCATACAGGCGCAGTGGGAGCCCGAGACGAGGAGCATGAGTTTTCTCTCTCTCTCATTCCCTCTCCCCCTCTCTCTCCCTCTCTCGTTTTCGTACATATACGCTTTGAGAGGAGAGAAAAACTATGTTGCAAGGGCAGGCCAGGCAGGATAGAGGCGGCCCAAGGGTGGAGCCCGCTTGCGACGGATAGAGTTGCCTGACAAGGTAGATAGGAAACGTCGGTGTTGGACCGTGGAGATACGGGGCTCTGGAATCCCGAACTGGGCGAGCCCACACGGTAACACGGGGGCGCCGTGATTGGTGGCTGTGAATTGCTGTAGGCCCCGTGTCGCACGCCAAAAAAAATTGTGTGCGAATAGGAGCCAGACTACACGGTGTATGAGCATGTAATTATGTGTGTGTGCAACCTTGGTTGGGCCGGCCTTTTTGACGCGACATGCATGTATTGATTCATGGTGCAGTACTCCGTACGCTGGTCAGAGACGGAGGACGAGCCAGTTGCCAAGTCTTGCAGATACAGGCGGCAATCCCCAAAGGATCATGCATCCTAGTGCAAAAGTCATTGGCCAAGAGCTCGCCAGCCCGGTTGGTTGTGTTGGGCACAGATTGCTCGAACAAAGAGAAAGAGTGGGAGAAGGAGAAACAGGAAACAAGAAGGACAGGAGGAGCGAATGTACCCGGACCGTGCGGCCCTTGTCCGCTGGTGCAACAGCAAAGAGTCAGGTCTGCAATGCATCGCTCTCTTGCTTCTCTAGAGTCTAGCCCAACCGGTTGGCCAATGGCAACGAGACGCCGTTGGCTACTGTTTTGTCAACTGATGTGATCTAATCCTCCCTCGGAAACTAAAACCTGTCTCTCATCGCACATTCTTTTTTTTCGTCCTCTTCCACATCGTCTCTACTCTCTCTCTCTCTCTCTCTTCCTTTCGCCTTGCCGCTTCCTTCATTCAATCAATCTCCTGCTCCGCCCCCGCCCACTCACCGCCGTCTTGGCTCAGGCCTGTAATTACTTACTGCACTTGCTTGCATTCAGCAAATATCCCTCGACAACTGCCCAAACGGTAAGTAATGCTGCTTGTTTCCCCGCCCATGCAACGGCCCCCCCTCGGCGCCCGGAGCAGGAGCACTAAGCGAGAGGCCTGCCACTCTCCGATTCATCTCCCCTCCCCCCCGCGCCCTCCCCTTCTTCCCTTCTCCCTTCTCTTAATTACCAGCTGTCTGTCCGCGTCACTCAACTGCCGCCGACGCCGCCGCCCGCCAAGTTGGCCCCTCCCCAGGCCACCCTCCAGCCAAACTTGCGTTTATTATTTTAGACTCTGACTTGCCGATCAGGCTTTGTTATTAGCCTGGGCTCTCTTTCCCCTCTCCCACTCGCCCACCCCCGACGCGCTCTCTCTCAGTCAGCCAGCCCGACCAGCCAATTGCCATTCTGGCTCTGCACCTTGCGGAGCCTGGTCCTGTTCTTCGCTGACGTGGCTTGCTCTACTCTTCTTTTTTTCATTTTTAGTTTTCTCCTACCCTCGGCACCCCACGCTACTGCCCTTTTCGTATTGAGAAGGGGTGCTGCAAAGGGACTTTGAGAGAGAAAAAATTAAGATTTATATACATGACCCAACTCGTCGGTCGGTGTTATTAAACTACCGAAAGCCTCTGTAACTCGCCTTTAAATTACACCAGCACCGCCCGTCAACCAACCCCTGGCACCAACTCAAGAACCTGGAAAAACGAAAAACAAGGGACGAGAGAGAGAAACAGAGACAAAGACGAGCGCCTCCTCTCCCCTCATCTCTACATCCATCCTGGCCGCGACGGCAACTCGACGAACAAGAGCAAGACTTTAGCAACGTCGTCGACACAACATCATGGAAGAGCCTGTCGTGATTGACAACGCGGCGACGACGACGACGGTGCTGCCGGCGGTCGCGCCCCCAGAGGCCAAGTTGCCGGCCGCTGCGAGCGACAAGGAGTTGATGCCATCGGCAGGCGGAGGAGCATCGACGGCGACGGCAGAAGCAGCCGACTCAACGGCGCCGGCCGAGCGCGAGGAGAAGGCAGAGGCGTCGGAGACCAAGGCGACGAGGGCGCCCGAGGAGCCGCCCGCGCAACAACCACAGGCTCCCACGCCCCCGGCCGAACAGGAGCTGAGCCCGTCGCAGACGCTGGGCAAGAAGACGTCTCCGTCTGTTCAGCAGCAGCAGCAGCAACCGGGTCTCCGCAACGGGATGCCCCCAATGTGAGTAGTCGGCTTTTATTTCTCTCATTCTGCTTGTTTCCGCCCCCATCGCCACCACCACCATGATTGCGCATTTGTTCCCCCCCCCCGTCCCGGAGCCTTCACGCCTAGTCTTGAGTTGCATTGCCAGAAAGCTTCCCCTTTTTTTCTTTTCCGCCACGCCGAGTTTCGAGCACTTTGTCAAACTCGGGGTGCCAAGCTGGCACCCTCTCGCTAGGCGCGGCAGGAGCAGGCCAAGGTTCATTCACCGCATCATGCACTTTGGTCGCTCCTGCCCTCAACGCGCAGCACAAGCACAAGCACAGTGTCTGCAGAACAGCAAGTACCTCCCACCCTTGCGCTCCTTCTTGTTTTTCGTTGCGCCCGCGGCAGGCGGGACAAATAAGCAGAAACAGCGGGAGCGCTAGACTCAAAGCGCCTGCTCGCGCCGGTCCATCAGTTTCTCGTCCTCTGCATCTTCTCCCCCTTTCTGTCTTTTTCTCTCTCTCTCTTCCCCCGCCGTTTCGCCCCCCGCCCGCAATCAACTTGGACAACCCAACAAGCCAAGCGCTTGCCCTGGGGCCGTCGTCCTGTTTTTCTCTCCCCCCCGCAACACCCACCCACCCTGTCGACGACTTTCCTCTTCAGGAAGCCGCTTCTTGTTGATCGTCGAGGTGAGCCAGCCTTGCAAGACCCTCTTTGTCTCCCTCGGTAGTCAGTTGCACGCAGACTCTCTTTTCGCCGGTTGTGCATTTTGCTTTTCACTGCTATTATTCACTTGCACTTTCCATTTCCGTGTCTCTCGCGTCTGCATTGAAAAGCTTCTCTGCCGCACCCGAGTTAGCCGGTGCTTCTCCATGTCAACTATACCCTATTGTTATAATACGGCTGTGCCTGTTGCAGGCCGCGGATGCATCAGGCGCTTCTTCAACTGAACCGTTTGCTGCCGACTATGCTTCTCCACGGCCACGATTCGTGTCACTCCATCTTCCCATTCCCCCTTTAGGCAAGGCTCACGTTTCTCCATTTGCAATCTCTCGCATCCTTCCACATTATGCGCACGGCTCGATGCCTTATAGCGCCTGCCCCGCCCGCCGTGGCAAAGCAATGCTATAGCCCTCGCAAGTCACTCCTCACTCACCTTGGCTCTTGACCGCCCTCGTCGCCTTCCTCACTCTTCTTTTCATCCCGGACTTGCCTCTGTTACCCCTCTTCTTCATTCGTCATCTCTCTCTTCTTTTTCCTCCCTCATGCATTACTCGCACGCGCACCACCCCCATCCCTCTCATCCACCCAATATCGCTTCGCAGCATCCCTCAACCGTAGACTTTCTTCGTTTCTCGCAACACACCAAGCCCTCTCTGCCTGCCATGTCGGATCACCAAGATGGCCCCGGCGGGCCGTCGCCGCCGCCCCTCGTCCAGGAAACAGTCACTCACATGTCCTCTAGACACATCAACGGCCGCAAGAACAGTCCCTCCGACGACGTCGAGGCTGACAGCGAGCTGAGCGAGCCGGATAGCAACCTGCACTCACCCCCGGCCACAGGCCTGGAGGACGAAATCGTAGTTGGCGCAAAGGCCGACCGCCCTCACAAGACGTCGCCTCTGCGTGTCGTTTCCATGGACCAAGACCATGTCATGGAAGATGTTCGAGATGAGTCGTCGACCGGCTCCCACTATCCCAAACGCAAGCGCACGTCCCTCTATAACGACCTGAGCGAGACCAAGATGGAGATTTCCCAGGCCCAGCCCGTCATCGACACTAGATCGCCTCCTTTGTCGAGAGACGGCAAGTCGAAGCCGAACCGCCAGAGCTTGACTGGCGTTAAGGGCGTTCTCCTCGGTCACTGGAGAGACTCGACCGTCCCTGACGAGAGCAGGAAGCACGCTGTGATTGGCTTCATCGACGTCCGCGATCGTCTGCGCACCCGCGTCCAGCCTCAGACCAAGGAAGGCGAGTCTTTGACCGAAACCTACCCTCTACCTCCGGGTCCTGGGGGCAGCTGGGTGACGTTTGAGCGCGTCGTCTTCTCCGATCACCTTGTCGGCCTGGACCACTTCCACATCAAGGAGTACACTCGCCTCCGTTCCGTCGTTGCGCCCGAGGAGACCGAGGAGGAGCGAAAGGTGGCCGAGGTCGAAGCCGTCAGAGAAGCCGTCCGTCGCGTCAAGGAAAACCCGGCGACGGACAACCCCACGGCCGCGCCGGCCATTGCGTACGGCACCGACATCCCCGAGCACCTCGCCACCCCTAATCGCCCCGACGGCAAGAGACGCAAGGTCAGCGGCAGCTTCGCCCCAAGCGCCTCGACCCCGAGCGAGACGCCCGCCCCGGAGTCGCTCCGGTCGCAGACCCCCCCCCAGCCTATGGCCGCTCACCAAACCCGCTTTTCTATCGACCCCCTCCCTGGCACTCGCCCAACACGTATCCTCATCGGATACTGGAAACCATCGAGCGAGGCCCACCCGAGGGATCGCCATGCGGTGTACGGCATCCTTGGCCAAAACGATATGTTCCGGGTTAAGGTGGTGAGAGAGACGAGGGACGGGCGCTTTGTTGATGGTAATTTTCCTTCGGGCGCCGGTGCCTTATGGATCTCGTACGAGGAGGTGGAATTTGAGGATCACCTCAAGTCGCTCAACCGACAAGAGGTCAAGGAGTATTGCCGCATCCGGCAGTATCAGCTGGATCACGGCGAGACGGACGCAGACCGAATCGACAACGAAACAAAGGCCGTCTACGAGGCGCAGACCCGTGCCGGTTCCCTCTTCAAGCAGCCCAACAATGTCACCGTGCCAACCTTCAGCGCCGCCCCCACGCCCGATGCCGGCGTGGACCGGCCCGCCTCGAGGCTTGGTCACGGCGGCCACGAACTGCGCCAGTCACGTCGCATTGAGCCCCGACCGGACGGGCGCACGCTGCGGCAGGCCCTGACCGAGAGTGAGCTCCGCTCGGCCCAACGGATGCAGGGCGTCGAGGCCGCGGAGCGCACGAGCGCCCTGGCACGCCGTGAGATTGCCCGGGCCGAGGCGGCGCAGGGTCGTGCCGACCGCAAGGCTCTCACCCGAGAGCGTGCCGTGGCCGCCGCCACGGATGCTGTTACTGCCGCTGCCGCTGCCGCCGCCGCCGCCGCTGCGCCCGTTCCCTCGACCAACGGCCGGGCCCTCTTCCACGAGTCGGAGGAGATGCAGCGCCTGAATAAGGTCTGGGCGCGGCAGGAGTCTCTCCGCTTGAAGGGCGGCGCCGAGGACGCCAAGATGTACGACGGCGTCAAATACGAGCGCAAGCCGACTGGGCCCTTTATGGGGAAGCTTGTGTCGCAGGGCACCATTATCAACATTGATGGCGAAGACTACGTCGAGTACCGCGTCCTGACCAAGCCGTCGTTCTTTTAGTTTTGAAGGAGGCAACCTGCACGGGCAAAGCCCAGACGAGGGTCGCCCGGAATGCGGTGTCTACTCTGGCTCTCGGCATGCCGTGTCCGTGTGGAAGAGGTGCGCCTCAGCCAAGCACATGGAAAGATGGTCGGCTGTCAGGCGATGTGTGACGGTGGTGGAACCCGTGAGGGGAACCACCTCCTTGTTGGTTTTCCAGATGTCAGGATGGCGAGCCAGAGGGGGGAACCGCTTCCACGGCAGGACTTGGACCTCGTCTCGCCAAAACTCATCATTGGTGTGTGTTGCTCCGGTACATGAAGGCTCGCTGCCAGTTTCCCTCTACTCTTCTCATGCGCTGGGAAGATGCGGGTCCCTCTGGACGGCGGGGATTGGCAGATGAGGAGCCCCCTCGGATTCTGACATGCGCATCTGATCTCTATTATTACGCAAGGCAACATGGGGTGAATTCGACGGACCCTTGTTCTTCTTTTCGTTTCTTTTCATACGCTGCCGCGTTGGCAATGGCAAAATTTTTTTTTTATTCCCACTTTCCGCTTTCCTTGTTCCCTATCGAATGGCGACGGGCACAAACAGATTGGTCATGAGGCTTGCAAGAAGCAAACGCCGGCCCGAGGAGCCACATCTCCCCTTTCCTGTTTTCTTTATATATCTTTTCTTACTTTGTCTATAACTTACACTCACTCTCTGCTGTTGTCTCTTTCCATCTCCGACTCTGCCCGGGTTTCCCTCCCCCTCCCCCAGTCTGAGGTGAGAATTGTCCCGGTGGCGACCCATGCACGATATGGGCTGAGGGGGAATGAGGCTATGGTGATGCCGAGAGAGGAGAAGAGCGTGATCGGGGAGCAAACGGGGGGTAATGAGGCCTTGTGTGTCGCGGCTGGACAACGTCATTTTTGTCTCGTTTGGCTGGGGCATCGACCGAGCGAGGCTGTTTGGGAGACCAGAGTGGCATCGCGTCTGTTGGGAGGGGCGGAGGGAACTCGCCAGGAGAGGGACCGCTTGCTGGACCGAGACTTCTTTTGCAGCAGTACCGGGAGAATGGAGTTGGCAATAGGGGTTGGTCTTATACCCAATATGTGCAGTCTTAAAAAACATGGTTGCCAAACACTGCCTGTCGTTGACGAGGCTCAACTCATCTTATATTCCGGGTCCGTCGGTGATGCTGCTCTTGATTCGAAAAATCCCACGCTCCCCTTTGTTTTCCCTGTCTCTACATCCTCGCCCTGTCCCCCGGCGGCATCACCCTTCCCCCTCTCCTCAAATGAGCCCATGTGCGACCCGTCTCTCATGCCCAAAAGACGAGCGATCTCAGGAGATCGGGTCAGGCCACGGCCCTCCACACCCCTCGCCCCTCCGGTCATTACGCCACGTCGCTTCCACCGCGTGGCTGCGCCTCTTCCTTGTCCGGCGCCTCGTACCCCTCCGTCTTCATGTCCTTGAGCCCCAGCTCTTCCTCCTCCTCGGCGGTGCGGTCGTAGGCCTCCCTGGTGATCTTGGGGTCCGGCGCGGGCGGGTCGACGAGCGGCTGCACGAAGCTGCTCGCAAAGGGGTCCGCCAGGACGATGGTAAAGGCCCTGTCGCCGCGGATGGCGGCGTCGAGCCCGTCGAAGAAGGCCTGCCACTGGCCCCGCTCGCTGGCGGCCAGGGAGTCGCCGCCGCTGCTGGCGCTGGGCCCGTTGGCCTCGAAGATTTGGCCGTGGAGGTCGTTGCGCACCTGCGTCAGGAGGCCCTCGACAGTGGTGAAGCGGCCGCCGAGCGTGCCCGGGTTGACCTGTAGCTTGAGCTCCGGGCACTCCATGCCGCACGTCTCGCTCTTGAGGATGTCGCGCGCCAGGTCGACGGGACCGTCGACGCGGAGCGTAATCTTCTCGCCGCGCTCGGGTATCTCGCCGCCAGTCTTGACATCGTTGGAGCGGTAGCCGCAATCGTCGCAGACGGTCGACATGAGCACCACCTGCTTGAAGTGGGGGATGTCGACCATCTTCATGTGCGTCGTGCAGGGGTGCATGCAGCCCGGGCACGTGGCGGGGAAGCTGTAGACCTCGTTGGGGGCAATCTCGCCGTCAGCCGTGAGCTCGGGCGCGGCCGGCGCGTTGGCCCCGGCGCTATCCGAGAGGCCGAGGGCGGCGTTTTGCTCCGGTGTCCGGGCAAACTCTCGCTTCTCCCACTTGCCGACGCCGTCCTTGAGATCGGGCGCGATGAAGGAGTTGCCGGCCGGGTCGTCGACGTAGAAGCGGAAGGGGAACGCGTCGCCTGCCAGCATGGCGCGGGCCCTGGTGATGATTTCGGCCACCTTGGGGAAGTGTTCGGGCATCTGCTCCTTGCGCGCCTCCTGTCCCAGCTCGAGGTCGTCGACGACGGAGGTCAAAAGGCCCTCGACGTTGGTCAGCTGGCCGCGCCCGGCGGGGATCTCGAGATCCAGCTCGATGAACTTGACGGTGGCAGAGTCGGACTTGACCACTTGGCGGCCAAAGTCGTCGAGCGAGGTCAGGCGCAGTTCGTAGTGGGTGCCCTTGGGCTGCACAGTGCCGGCGGCCTGGATCTCGTTGTTCTGGGTGTTGCAGTGTTCGCAGGAGAAGGACATGATGACGACTTCACGGAAGTATGGGATGGCGGTCAGGAGGAGCCGAGTGACGCCCTAGGTGCAGAAGACAAGTCAGCGGCGAAAAGAAACAGATGGGCGGCGCGACTCACATTCTCTCCACAGTTCATGCACAGAGACTCGACTTCCTCGACGGCCCGTTGCTCGTCGTCGGCGACGTCGCCATTTGCAGCTGGCTCGGCGAGGCTCTCGACCTTTGTGCCGATGGCCTCGAAGAACTGGGACGGGTTCTGCGTCGCCTCACTGGTCTGTTCGTCTAACGGCATTCTATTTTCCGTGTCCCTCTGTGTTCCGTGGCTGGGAAGGCTATCGCAAGGGTAGAAAAGTGTCGATGGTGGTGGTTGTTAGTGGTGGTGGAGGGGCTCCGAATTTTTTGGAGGGGCAATTCTGGAAAGGCATTAATTATGTCATGGCATGGAAATTGGCGCGCCGGCCGAGCATCGGGTCTAGAATATTCGTGGACCATCAACCATCTCGTGCAGGTATCTTTTTCGCACGCAGCCCAGGAGAACGGACGGCTTTGCATCAACTTTGGATAGACGATAGGGGAGCAGAGCCGGGCCGATTGCTTGTTTAGGAGAAGTGAGGGTTGGCCGCTCATTTGCCCCTAAAGTCGGCCAGCGTCAGCGAGCTTGCTGAGCTCTGCTGCTGCTGCTGCTGCTGCTGGGAGAGCAGAGCCTGCAGGCCGGCCCTTCGATTCTTTGCCCGCTGCTTGCTGCTGGCATTTGCCGTCTTTTTAGACGCGTCTGTGTTCTTCGTCACCGCCGTTGTCGCCTCGGCCGCCGGCAGCCTGGGCCCCTTGCGGCGGCGGACGGCTTGTTCCGGGGCTGCGAGGTTGGTCTTGGTCAGTCGCTGGCAGCGGCCACAAGTCAAGACTTTGGTCCGTTTGGATGCCTCAGGAGGCGGCTTCCTCCCGGCCCCAGCGGACCTTCGCCGGCGAGCTTTGCACGTCTCGAGTTTCACCGTTGTACCCTGTCCGTGAATCATGATGTGGCCGCAGGCGGAGCAGACGTGCTGTCGCTGAAGCTCATGCTGGGGCACATTGGCATGGGAAAGGAGGTCGGCGCGATGCCTCATGAGGTGAGCCGATGTCTCGGGCGCCGCGCCGCGCAGTAGATGGGCAGCATCGGTTAGAAAATCGAGGCTTGCCGTCAGCTGACTCGAGGCCATGACGGGGGGCGCGAGGCTGCCTTGGTATGCTGTTGATATCAAGTTTCGATCTAATTCTTGGGGTCGTATTCTGAGGTTGCAAACGGCTGGCTTGCAGTTAGCGATGAGGGGGTGTTTGAATAGCACTGTGCTGGGCGTGGCGCTCGGCAGGACGACATTGGGCCATTGATATCCGGCCTTGTACCGGAGCCTACCCTGCACCCGTAAATGAGAAATAAAAACGTCACCATCACTCCTAACAAAATTGGGCGTGTCCAGCTTGAATAATATGTTGCGGAGGCAATGCTCCTGTGCTGGCTTTCTTCAAGCTCGGCGAATATCCCATGAAATTTCCTTGATGCTCACCTCCTCTCCCGCCTTGTCGTCATAGTCGTACCACTCCCCATCCACCAAGTCGATGCCCGTGAACTTGGTCCCAGACTCGGCGCCCTGGGCTGCCCAGTCTCCCTACAGGATGTCAGTCTACAGGCCAGCAAAAGACGCCGAGACGCGCACCTCCGGCTTGAATTCTGTAAACTCCAACCCCCGGCAGTCAAACTCAATCAACCTCTGGGCCTTGGGCGGCTCCGACTGCTCGTACGGGGCGGGGCCGCTCTTGATGGATGCAGACGACTCTCGCTGAGCATGTCAGCGCCTCCTCTCGTTGCAGAGAGCTTGATGAATCCAGACCTTGCAGTTTTTGCACCTCCAAACAAAGTTGGCCTCGCCGCGGCTGCCGCTCATCTCGTTGGTCTCCTGCATCATGCATGAGCACTCTTGTCCAGCCTCGGATCTGGGCTCAAGGCAAAGGGCGTACAAAGCGGTTCACTCCCACATAGTTGGCGTGCGACTCTCTGCAAGAGGTGCATTGAACCTTGAACATGTACCAGAACGGATTGTCCGCGGTGTCTTCGGGGCGCAAGCCGGTGACTCTTGAGAGACAAAGTCAGTTGGCTGGTTGCTCGGACGTGCCGTGTCTGATACCTACCCCGACAGTTCCGCCTTGAGCTCGAGGGCAAACATGCTGGCAGTCGACCGAGGCTCGAAATCATCAACGTAGTGAGCCCGACGACGATGACTTGCGATGTGGGGTGAAATCGACAATTGGGGCATCACGTGACCAGTCCTTGTCGCGACCAAATTGTCGGCCCGTCGTCTTTATCGCTCGCGGCTTCCAGATGGCCTCTGTGTGCGCCTCAGTCCCAAAGTCTTAGCCGCCACCAGCCCGGGGACGCATGTCGTCCCCCGCAGACGCAGCGTCGATGCAGGCTCTGTGGTCAAGAGCCGGCCAGTCCCACCGATGCGGCTGTAGGCCCTGCAACATTGCCCTGGCTGCGGCGAGAAGGCGAGCAGCAACGGCTGCCCGACGGCGCAAGCCGACCTTTGCCGAATTATTCACTGCATGCTACAGCTCCGTCTTCGCCACCGCCGCAGTCGTCGACGCCATACGGAAAGAGGATCGCCGACGCGACCTCGACCGTCTGCTGGAAGAGGCCCGCCGGGACCTGTCGGACCTGCAAGATCGCGAGCCATTCGCCGCTCCGGAAGGCGATGCCAGGACGCCCGACTTGTCCATTCAGCAGATGGACGCCCTCTGGCGTTGCCTCAAGACGATATACAAAACCAGACCCTACATGAAAGAGATACATAAGCCCGCCACCGTCACTGCCTCTCAGCTTTTCGCGAGCCTGAGAAGTGAGCGCTACGGCTGTCCGTCGGAAGAAACCCTGCGCGCTGCCAGCAGAACTGACTACGAGGAGCTCGAGAAGGCTGTCCTGGCCGATGAATCCGACGAGACACTCCTCTCGCGCGAGGCGCTGAACAAGGTGCAGCTGCTTCGCGAATCCACATCCGTCAAGCATCTCGTCAACAAGTTCCTGGCTCGCACCCTCAAGGTCGATAAACAGCCCGGCACGACCCCGTCGTTTGAAGAGGCGTGCATCTTGGCAAAGACGAGCCAAACGACGTACACATTTCGAAGCATCGATAGCGAATGGGCGAAACGCAATACCGTGCTCCTGAACCGACAATTGAGATCCATCATGAACAATCCGGATCTCCGGGTCAAGGAAAAAATGGGCAGGGTCTGCTACAACCTCCTCATTTCCGCGCATGCAGCAGACATGCATACATACAATACGCTCATCGTCGCGTTCGACAAGGCGGGACTGCACGGCTTTGCTGACGCGCTGGTCCATTCCTTTTTCCACGAGCGTCTACTACGACCCACGCCATCCACATTCGTCGCCATCCTTAACCACTACAAGGTGACCAGGAACCATGGCAGATTTCTCTACGCCCTCGCCTGTATAACGGGTGTCGACTGCAGGACCGGCGGGAAGCTAAGACGGAGGCATGTCGAGGACGTCGAGCGCAGCCCCATGCTTCTCGACTGGGCCTTGGACGTCCGGCTGCGGACTCTGAGCGGATCCTGGGTGTGGGAGCACGTTCCGCCGACCCGAGCCTTGGTGGAAGAGGCTATTTACGGCCTGCTGCATTTCAAACTCTTTGAGCAGGCCGCCTCCTTCTTCCTCACGTGCGTGCGGTGGGGGGTTGGCCTGAGCACAAAGGTGGTCAAGCAGGTGCTGGACGAGTGCGTGGTCGCCATGGACTGGAAAGGGGCCCTTCAATTAATACGTGGCCTAATGACGTGCAAAAAACAGTGGAAGGTGATGCTGTTGACGGGAGACGGCGCCACAGACTGGTACTTGATCAGTCGCATCTACGCCTTGCTCGATCTCTGCGGCCTGCGTAGCCCCGGAGGGCGGGTGTCCGCCGCCTGCTTGGCCAACCTGGACATATCGGGATCGGAGCTTGGCGGACTGATGGAAGCCCTGGAGGAGCAGGTGTCGGAACTCGACCGGATGTGCCTCCCCGCGGCCGACGCTCCAGCGACCAAGGCCGTCAAGGGTGGGCAAGAGGGGGCATGCCCGAAGACCAGGCTTATGCAAATCGAGAGCGTCTGGAAGGACTACGTCTACGTGAGGAAGACGACAAGCTCCATTGAAAGCAAACTGCTGAAACCCGACTTTTCGATCGAGTTCCGCACTTCGATGGCGTTGCATATCGGAAATGCCGCTGTCCAGCGAGCCATTCAGCTCAGGCAGGAGACGGAGCAGCTGGTGGGAACGGCCACCTTCCAAAGCCCCGGGTGGCAAGGATTTCGGCAAGGGGCAGCCGTGGGCAGCGTGCCAAAGCGAAAGCGAGGATCAGTCGGCAGTACCGGTGAGGGATCGGAGGCGTGGAAATTACAACCGGACATGACCAAACCCAAGCCACGGATGCACGAGGTTGAAGTATCACCAGCAAGCATCTCGGAGGTGCTGACTCGGCAGCGGGCGAGAGCGTAGACCAGAGATGAACCCTAGCAAACGAGCTACATAGGTATATACTATAGCACTCTACCGGCCTTACAGAAGCTTGGACGAAGGGAGGAGGAGGATGGAACGAGCTCGGTCCGGAGGAGGCCGGGCCCCTTGTTGAGCTGGACCCGCCCGGGGGTGGGATGCGGCCAAGAGCCTTGTTTGGGATCGAGTCCCGCACCGAGCGCGAGTTGCTGAATCATTGAGTAAATGAAGTGCATCTTGTATGGTACAACAGCATGTGCGGTCATTATCGCGTAGCAGTTGTGTGTTTATGTAGTGTGTGTGTCGCAGCCGGCCGTCTATGGATGACGAGGCCGGTAGGCATGTATCAAGGCGCCGGGATTCGTGGTCCAGTCACGGAGCGACAATGGTCCACGGTGGCCAACAGGCCGCTGGAAATGGCCGGTCGGTCGGCGGGCGGAGGGTGCTGCTAGGTAGACGCCCCCCCTCGGCCTTCGGCTACCTACGAGGTACAGTACTTGCTACCTGGTACTGTGCAAGGCTTTACAGAGGCAAGGTACTGTACAGGCCACCGAAGCCAGGCCCAGTACGGTACAGTACATGTAGTAAAGTATTGCACTGTACGGATACGCTCTGACATTTCCGGTGAGGTAGGTACGGATATGTATGCTCGACCGACTTTTCCCCACATGACGGAATTCTCTGCGCTTTCCCATAATTCGGCTGCAAGAACTAATTATTGCTGGTGGCCACGGCGTGGGGCGGGAAAGAGCGAGAAAAGAGACTTGAGGAGGCCAAAAGAAAACGCTCTTTTGTTCTACCTGCGAAACGACGCAAAGGATGGCCGCGAGAGATGAAAACAAGCAGCTCGCCAAGCCGATGCGTTAGATGCGCGCGTCTCGCCGTGCCGCCGTTTGCCGCCGCGGGCCCGTACACACACCTACAGTGGTGTGCCGTGCCGTGCGCGTGCCGTGTGCGTGGGCCGGGGGCACGCCAAGCAGCGGGCGCTTGGCACTGTGACTTAGCAAAGTCTCACGATATTATACACAGTTAAGTATTGGATTGGCGCCGTCCAGCTTGGACGCCGGGGAGCGTTGTCACCACGCGGCGTCGCAACTCTCTCCGTCTTTGCCTCGCGGATCTCGCGGCCTTCCTCCACTTATCTTGAGCGCCGTCCGCCCTCCCACACAACTTTTGTCCCTGTTTGGCGCGCCGACTTGGTTCTTCTTCCCTCTCACTCTGACGCTCACCTCGCTCAGTCTAGCGCGACGGACCTCTTCCATTGGCTCTTGCCAGCAACACCGCCCGTCGCGTCTGTCGATCAGGGCCCAAGGGGACCCGGAAAGCCGACTCGCCTGGCCGTCTGCGCGCGTTGCTGCGCCCTCGAGCTTCGTCTTGCGGCAGCATGAAATTTGGACGCAAGTGAGTAGCCTCTGCGCTCAAGACGACGGCGTTTGCTGAGACGGGACCTTGCAAAGTCTTCCGCGCAACCAGGTGCCCGAGTGGGCGGCCTTCTACATTAACTACAAGGGCCTCAAGAAACTCGTCAAAGCCGCGTCGCAAAAGGCCAAGAATGGAGAGGCCGTGGATCCAGCAGGTGGGCGGCCCTGCCAGACTCGTCTTCGGGGCTGAACCCCGTCCCCTGACCCACTGCAGAGCTCTTCTTCGCCCTTGACCGCAACCTCGAGGACGTCGACTCCTTCTACAACAAAAAGTATGCCGAGGCCTGCCGGCGCCTCAACATACTGCACAACCGCTATGGGCGCGTCCCGGATGTCGTGGCCACGCTCGACCGGGACGAGGTCGAGGAGGTCATGGGCGCCCTGCTCGAGCTGAGGACCCAGCTGCGAAACCTCCAGTGGTTTGGCGAAATCAACCGCAGGGGCTTCGTCAAGATCACAAAGAAGCTCGACAAAAAGGTCCCTGGCATCTCGTCCCAGCACAGCTACATCTCCACAAAGGTCGACCCCAAGCCCTTTGCCAAGGATGCCCACATCGCCCGGCTGCTCGTCGAGATCAATCGCTGGCTCTCCGTCCTCGGCGACGCCCAGAACATCGACGACTCCACCTCGGACCGCTCTACCCGCTCCCTCGGCCGAGCCTCGGCCAAGGCCATGCTCCATCTCCCGCAGGCCCAGCTCGACACCTTGGATCAGGCTGTTCGCCGCGACGACGTGGCCTCGCTCACGTCCGGACTGGACGAGGCCAATCTCGGCACAGAGACGCAAGCTCAGGGCTTGCTGCTCAATCTCCTCCAGCGCTCCATCTCGGCTCGCTCCAAGGCCTGCATCGCCTACCTCCTCCCTCTCATCAAGGACCTGGACGAGCCCGACGACATCAACGGTCGCAATTGCATCCACAGACTTGTCATCCACATCGGCCGCACCAAGTTGGCGCCGCCCAATGAGGACAGCCCAAAGGCCTTTCCGGTGCCGGCTGGAACGCAGTTCATCAATGGACACCTCCAGCCCGCCGTCTCGTCCACCGCTCCCGCCAAGGCCATCAACACAAACGAGAATGAGCATCTCGGCAAGGACGACGAGGCGGTGCAGATACTCGTCTGCCTCCTTCAGCTGCTGGGGCCGGAGCAACGACACGCCCTGAAGAGTCGCGACACCTTCGGGCGTCTGCCGCTTCACTATGCGGCCCAGTTCGGCTCCGTCATCGTCTGCCAACTCATCATGGCCAAGATGCAAGAGTGGAACCAGTTCCACGTCCAGGACGGCATCGACGCCCCAGAATGGCAGGACAATGACGGCTATGCTCCGTTGCATCTCAGCGTCATCGGCGGGCATCCGTTGACGACCCGAGCCTTGCTGCAGGGTGAGAACTGGCAGGGTAGCAGCGAGGCCAAGGTGCAATTGCGCAAGACCATCTCTAAATCTGGCGCTGTGCTTGCTCTCGCGACAAAGTCCAACTACGAGCCCATTGTCGAGATGCTCGTCAATGCCGACGTCGACATCAACTGGACCGACAAGACGGGCGAATCGGCCCTCCACATCGCCGCCCGGTTTGGCCACGTCGGCTGCGCCCGCATCATCATCAAGGGCAGCGATTCTCAACAGGCGAATCTCGAGATCACCGAGAACTCGTACTCGTGGACGCCGCTGCACGTGGCCGCCGTCGATGGCTCCATCACCGTCGTGCAGCTGCTGGTCAGTGCCGGGGCCGACGTCTCCCGGCCCGACGCGTCGGGCTGGACGGCCAAGGAACACGCGGCCCTGCGCGGCCATATGGACATTGCTCGGCTCCTCGCCTCGCACACAAACGACGAGGAGGCCGCGTCTAGGGTGGCCGCGGGACTGCAGGCGTCCAACCCCCCCGAGGGTTCCTCCATTGACGAGCGACGCTCCAACGGATCTACCTCAAACGGGGGCCCGCGGCCTGCCGAGCCGGTCAAGAGCTTCGGTCACCGCTATCTGACCAACGAGAGTCTAGTCCTCGTCAGCCTCGGTACCATGGACGTTCGGAAGAGTACGGACGCCGTCAGCCTCGACCGTGTCCCTCTCACCGAGGCGCACAATACGCAGTTGGACACGGCGCTGTCGGTGGTTGTCACTGCCAACGGCGCGCAAGGCGAACCAACCATCATCGACCTGCCGGTGCACGAGGGCATCTCGACGGAGCCCGTCGTGTTCACCACTGGGGACGCCACCAAGGTCAAGCTCTTGTTCGACATTGTCCCGACGTACTCGGGCAGCGAGAAGAACAAGATTGGCCGGGCCGTCGCCCTGCTGTCCTCGATCAAGCCGACGCTCGGCACCCAGCGGGTCAACCTCCAGGGCGACGTGTGCGTTCCCATCATGTCGGGCAACCTGGAAGTCATCGGGACCGTCAACTTCAACTTCCTCGTCATCACCCCCTTTTACCACCCCAACATGGAGGTCACGTCTCAGCAGACGTATTGGAAGAAGCTTGACTCCACCATGGTCATCGGCCACCGTGGCCTGGGCAAGAACCTCACGTCCAACAAGTCTCTGCAGCTGGGCGAGAATACGCTGCCTTCATTCATTGCCGCGGCCAACCTGGGCGCGCAATACGTCGAGTTTGACGTTCAGCTCACCAAGGACCACGTTCCCGTCATCTACCACGACTTTCTCGTCAGCGAAACCGGCATCGACGCTCCGGTGCATACCCTCACCCTGGAACAGTTTCTCCACATCAACTCAGACAAGAGGAGGGACGCGGCGCAGAACAGCAACGTACTGGGCCGAGCTGCGCCGCGAGATCGGTCGCCGCGGGCGCGTAGTAACAGCTTCGCGCCGCAGCGCTCGCTGTCGATGGGCTACGCGGGAAGCGGGCACGACGAGATGGAGGAGCGCATGAAGCACACGCGCGACTTCAAAGAAAAGGGCTACAAGGCCAACTCTCGGGGCAACTTCATCCAGGCGCCGTTCGCGACCCTCGAGGACCTTTTCCGCAAGCTGCCAGAGGAGATTGGGTTCAACATTGAGCTCAAGTACCCCATGCTGCACGAGAGCGAGGAGCACGAGATGGACACGTACGCGGTCGAGCTCAACTCGTTTTGCGACACGGTGCTCTCCAAGGTCTACGACCTGGCCGGGTTCCGGCACATCATCTTCAGCTCGTTCAACCCCGACATTTGCCTCTGCCTCAGCTTCAAGCAGCCGTCGATCCCCATCCTCTTCCTCACCGATGCCGGGTGCAGCACGGTGGGCGACATTCGAGCCTCGTCGCTGCAGGAGGCCATCCGTTTCGCGAGCCGCTGGAACTTGCTCGGCATCGTGTCGGCGGCGGAGCCCCTCATCAACAGCCCGAGGCTCGTGAGGGTCGTCAAGGAGCTCGGGCTGGTGTGTGTCAGCTACGGCGTGCTGAACAATGACCCGACTCTGGTTCAGGTAAGCTTTGTCAGACACGGTCTCGGCGCATTGCACGAAACAGCGCCGATCAAGAGCATGCTGGCTAACACTCCTCTGCAGCGACAAGTCAAGGAGGGCATAGATGCCGTCATCGTCGACAGCGTCCTGGCCATTCGCAAGGGCCTCACGAGTGCCGATGGCAGCGGAGACCAATCGACAGACACCATGTCTGAGACAGACAAGGAACAAAAGTCATGGGAGTAGGAGGCAGCGATTGCATTTGGACCAAGCATGGAGGTATTTTTGAGGAGCACCTCCCACACAGGCTTCATCTATTTTGGGATTTGAGCATGACAGGAACACTGCTTAGCAAAAGCTACAGGCATTAGAACTACCGAAGCACTGCAAAGATGCGACGAGAAAGGATTGGGAACTTAGACATGGCCGAGAATGTGGCCAGTTCTATTGCCGGTGGTGTCTTGGAGAATGGCCTGATGACTGAGAGGGAACGGCAAGCCGAACCAACTTCAGACATTGCCTGTGGCGACTTCAGTAGTGGCTTGTGGTGTCGTCTCTTTTCCTCTTTGAACAGCCATCTAAGCACTTGGGAGGTGGGCGCACCACCCCCCTCCCCCTCTGCCCCTCCGCTCGACCTCATCGACAAGACGTGCTCCTTTCTTTTGACCATCTTCTCTCTTCCTCTTCCTCTTCCTCCGGTGATCTTTGCCCTGTGTCCCGCGGTGCGAGCGGCAACGAACCAGGAAGCTGGGAAACTGCGCTGTACCGTCGCACGAGGACTGGGACCAGGATGGCTGCATGCATGGTCTACGCAGGGCGTGACGTGGCTTGGTGAGCTCGCAGGCCTGCCAAGTCCCCAAGTCCCGACCCTGAGCTTCTCAATCGAGAGCGAACAGGCATGACATGGCCGATCTCTCTGCCGCGGCCACCCCTCTCTGTTCGCCATGCCGGAGGCCTGCGCTTCCCGAGCAGAGAGGGGCGCCCTGGACACACAGACGTGAGGCTCGTTGGCCTTTTCCTCTCTTGCCCCTTCTTATCACGCCATATCAGTCCCACTTCCACGGGGTGGCGGGTGGTTCGTGATGCGCCTTACTGAGGGAGGGAAGGGGAACGAAGCAAAGATGACCGCCACGGCACCGAGGAGAGACGACCGTCGTTGGTCGTCGGACGTCGGATATGACAGATCACAGCCTTGGAAGATACCGCGTGAGTTTGGAGCGTCGACAAAAGCACATAACGGTCACTTGACTGGACCTGATGTACGAATAGGGATATGTAAGTATGCATGCATGCGGGAAGAGTGCATGTGGCAAAGAGGGGGCATCGGGGTTTCCCTCCTCTTATTGTGTCAGACTTTTTCCCTCGACCTGCTGTTTACTTTCCTTTTTGCTTGGCTTTGGAGCCTGCTGCGCGTGGCTTGGGTCGATACGTGACGAGGGGGAAAAAGGGGGGGGGGGGGGGGGTGTGACGGAGTCGTGACTGGTGGACGGATGGAGACATGAGTTTGGGATCGAGAGGGTTGGCAGGACGGGCCGGCGCATGCAGCCAGGCAGACAGTGGACGACACGGGGCATCCAGGGGGTCTCCTGGCTCCTGCTGCCGGACGCACGTCCGCACGTTGGCACAGGCACGAGTGTCCACTGCCTTGGATGTCATGTTGGATGTAATGTTGGATGTAATGCCCATCTGGGAGGAGGGGCCGGGCGTGGAGCGAGTGAGAGGCGAGGAGGGAGAGGCGGCACGGGCGATGGCGGCGGCGAGCTTTGGACGACACTCGGGGGGGGTGGATGGGTTGAGCAGTCAGTGGTACGATTGGGGCGGCGGACGATGAAGGATGACGACGGCGATGCGAGAGAGCGTGTGCCGCCGTGCTGCTGCCGGCCCGTTTGTGCCTAGCCTCGATGGTCTGGCTTACACAAGTCCGGGCGTCGGGATGCCACCCCCTCCCCTCTTGGTGTCCCTTCTTGGTGTCCCATGGGACTGGACAAGACAAGCAGCGGGGGCCGGAACGTGTTTGAAGAAGCTCCTCGTGGCCGGAAGACGGGAGCGGGACCTTGACAAGGTGTTGAATATCCCAGCATCCGGGTGATATCCGTACGTCTCCCCTCGATGTTCGAAAAAGGGGGGGGAGGGGGCGTGTATGCCCGGTGACACTCCTCCGCCTTCCCCGCAAGAGTGACAAGGAAAACCAGAAACCCACGGCAAGAGTCTTGCAAATAAGTAATGTACATATATGCAAAAGACGGGAACGGAGAAGCGAAGAGAGAGAAAACCAAGAGCGAAAAAGAAAGGAAGAGAGGGACAAGAGAAGCTGAGCCCCGAGGGTGAGGGTGAGGGTGTGCGTGTGCGTGCGTGTGTAGACGGAGCATGCATGTACGTCGTCTTGTGTGTCGGTCCGCCTTGCGTCGTCGTCGAGCCCATCGGATGCATCGTCTGGGGTAGCGGAAGCTGCCATGTACGCTGCTGCAGCATAGGGGGAGGGGAGGGGAGGGGCATCGTGCATGTCGTGGCGCCGCCTTGGCCCGATTGGGCCTTTCTTTGCTTTCTCGGGATTTACCCTCTTGATTCTCGCTGTCCGGGGGGGGCGAGGGGGGTGGTGAGCAACCGGCATGGGGGTATCGAAAAGGGTGGGAGGGAGGAACCCGCTGCTGGGACGGGGATGTACATACAGAGAGGAGACTATGTGGATGGTATATGTAGCATGTAATGGGCAATTTGACGTCTTGAAGCCCATCTCTATATCTTGCCCTTTCGTGACACCTCCTCACGCGCCCAAGTTGAGGCCGTGTAAGTTGGGGGGGGGGGGATAGGCCAAATGCCGTGGCTACTACCAAGTACGTATTTTGCTTCACCCCCCCAGTATCGGCGACGTCGGCACGCAGGAGACGGACGGAAGCTAGCAGGGGAAAAGAAAGGCGCTGGGTTCCGAGGCGGACGGGCGGGCACTAAGTACTACACAGCGGCGGCGGCGGCGGCGGAGTAGCAGGAGGAGGAGGAGGTTGGGGGTGAGGAACTTGTCAGATGGCGGGTGCATGGGAAGCTCACCACGGATCACGGGCAAAAAAAGAAAAGAGCAGGGACCGAGGATGGCTTGCGATGTCAAAGGCGAGCAAGACGTTGGACGGCTCCCAAGACTGAGAATGGGAAGAAGCTTGAATGGGAGAAACCGATGGCACTACTGCATGGTTGTTGTGATGCGAACCTCGCGGCGGCCAATCATCCATGGCCGTCGCTTTTCCCATCCTGCCTCATTTCCCTTCCTTTTCCTCTCCTCGCGACACTCGCCATCATCCTGCTTTCTTTTTCCCCCTCGCTTCAACTTCCCTTTTACCCACACACCATCCCCCCGGTTCCATTCGTCCCTGTTGCAGGTGGACGCCGCCGCCGCCCCTGCTGCTGGCAGTCTTGCTTTTCCACGCATCATCACATCTCAGATGGGCCGCATGCTGCCCATCCCCCCCCCGCGATGGCAAGTTGCAGATCATTCTCAAGCCCTTCTTGGACCAGGAGTCAACCGAACCCCCTCCCCACAGATCAACATCACACGCCACATGTTCTCCATCGAGACATGCACGCGTGGGAGGGGGGAGATGAGATGAGATGAAGCGGGCAGGCGAGACCGGAGCGGAGCCGGGCAGGGGGGAAGTGAGTGGACAGGTGGTCCGTTTTGAGAACGGCAAAGGAGGAATATGAGCGTGAAAAGAGGGAATCAAAAGGATGGGAAAAGTAAAAAACAATAAAAGCGAGGTTCGGCGGCCCCCGGGAAAGAAGTTGGACAAGGGAACAGAACAGGCACAGAGACGTACAGAAGAGACAGAGAGCAAAGAGTGACGAGCCAGGAAACATGTTCCCCGAAGAAACAGCTCAATGTCGCGGCCCGGCCCCATCGGGAATACGACTTCAGAACGCCGCCAGGGCAACACGGAAGAGGTTCCCGAGCTGCCCTGTCAGTCCCCTGTTTTCTTTGCTCCCTTGGCCGGAGTTGCAGCAAGCGGTCCAAGAAAGGCATCCCGAGGCAGCTCGAGCCCCCATGTCCATTCTCCGTTCCCGGGCATAACGGGGTCCGTACGACTAACCACAGTCAATGGGAAGACGACGTGTTGGAAGAAGAGACGACGACACTGCATGTTCCGGTGGGGAATCGCCAATTGGCAGCCCTTGTCCTGCAAGCACTCGCTTGCTTTTTCAAACTCCCTCTCTCCTGGGCGCTCCCTCTGATGTGTTCGCCCTCCTTTCCCACGCCGTGACTTGCGCGACTCCCATCGGCGGCGCAGTCGCCTTTGCCCTTTCCCCGGCGAGGAGATAAAAGAGGTGAACGACAAGAAGAAGAAAAAGAAACACCCCAGCTCACACCCAACCCAGCGAGTCGTTAGATCTCACTTGCTCGGCCACCAACCCCCCTCCCTCCCAACCCCCGCTTTAGAGTTTCTTTTTCCTTTGTCCTTGTTCCTTTTGAGACCGGCTGGATGTGCCAAAAGGCCGATGCCTCGTCGCACTTGGCGAAGGAGATGAACAGCGTCAAAGTCGTCGCGAGCGTACGGAGTACACGCTGACACGTCGCCATCCTGACATGCAAAAGACAAAGGGAAAAGAGTAAGACACACGACGGAAAAAGAGGGATCAAGGGGGGAAACGAAAAGGAACAGTGCTACCAAGAGAGCTGCCCCCATGGTTCGCGCCTGTCCCCTCGCCATCATCCCATCTCCCGATGGATGGAAACGACGTTTCGAACCATGTCGCCGAAACTCAACCGCCGTGCGGAGGTCGTGAAGTCCAAAGTCCGCCGTTTTGGACGTGGCGCGCCACAGATTCAAGCCCCAATGCTGCGCGACGACCCTGTCTCCCCCCCGAGACCCTGTACGGCAATGCACTCCAGGAAAAGGAACAGACAAGGCAGAAGTTACCTGTCGTATCCGTCCCGTAGCTCGATGTGTTTCTGCTTCTGCTTCCCGTGTCCCCATCATTGCACATGCTTCTGATATGACACGGGTGTGCCGTATGCGCCGCGCCCCCTTCCGGAACCCCGGTCACCAAGAGACGTGTGCGTCTCAACCTATAGATGAACTGGCCGTGAGCTCCGGGGCCGACCGGCTCCGTGTACCCGTCCTTATCGTGTCCTTGCGCTCCCTCAAGTCACAAACATTGGAAGTCTGCCCTGGCCATCGTCAGTTGCTTTCCCGCTGACGAGTCGCCTTATTTCTCGCCTTGCGGCCTTTTCCTTTTCGACTGTGCACCTACCTGCCTCT